ATGTATGTATGTATGTATGTATGTATGTATGTATGTATGTATGTATGAATGTATGGTTATGTTCAAAAGTATCTTAGAATTGTACAATCATTTTTAAAATAACTACAAAGTCTAAAATAATATCATTTTTCATAAGTGTAAAATAAATACATTTATATTTGAAATGCACTCATTTTGATATTTGTTAATTATAGGTAAATGCCGCTAATGAACATGGAGACACGGTTTCAGCTGCAGACGCATCAAGCACGGCCAAGACTCTAAACATCATGGCATCCATCTGTGGAATCATTTTCCTTGCCATTTTCCTCTATTACGAATTCAGTGGCCAACCCAAACACTGAGTGGTCCAGTTTTTGCCAGAAGAGGAACTGGAATTTCAGCAATATTTCCTTTCTCCACATCGAAAAGAAAAATGCTAAAACATCTGGACAATGCTAGGTCACAATATTGGGCTTCTTGAAATCGCTGTTAAAGGACCTTTGAATACAAATACCTTTTGATAATCTGTCTCAGAAATATGTGTGCATGTTAATGAAAAATTAACTCACTCTGGTTTACTCTTTTAGCTTTTTCCTGGGATTCAAGAAATAATGAGCACATAAAATGTATGTGGGGATCAAAGATGAGGGGCAAACAAATATCAAATGAATTTTATTGTCACATATATTTCAATAAAAGAGTTTTGAAAACCTATCTATATCTATTCTCTTTATTATGGGTGTACATAAATTTAGGAAATGGGAGCAGTCTGAAACGTAATCCTTTTTTAAAATTATTTGTAAGAGAATTATATCCATTCTTTACATTCACCATTATTAAATGATCGTTTAGACCTTCATATTTCTTCTTTTTTTTACTGTTCAGGATCTGAATTAGAAACAATGACTTCAAAAATCATGCCGCAACATTCTAACTTTGGGCCGTTTGGGCTGAGTGTGAGCATTTTCTTGTCTTGCTTGTCCCAGTGTGGCAGTGTGAAGTTCTGCTGGCCACAGTGGAGTGTAAACAAAAAAAATGTTTGTCCTAAATTATCCAAATACACATATTCCAAATAATTCTAAATATAAGGCTTTTGTTCACCCCATCTGGTCCTCTCCTTTCTCTGCAATCGCAGAACTCTTCTCTTTCAAAAGCCCCTCAAGCTGGGAGAACAGCGATGTCTCTCTGTGTCTTTGTTGCAGTTGCTCAATTTCGTGCTTCTATAATCATCAAAAAGACAAAAGGAAATTTACGAAGAAGCTCTGGTTATACTCTCAGCAGTTTGACTATATTTCTGAACAAATACAGAGTCACTTTTAGGAATGAACTCTCATTGTTACGATTTAGTCCATAAGAATTTAAAATAAAAAAGTCATAACACATCATCATAAATAAGATAAATACTCTATACTTACATCTTCAGACAGCAGTCTTTTACTTGGTTTGTGAAGCCTGTGAAGCAGGGAGGCAGCATGTGAGCCTAGCAAAGCCTCGTTTCTGTCCCCAAGAAAGGCCTCTTGCTCATAAAAGTTAACATGCAAATCTGCGTCCTCATTTGAGGGTGGCAAGACCAATCTGGCATAAAACAGCTCTCCCAGGCACTCCTGTAGAGCCTGTGACACAAAATTGAGCAGAATCTTAATAAACACCACATAGACTGACAATTTTCCATTGAAAACACTATTTGAGTTTGTAAAAATAACCAATGAAACACCTCTTATATGTACATCCATCCATATACTGAGTGTTATTTGTACCTTAAAGAAAATCCTCTGGAAAGCAGGACTGGAGTCAGAGCTCATGTTTTTAACTTTGATGTGGGATAGACAGTGAAGCAGCATGAGGGAGAAGCCTCCAACAGACTGGAGCCTCTGGCGCCGGACAAAGAGAGTCTCCTCTGCCTCCTGTTAACATGAGTTAGTGCTAATCCCATACAGGCACAATCAATTGATAAAACCCAACTTTGGATGAGATTTTGTGAAATGTTCACGGTATATTATTTTGAAATACAATTTGAATGCATAATCATGCTTTCAGTATTGTTTCATAATTTAGTCAGATATGATAAGATAGATAAGAAGCCACGATAAGCTTTCATTGCTTACTTCTTGTCAAACTTATCGGAAACCTAATGGGAACATTTAACCTGCAACCGGAAGTAACCATCAAATACCACACAGGAAACGTGTGGTGTTTTCAGAGCTTCAGAAACCTGTTTCTCCGATCCTGTGCCCTGATTTTCTCACAAGAAAATGTGGTTGCATGGAGGAGGTAACATAGTCTTTTTAAAACCTTCCCCACTTGCTTCAGTGGTATGACTTTACTAAGAAAACATCTAATTTCCTCACATCTTAACTTAAGAGTAATCGCCACTTTAACATTTTAATACTGTGGCCAGTTTAGGTGATCACAGTCAGTACTTGTAAGAGAAGCCTGATGTTCAGAATTTGGCTTTATTGGTGTAGACGTTGACGTTTCACCTCAGAGATTAGTAAATGGTGATCTTCAGAAAGCCAAATGTCGGTATTTCATTCACTACATATTGTTTTACAGTGAATGAAGCACAACAACTTATCAGGGATGTACTGTAATTTGTGCTCTTTAGCACAGATGATCATTTTCATGTCGATGCTAAATAGGTTAAGAGGCATCCAACCTCAGTGAAGCATGAACAAATGAAGGAAATCCAAATGCTGAAAGTTTACCTGATAAAAGAAGGAATGTCTGAAAGCATTTTTGAAATAATTGTTGTTTGGGAGGCAAGCTGCTATCTGGAGGGAAAGTTTTGGAGTCTGTTGGAAAAGAAAAAAGGTTTTTTGTTTTATGATTATTTACATTTATATGATTTATGTAATGATGATACAGGAACAACAGAATAGAGAATAAGAACATATGACTCGGTAAAACAAGAAATAAAACAAATATAAAATAATCAAATGTTTGTTTAAATATATCTATGTAGATTGAACTTAATTAATGCTGAAATTCAGTAAATTGAAGATATACATAATACAAACGTATCTAAGTCCTTGTTAGAAAGTTAGAGTTAGAGTCTACATAGTGGATATAAGATTCTCTCTAGTGTCATGACCTGGAAGTAAGGCTATTTGACTTCTAAAATTGTGCATTGATCAATCACAAACAAATCATACTTTGCAGGAATCAAAAGAATTTAAGTGTACCAAAAGCAAAAGAGATTTCAAAATGAAAACGTTACTAAACAAAGTGGAAAATTTTGATTTCAACACCAACCAGGTTTAAGTCATGCAGTGTGCGCATGAGAAATAATCCATGTTGGTAGACCAGGAACTCCCGGGGGTTGAGGACAGACAAGTCCAGGGGGGTCAGCTCTCCCTCACATCCCCACTGGGCATCAAGGATATCTATAAACCCTTTGTCACTTTCTTTAAAAAAGACAGACCATCATCAGCTATTGAAGAACAGCTCTTCAGCAAAAATGAATATAAGTCTAAATCAGAAAACTTTTACAGAACATTTAGTTTTCCAAATTAATGTAATTTAAGTTCTGTTTACTTGATGAATTCCCACAGAGGGCACCATGTGCCATTAGCATAGGTTAAACAAGTAGAGACTGTTGGGGTTTGTTGTCTTTCTGTTTTACTTCAGGACTCGAGTTCTTGACATGTCTTTCATTTTCTAGTCTCTCCTTTATGATTTGCCGTTTTTGTTGATTTTCAAGGTTTTAAACAGTTCAAGTCTTCATATCAAAGCTAGTGGTGTCAGTTAAAGAAACACCCTTAAGTGTGGAACTGTAGTTATAAAACAGTTGTTTTTTCCTGTGGATATTTACCCACCAAAACCACAAGGTTAAAGAAACGGGAAGACTCTTTCACTGGCAGGTTTACGCACTAAAAGTATTAGCTAGTCTTGAAAACAATAACTACCAATTTAAGGTTAAGACAAGGTCTTGGCTTGGTCATCTTTTCGCAATGCTGATATATATTTTTTTATTTGAACAGTGTCCTTGGTGTGAAGTCAGCATGAGGATTATTGAAACCTTCCTAACTTACCAGGGAAATCTCCTCTGATTAAACACGTCCTTTTAGCCCAGCCCTTCAGCTGTAGCTCCAACCCCTTCAAAAGCTGGAACAAAGGAGAGAGCTCTAACAGCCTTGCCCACTGCTCCTCTAAGGAATGAAAGAGTCCCGAATTAAAAGCGAATGTCACACATCTCCTTACATGTTGCAACTTTATACAGCACATAATAATACCTGCGATTGTGGGTACGGCAATATGTGTACACTGGACAGATTCCTTCATCTGCTGGCTTTCTGTGAGATAATCGAGATAAAATTTTGACATTTGTTGAGAAAGTTGTTTAGTTCATTACATTGCAGTTAACATGCTTTTTCCATTGAGAGTGGGAAACTGGAAAATGAACCTGTAATCTTCCAACTGAAAAAAACGTATGAGGAACTATAAATTCAGGTGAGATATCAGACATAGTGTGTGACAGTTGATGGGTCAGTCATTGACTAATCTGTTTTAAATACTGTTTTTTTAAACTCATGAATACGTTTTGTTCATCAGTCAAGTTACAGGTTCATAAGAATGATGAAGCCATTCAAGGCTTGTGTCATCTAAGATGATACAACGCTTGAGAAAAATTCATATAAAGTACCTTTTCTATTTTTCTTGTTTTAATCCAATACATGTTCCAGGATGTTTAATAAGGTAAACACAATAAAATGATGAGTCGGCACACCATGCTCTGTTTAATAGATTTGGTTCGCAATATGCAGGGACCTGCCTCATCCTTCAGTATGTTATTTAAAGGTAAACCACCTTAATGGACACAATTTATCTTGTCAACTTTACATTTTACTAAATCCTATTCCTTTGCAGAAGTAGGATGGTGCCTCACAGCAAGATGGTTCTGGGTTTAAGTTCCCAGGGGAACCAGGAACCACCTTTCTGTCTGGAGTTTGCATGTTCTCCCTGGTGACGGCCAGGAGCTTGAATTTAGTTTCTTTTCTTTTTTTTCTTTTCCTTGGCACAAAGTTTCCAAAGAAGGTTCAGATTGTGTAAACTACACTATATATTTATATTGTTGATTTGCTTCAGTTTACCAAATGATTCTCATATAGTAAGGTTCATAGACTTCCATTTATGATGTAAAGCTACACTGCAGTAAAGAATTCACACAGTAATCCATGCCAGTGTCATGTTTTAAGGTAATGATGACAATGTTTGTGGATGCAGGGCTGTCTGAGGGACAGAAGATCATATATGTCAAAGTGAAGTTGGATCCCTTGTCCTTTATGCAAAAAAGTTGATTTAAATAGGTTTGCAATATATTGTTTGTTTGTTTTTTACCATTTTGAAACGGTAACTTACAGTCATAATTCATTTGCTTTTAGTTAAATTCATAGCACTATATTGGCATGACATCGTTTCTAAAGCTGGCCCACCCAACAGAACGATGTTTCACATTATAGATCATTATTGCAGTGTGAAAAGGGCTCAGTACAACCGGTGTGGTTTGTCTTACCGTGAGAATGAATCCCAGATGATGCAGTGTGTCTTTGTAAATTGTGTGTCAATGCCACACTGTCTTGAAGGCCAGTGCCCTGGGACTGAGTAATATTTACAGGCTCCCTCAAAGACTGGGTAGATATTCCTTAAACATACAAAAGGGACCATTTTGTTTTTGTTTTTTACTCTAGCAATAAATTCTCCATAAGGAGACCTTCCCTTTAAGAAAACAAAAGCAAAAAGAAGTACTGCCCCTAAATTAGGGAATTATCAGTGGGAAGCAGTAAGGCAGCTAACAGTTTAAAAAGGGAAGCAAACATTAGAATAACGATATTCACACAGAGAATTAGCTATACCTGCATGTCAACGGCAATAATATTAAATTGAGAGTATGAGATTTATGACACGTGTCAATCAATTAGTTGATTTTTGATGAAGTTGAAGTTTACCTATTATTTAGCAATGAAAAATTAAAGTCTTGATGATACGCACAAAGTCTGAAGATGTGAGACAGGTGGCTGGGAAAATGACTGTTATCAAAACAAACAGTTAGTAACTGAGAAGTCATGACCAAGGCCAGTATATTTGTACAACATTCATAAAGCCTAAAGGAAGTTCAATACGTAGCCGGTATCCAAAAAGGAAGCTGATAACGCTTCAGTGTAGTTCCCTAAATAAACGACATCCAGTGATTTTCTGGTAAGAGCTGTCCAGTTTTCGGTACTGTAGTTGGCGAGAGGAATCAGAATTATGCAGGTTGACATTGTTTACAACATGTGCTGTGTTTCACAGTCTGACTCATCGTCTAACAGACCTTACATTCAAGGGGAATTCTGCAGAACCCATGTTGGTTAGCTATGCGAAACCACAGATTTTCCGATAAAGGACTGGCTGGTGTTTTGTATGCACATGAATGTGGGCCACCTTGGAAACATTTTGTGCTGTACAGTGTAATCAATGATTGAGGGAAAACAATAAAGATAATTTTTAATCTAAATCTGTTGATCAAGAAAGTGTTGACACTCATAGTGCTGCCCTTGTAGTAATAAAGCAGAAAAGTGTAACAAATTTAGATTCTTTCATACAAAGTTTTGTATGGATATACAGTATACTGAAAAGGAAAATATGGAAGCCTAAAAGCTCCTTTCTTATTCAATAGTTAACCACCTCTGTGAATAGCCACTTATAATCATTGTTGGTTGTTTGCCTCAGAAAGGGACTTTTGCATGTTCATATCAACACTAGAGAGCTTTGAATGTGGCCAAGAACATACCTTTCACCACAGGTACAGAGGCTGTCCAGACTCTGGAAGGTATCTCCAAACCATAGGCCTGCTTCCTTGATAAACCTTTGACATGTGAGAAGTCAAACTTTAGATATTTTGTGTTGTTTCTAATTCTCTTATTAAACACTAACAACAACAATGAATGCATTAGCATTAATTCACTTAATTCATGTCACATAAATTCACATGAATTCATAAGAATACATGTCAAAACACTCTCCATATGACCTGCACATATCATGTAAACTCAGTACCGCTGTCTGGTGCTTCTGTAGCAGACGTGTGCTGCGTGCAGGTGCTGGGAAAGGAGCTGGCTGGCTGTTTTTCCTCCAGTAGATGGTTCAGTTTCTCAAGCAGAGGCAAAGCTCTCTGTTGGAGCACACCCATCACCTTCTTATTTAGTCCCTGACCTCTGTGCTGGACCAGGCCATACTCTTTGAACCAAAAGTTCCAACAAAGAACCGCCTAAACACACAAACATAACAGCTTGTTACGAAACTTAGTGCAAGTTTGATTTGACTCCAGTGTAGGTTCAGCCAATTGTGGCAATGAAAAGTGGCCACAATCCATGCATTAACTTTCATCACTCAGTCAGGTCTGCTTATAGACTACTTTGTGTAACCGTGTGCTCTCACCTGGGCAGTGTCAGCACGCAGTTGAGAAAGCACTCTGACAAAATGAAGCGCACTGAGAGCAGCGTCCAACTCTGTCTGTGCGGAACAACACTGCTCCCAAAACTCTCTCTGTCTCAGCTCCTTTTCCTTTGACCCAAACAACAACAATCCTCTCATTTAGATTTTGCCAGGAACTAATTTGTGTACATCTCACCCAACATGCATAAAAATTTGGCATAAAAATTTGATAAGTCAACTTTTAAGTGTTTTCTTCGGCATATATATTGCCAGGTTACCACCTGACGTAACTGCATCATTCATTGGCTACTTTTTGGTGTCAGAAATGAACCACAAAGTCATTGTTCTAACCGTTGCATGTAGTTTTGAACACCACTCTTCTGTCTGTGTTGTCCAGCTCTCTTTGTCGTCCTCCAGCTGATCCATACACACATTCACCTTATCAAAGCCAGACATGAGTGTTGACTGCCAAATACATTGCTGGTCCCATTCCTCCTCATCACCTACACCCAAAGATGAATATGCATAACTCTACATGCTGCCAACCAAAATGAAGCATTGAATACTAGCATTATGTTAATTAGAATCCAAATGAAGGTTGCAAAATGAAAGAGAGGCATAATGCATTTTTCCTTGGAAAGCAATGAATTCGAAAGTAGCAGTGCTTATCTCTCCGAGTCCTTCATTCTGCCAGTTTGCCAGGCAATTTACCCAATGTGAGGATGTGTAGCACATGTGAGGGAAGGATCATGGCCAAGTAGGAGCGCTGAGCTGCTCTCCTCTGGGCCTCAGCCTGTGCTGCATCTTGCAGTTCCACACTTGCTTCCCTCAGTTGTCTCGCTGACCACTGAATCTGCAGAAGAGTAAATACTTACTTTTTGAAGATGAAGAATATTTGCATCCTATCCTAAAACCCTATGCATATATCCACTGAGGAACTTCAAGGGACCAGGATGGAGACCTCGCATGCCAACAGCAATACTGTGGCTTCGGAACCTACATACTTTCGGGATGTGAAAGGTCTCACTTCAGTTATTTTTCAATACTATTTGCCACAGAATTCACATATCCTTCTTTCCCTTTCACATGTTCAAAGGATGAATTTATTTGACTATCTTAATGTGTGATGAGTCCAAACTAAATAAGATATCTAAAACAAAAAACAAGCTGCCCCTTTCCTCTTGACCTGATAAGAGTTTGTGTTAGTGGCTCTAAAGAGGCACTGGAATACAGCTGAGTCCAGATCAGTCAGAATATCTTCCTCGCGCTGCTTTTGCTGCTGCCAGTAGGAATTCCTCACACATATCTCACTTTGCAGCGCTTCTACCTGGCAGACCAAAGAAAGACAAAAGATAGGAGGATAAAGCATCTGATTGAAATGAGGAAAGCAAAGTATTTCAAATTACAAGGAATTGAATAATTAATTTATCCACAATTTTTTCTCCTGCTGACCCACAAAATGTTGCACCTCAAAACAGAACCCCCCCTAATTTGAAGAATTTATGAATACACGTCTTTATTATATTTCCGACCTGCAAACTTTCACTTTGTTCAGCCATCATAAGCCAGTATGAAGCTGTGACGGCCACAATTGTTTTCTTAGACACATCCAGCCTTGCTCCAACCACAGGAGCCAATAGCCCAGTCACTGGATCCAAGGTCTGAGAGCCATAACGGATCGGCACCAGGCCTGCACCATACAGTGTAAAAACAAAAGGTTAAAACTATGAATAAAATGTTAAATTGAATCAAAGTAAAATAGAAAGTATGTGAATATACACAACAGCTTGTGACATGTTGCCTTTTCCATCTGGATCCTCCATAGTCCCAGCCAGTGGGATTGTATCTCCAGAGATGCAATCAGTCTGACACCCCAACACAGGAACACTAAGACCAGATCCCATTGGGTCAGGGTAGTCCATCCCCAGCAGTGCTGGTACACAAGTGTCTGAACCTGGCAGAGGCATCTCTCCTGGTTTCAATAGTACAAACATGTATAGGATAAGAACAGATTTCTCTTATGGACAAAGTCCATAAGATAAAAACAAAGTCTTCTTTTTTCATTTCACTGGATTATCAACCTGAGTTCAGTCATATAAGGTTAAGAAGCTATTCTTTCCTTTAGGAATAAAAAAAGTAAATGTTACAAAAATTAAATATCACAAGCCAGTTTACCGTGATGACCATCAAAGGCTGAGAAAAGCAAAGAAGTGTAAATACTGTGTGGAATTAATGATTAAGCAATGCAGTTTTTATAGATTTACACTGAATCCGCAGTGAGTGATGAACTGAAGACCAAACAGGGAACTGAGGCCGACTAGTGGTGAGGATATGAAACAGAATAAACTAGAAACTAAACCATGACCAAACCATAATCACAGGAACAGACCTGAAGCAAGAAAAACTAAAACTATGGATACATTTAAATGAAAAAAAAATCTAATCAAATCAACAACCAAGTTAAACCATACAAGAAATAAAAAAGAAACAAATGGGCAGATTAACAACAGACAAAGAGAGAAAAAAAGAAATTCTAATACACACAAAAATCTCCAACATACTGAGAACACAAATAAGATGGAATGGAAAGACGGAAATCTAATCTAAATTCATTTTCCTGCTGAATGAAACAAGATCCTCTTTAGCTATGAGCATCCCAAATCCAATTTTTTTTTGTCGTAACATGAATTATTTTTTATTACAAGACACTTAATCTGTTTATTCTTTTGTTACAGTGAACCGCGGTATTGTTAGGTTGTTGTTCACTTCTTCATGCTTTAACAGGCTAATCAGACAGCTTCTTGATTTGCACCAGAGAACAGCTCATTCATAAATGCAAATGAGCAATCTTGGGTTGTTCATGTTCAATAAACAAATAAGAAGATTTGCTTTGTTTTTTACATCAGATACAAAAATCTGATACAAAATATACACTCTTAACAAAGGGTTGGAGAGGAGAGAGCAATAACAAGAAGAGAGAAAGAGGGAGAATAGGAGAATTAATAAAATGAAGAATTGCTCAATGCCCTTCATCTCTTGGCCTTTTCCTCACCCAGAGTCCCCCCATCCTGCTGGACACCAACAGCCCAGTCCAGCAACATCTCCAGTCTAGTCTGCAGCTGCAGCTGGCAGTGCAGACTCCTTCCCCATGCATCCTCAAGATCCTTGGTGCCAGCAAGAAGATGATCTTGTTGATTAATTGCGTTCTCATTATTTGAATTGGGCTGCAGATGTTGGAATGTTGGATCTGAGCCACACTCCTCAGTTAAAGACTTCAAAAGATCCAAAACCTTTAGCATCGCAGCCAGGACCTGAGTGAAACAAATACCGTTTTCACTTAACATTTCATTCTATCTAAGTTTAAAAAAAATAGCTGAACATATCTGTGAGCATACATTCATCAATTATAATATTCCAAATAGAAAATGTGTGTCCTACCACCAGGTTTTGCCCCGCCAATAACTTACTGATATGATCATTTTGACAAAGGAACTGCCATTTTTTTGGATGTTAATATCTTGTCTTTTTTTAATAAAAATATTAATCAGTGTTTAGGAGAAAAACTAAAAATTAAAGGCTTCAATATGCAATTTCAGAACTGCTCTTAAATCACCCATGTTGGTGTGCATTTCTTGTCTATAATCTTTCCTTTTTTCAATTCTAAATGTATGCATAGGAAAATAAGTTATTCAAGTACCTTGCTATCGAGCAAAATTTGATATCCTCCTGCATTTGGCACTGGATGTCCGGCCCTGAGGCTGGCCCCTCCCACCTTCATCATACGCCCACTCAGTGGTTCAATGAAGGATTCAGCAAGCAAAACTCCACCTACTGGCAGCACATCTCCTTCACAGACACATGCAATTTTTTTTTCTTTTGAATAGGTTAAAATCTCTTTTCCAAAAGCATGTTGGTCAAAAACGATATCAATTCAGGGCAACAGTGATAAACACAGCACATGCACTGAAAACTAAATCATTTATAATAGTAGAAGACAGTTACAAAAGTAACTTTAAAACACCTTAAGTTGAAACGGTTGGATTTTAAGACACAAAAAGTTAACACCACATTCATCATAGCTGAAAGGGAAGGCAGAATGAGCAGACACAGACGTTAGAACCACTTAGATGTTCGATGTTTAAACTTAGCTTAAGTGAATCTGTTTTGTTGTTACCTTAAAAGAAATGCTAGATTTCATTCTAACAAGAAGAAAAACATGACTATAGTAGAGGAAGCTGTTCCTACGAAATCGCTGTGACCCTAACACAGGACGAGGGTTAAAGACACAGTTCAGGTGTTTTGCGCACTCACCGCCAGCACTAACCTGTTACAGGATCTAAACTGACCCCGACAGTGAGCACAATGTTCCCCGTCCTCGAATCCAGTATGGGATAACCAATCTGTATGGGCTGAGGCAGGCGGGTGAGTGGGCAGACATGCAGTCTGCCAAGAGGGTACACTAATCCAGTTTGTGGATGGATGGTTACTGCCAGAATGGGGACTGGCACTCCTGTGTCTGGGTCTGTCATAGCAGCACCCAACTGGAGCCTCTGACCCAGTCTGAGGCCTTTGAGTCTCATTTTGGGCAGAGGCTGCTCAGAGTGGCAAATGGTTGGGTAAGGAATGAAAGGAAGGAGGGGACTGTCCCACTTTCTGTTGTCACCTGGAATAAAAAATGGCACATATTAGCTATATATCAGGGAGGCCTATTTTTGGATGTTGTAATATTTCTCAATATCTTAAACTGAGATATTGCCATATCTTGTCTTTGTAAGGGATTTTTAATGTGTGCAATTTCTCATGTTCTATTTGAGTCACCACGATACACTTTTGTGGTATATTTGTGTCCTTCCACTTTGAAGTGATATACTTTTGTTCACATGCTATTCTGTGACACACTGAGAAAAATGCAACATTGTTATATTAATCTACAGTTAAGTCATTTTCACAGGGGATGACTTAACAATTATAAGTTGTACAATAAATTTAAAGGAGTAAAACATAATATCAGCAGAATTAAAAACAATTTCAGTCAGGCATGATATTCTACATTGGTAATGCATTCAATCAAAAGTTCATCAAAAATAGCTTTTCATTTTCATTTTCAACTTGAAGAGTGTGCTGCCTTTTCCCAGTTAACTGCTTACTTGTATTTTGGTTGTTTAGAAAGTTGATTTGCAAACAGGAATGATTTAAATGTGACGGATGAAATAGTTTCATTCTCTATCACAGCCAATGAGGCCAGACTCAATGAGCAATTGCTCCTGGCATCTCTGTCCGTCTCCAGTTGAGGGGAAAATATTTGCTTGAGGTGCGACTATTTCAGATGGGTCCTCATTATTGTTGTGACCTGGCCCATGGACAACAAAAAAAACTGGTATGGAATTTAAAAAAGGTCTGTCAACAATCTCATTGATGAGATCCACCCTCACTTTTGACACATACTCATTTTTTTAAGTTACCTTAAGTACCATTCACCATATATATAAGGTGAGCACCTATAGAGTTATAAGCCAAATAGAAATGCTTTTTTTTAAAGAAAAGGACGTGCCATTATTTCAAATTGGCGCCAATTAAATATCCTCACCTCTCCTCGGGGTGCATTTTAGGAATTGGAATAACCATTATAATATTTATCAGTAAAAATTTAGATATTGGCTTATATTCCCATACTTTTACCAGTGCATCAAATTAAGACCATTCAAAAGTTAGCATCTGTGGCATTCCAGGGCAGTGTGACGAAACAAATAATAGTTCAATACAGGCAGAAACTGTTAAACCTTTCACTAATGTCAAACTGAAATGCACAAAAACATTAAAACAAACTCCCAAAACTATTCATTTTACCTGAGCAAAGGTCTGTGGTGGGCACTAACGTGGAGCTGGTAGGATCAAAGGCCACATTGCCAGCAATTGGCATAACTCTGCCAGTCTGAGGGTGGACGAAGAAATCCGGTGGCACTGCCATGGAATGGCCGCTGCTCAGCAGCATGTGGCTGTGAGCGTTGGGGTGTACAAGGCCTGTGACAGAATCACAGTGGACAACCCGCGACAGACACAAAGATCCATCAGGACCTAATGTGAGGGGGGAAAGTGAGAACTTGAGAATAACATCCTGTTCAAAACTGATAAACCATCAGTTACAAGCAGGGGGAGCAGCTACCCCCACGGCAGAATAGGTATTAAGCCAGCACTGTGGGCCATGGCAACTGGCATGTTAACCTGATGTCTGGCATTGGCTCCACTTTTATGATGCTACGCCAGAAGTGGTCCGATTGTGGTTGGTTTTATGGGGCCCAGATCTGGACATATCAGTGCTGCCCAGCGGTTTAGGGCAGGAGTACCATCACCTTACAGCAGATCTGTGGGTGCCTTTCTGTGTGACATTTGCATGTTCTCCCTTTGTCTGTGTGGTTTCTCTTTGGACGAATATATGCAGGTCAGGTTAATTGATTGGCCTTGGGAGCAAATGTGAGTGTTTGTGGTTGTTCGTTTCTGTATTTAAAAACAGTTGTTCAGGTCAAAATTCTTTTTTTTTTTTTATTGTATCATGACTTTGTAGACCACTTCTGGCATACAAGATCCGGGCCACTAATTGGCCCTCGTTCTTTGCAGTAAGTGAGACAGAACTGGGCCAGACTAATTTAGATGTGGGGGAACTAACTACGGGCGGCACAGTGCTGTGGTGGTTAGCACTGTCGCCTCACAGCAAGAAGGTTCTGGGTTTGAGTCCCCGGGGGAACCAGGACCTTTCTGTGTGGAGTTTGCATGTTCTCCTTGTATCTGTGTGGGTTCTCTCCGAGTTCCTCCCACAGTCCAAAAACTTGCATGTTAGGTTAATTGGACATTTAAAATTGCCCTTAGGAGTGAATGTGAGTGTTTGTCCTTGTATTTCTTGTGTGCGGCCCTGCGATTGACCTGTCCAGGGTGTACCCCGCCTCTCGCCCATTGACCAGTGGGATTAGCTCCAGTTCTCCCTGCGATCCCATTAGGGAATGAGCGGTAACGATAATGGATAGGTGGAATTAACTAAAGACACGGGGGTGGGAGAAATACGTTTTTATGTTTTCTTTTCTTTTCTATATACCTTAAAAGAAAGGCTAGACTTTATACAAACAAAAAATTACTGTTGCTGCTTTATGTGGTTTAAAAATATATGTTTTTGCAAGATAACACTGTCTTGGTCTGATAAGCCTGAGTCCTGAATGACAACATGTTGCAGTTTAAAAATCAACTGCAAATAAACATTAATGATATCCATATAAAAAAATAGATATAAAATATCAGTTAAAATCAGAAGCTCATTTCTTGTTGTCCTTTTTAATTTAAAATACAATGATCCAACTCTGAAATGCTGCTGCCTCTGCTTGGATTGCTGTTGGTTGTAGGACACATCTTTAGCAGTAGATGGTGTTGTTCCTGTACAATTCGGGAATCTGTGTTTTGTTATTTACTCACTAAAGATGTCATCTTTGGTCAGAACAGTTCCAGAGTCAGGGCAGAGCAGCTTGGCCCCTGTGCCCTCCCCCAACAACCCCCACGCACCCTGGCGATGGCATTCTGCAGACAAAAGTTCCCCCATGTCTTCCATGACGGACATTAACTTCTCAGTCACACTAGAAATGAAGAACAGATCAAAGATATCATAGTTGATGCAAAATTCTGTTTTACAGAATTTCATTGATGCCCGTGGAAAAAAGCCATATTTTTACATTTGGTGCTGCGTCTCAAAGGAGGGCTGAGGGCTGCAAACTTTGGACAAGATCCTTGTGCACTCTCTGAGCTGAGACATGAATGTGCTGTAGACCCTCAGCTTGGCCTGCTGCTCACTCTTCAAAAGCTTGAGGAAACCAAAAGCAGTCAGTACAGTAGCTCTTAGAAATGTATGCGTTTTGTTGTTTGGATCTGCGTTATTGACAAATTTTATTTGGATTCTGACTAAACTACGGCACCACTTGTGTTACAGTTACTGTATCCTGTATCCATAAATTATCCTTAAAAAATGTATCCATTAAACTGGTATTTTTTCACATGTGTGTATGATGATGCTTGTGCATATATGTGGATATACTATCATTTAAACCTGCAACTGACTCTCCAGCAGAGTCCTCATCTGGGAAGCTAAAGTCTTTCGTCGTGCCACCTCTCTCTCCATCTCCCTCCTTATCCTCTCATAACCGTCCCCCACTCTCTCCTCAGGAATCATGCGTGGGTGGAGTAGCTTCAATTTTCCAAGCACTCCCTGATATAGCTCCTTTACCTGGATAAAAACAAAGAATCGCATTATAAGACTGCAATTTTCCGATCATATATCTCCAGTGCATCTGGCACGTATCTAACCAGAGCCGAGGTTCAGCACGTTTGGGGAATGCCATCTCCTTTTACATCTTTATCAGTGTAGCTGTCCTCAGGCATGTAACAACAATCTGTGTGTTTTGCACTGCATTCAACTAATTCATTGTGGGACCAGGAAGACCACAGAGCAAGGTGTGTTGGAAAGAAGAAAACACAGGTATTCACTTGTGATATTCAATCTGTTTCTGTTGACTTGATCTTTATCAGTCAGACATGTATTGTGAGAGTCAAAAGCAAGAGAAAGAAAACAGAAGAGGACGTAAAAGATAACAGACTGAACTGGACCAGTAGAAAATTGGGTTATTGAAAGCACACATGAGGGTTAATACGTTTTTAGAATCTTTCTTTGAACAATGACATCTAGACTCTGGCCTCAGGCTGACACCACAAAAAATCAAATAGATATTCAATAAAAAGATAAGGCAGATTCACCTTTTTCTATCTATTGTGTCTTTCAATAAAGTTGATAATCTATCTCAGAAATATCCTGCATATGATCAATATAATCCCTGTTGTCAGTTCCACTGTAGCTAACAGATTAGTGTGTTTGTTTTGCTAAGAGAAAAGGATAGATTTGCTGTCATCCCCTAATTCCATTATTCATACTTTGCTTTTTTTTTTTTAAACATAGAGAACTTTTTGTATGACCGTGGTAGAAAACTTTCATGAGATTTTACCGAGAGAAAAGAACATTGTTGTCATTTGTTAAAAGAAATCAACTGATCCCAAATCTTTCCATAGTTTCTATGGAAAAAGTTAAGATATTCTAGCACAAGTGCTGTGCTTCTCGCTGCTGAGTTTTTGGATTTATTCGAATGGTCAAACACCCCATGGCAGACATTTAGCTGCAGGTATACTCAATTTTATGACTAGGGAGATAACCTTGTTTAAATGAGCTGCAATATTATTTGATTTAATTTGCGTGTGACTCATCTATCTATTGAAACGAACAAAAGGCAACAAAGATCCAAGGAAGAGCTTTGGGATATTCTTCAGAAAGTCTTCAGTAAGAGAGCTTTTTCTGAAGACTAATGAAAAAATACAATGAAAATTGTCTTGTTTACACTGAAATAAAAGAATATTCATTGACAGTCATCAGCATTTGCCCCCTGTGTGACAAGATAACCTTGCCATTCTAGACTAAATAATCACATTATTACTTATTACCAGGCAAGCACCGGTATAGTTACACTGAACTTGCCACATGGAAGGTATCAAAAGCTAATGTTTCTGTTAATCTTCCGAGCTCTTTGAGAATTTTGTTTGATTGATCATAATATTCTTAAAACTTGTTGAAAAAAGCCAAGGTCCACAGGTCCCACTGTGCCACGCTTTTAAAGTGAGCTACACTGAAAGTGTCACAAATGTTATATTCATGTGGACTTTTCTGTCCCCCACTGGCTTAATCTAAATGATGGACAATCTATATGAATTATTGCTTGATGCCTGCCCCTGTATTGTTATTCACAAGCACTACATAAATTAATAGCGCTGTGTGCATCATACTGCTTTTAATTACAAGGGTCCCAAAAGGGAATGGTCTTTCACAGGTTCTCCTTGAGAGAAACGGCCACGCATCAAAGTGTGTTTGAAGAAGAATAGGGCATGTATGAGTCCTTTCACTTGTCATATGTTTAATTTGCATATAAAGTAATAGCGGTAGACCTCGGTGGTGAGCTGCCCCAGACGTGTAGTGACAGCCAGGCTTTGTTTGAGCAGGATGGTGTAGAAGGTGTTGCTGTTAAATGCCTCCAGATCCACTTGTTGTTCATAATCCCAAAACTCCTCTGAAATCCCCGCGTAGGCTGGCGTCAAAACAGAAAATGGAAGAAAAAGAGTCATCGGGCATGTATAAAATTGAATAGCAAACATAATTTTCTATGTTTGAAAAGTTTTTTTCTAACCGAGCCCCCTTTGTGTTTTGGAACATCTAGTTAAAGTGAACATTTTCTGTGAAGTTCCATGAATTAATGTGTATCCGAGACTATACAACAACATTCCCAAGAAACTGCCCTCTGATGTCATACTTTCCCTGTTTTGATTTCCCTACACGTGATGTTAGTTTTGTTTCATGGGCCTGTTCAACAGTAATTGGTTGGGAAAGAGCACCTCCCTAAAGTCATAGTAAGTATTACCTAATAAGCCATAGGTCTTTGAAGGCCTCACTGTTTATGTGTAGTTCATGCACACTGAAGGTGCATCAGTTTTCTTGTTGGCTATCATGTTTGTGTGTAAGTTATGCAACATGTTGGCCTTCAGGCTTTTTGTGAATGAGCAAAGTGAGGAAGTGTTTATGTGTTGGGTCCCTTGCAATGACCAGAATATTCCACCTGGCTCAACAAAGTCTTGTGCCATTCCAGCTTTTTGTTTGCGGTGAGTCTTCCTAAGGGAGATCACCCTCGAGCCTTTTGATGCATAGTCATCCATTTTATATGCCAACTGCCGTAGGCGATATTGCCTTTTGATGGTCTCTTTTTCCGGCCATCCATACTCACGAATAAGGATCTACAGAGGAGATATATATATCAAAGGGTAAAAAATACATTTGAGTCAACCTTAAAGGCTGGTGGCGTACTGTAAATGTGTTTTTAGCATCTTGTGGCAGTTTGTGTACACTAACCAGCAGTGTAACACATAAACAGAGGATGACCACAGCCCCAAAAAGTAGTCCTCCAGTCACCAGCCAGTCTGGACGGAGTAAAAGGTCTCGTCTCCTGCTGATTCCCATCCTGGTCACATGACGTGGAAGGGCGGGGAAGAAGGGACCTGACTCATAACACTGGCCACCTGCAGGCATCACTCGCACATACTAGGAAGAAGGATTTCAATAGTTAGCACATTGTGCACGTTGTTTGATATACCCTTCCTATCACCACTGCTAAATCAATTAAATATTTAAGAACATATTTACGAATTTGCAACTTATCTAAATTAATTTATACACTCATCTAAATTGAACTGCACTGCAATATGTTGGTTAGCACTGTCACAAAAGGGTTTGAATTTGGGCAACATTTCATTTTTTCTAAAAGAATGAGCAGATGTAGTAAAAGGATGGATATCAATAGCTTTGCATTTAACATTGACATGTTTTTAGAGTTAATTACCATGTGTTTGTGTGGATGGCTGCTCAGTGTAAAAACGTAAACTCCAGGCTGACTAAAGACGACCGAGAAGAAGCTGGGAGGAGCCCAGGACAGCGTCATCTCTTCTTTAAGCAGTCTGAAAACACCCCAGTCAAAGTCTCTGTTTGTGTTATACAAGTTTTTCCTGAAAGACACGAGAATATGTGTAAACCCAGAGATTAGAAAGGGTCAAAGTGAGGATTTGTGGCAGGATATAAGAAGAAAAACTCACATGTCATACTGTGGGTAGTGATGAGTGTCAACGGTGAACAGTAAAATATCACCCTGATGTAAGCATGTTGTTGGGTTCAGAACTCCAGATACTTTGGATAATTTCACTTTTTCCACAATATCACTCTCATCTTCTTTCCACTTTCCTGAATCTATTTCTCCCTCTCTATGACTGATTTGTCCAAGACTGGTAACCTCAAGCGAGGAATCATAATCTCCGTCTGAAAATAAGCAATTCAGCATATTCCATTGTAAATTAGTTTATGGAAAACAGATGCCTTGTTCTCCATGTTTAGATAAGATATTAGCGACAAACCAGCTGAGCTCTGTGAGTCCCACTGTGTGCTGTCAGGAAACAGTCGCTGAAGCTCCTCTGGGAGACCACTGAGGAGGCCAAAGAATCCTGCCTCTGCAAACAAAAGGCGAGATGTGAAACAAGCGAATGGGAAAGGGAATTGAATACAAAACATGTACTTGGAAGAAAATGAATTGTGCGAGTGTGTTTGTTACTGTGTAAAAGTGTGCCCCCACCTGTTGTTTGAACAATGTAGACAGGACGTGAGGAGCTGAGATGGCTGTTGCACTGCAGATTCCCCTGGGAGTCCCACTGTTTAAAAATCATCTCCAGCACACTGCCTGAGACACCCAAAACCTGCAGACAGACAATAAAGGTGTTTTCTATAAAAGGCCACTGCGACACAGGATGCACTTGTCTTGATTTCACTGTTTCAAAGAAAAGGCAGCAATACATTGTTGCTCATTGTTCATTTTTGTTGTTTTTTGCTGACAGTTTTGATGATGCAGCTTTAGCACAACAGATGGAAACGTTTCACTTGGTTTATTTACAATGTTGTCACATTTCACCTTCGCGTTATAGCTCCACACAAGTTCCATATCTCCATCTGAATGGCAGTGGAGTTTAAGTTCAGCAGCTGGCTTTCCCCTGCACAGTCCGCTGCATGCAGCTCTGCCAGAGGTTTCTCTACAAACACAAAGACCCAGCTGCCTGTCATAGCCACGGTAATCCTCCTCAGTTTGGCACACCTAGAAATAAGGGACAAATGTAGAGCCATTCAGCTGAGAACACCTGACTCATTCAATATGATGAACAGTGAAGTCACTCAACTTTTGTAGTTAAATATTAAGTCAACTTAATAAGCCTCGACCAGATAAAGTATAGTCAGGTTCATGGAGTAAAGGGCAAAGACATCTAGGTTGCACTCATTACCCTTGATGATTGTGTGTGTGTGTGTTTGTCAGTTTGTTCTGTAAACACACCGCAGTTGTCTCACATATCTTCAGGATGAATTTCCTGTCTGCTGTCCTTTTGTGATAGCCTTGCTACCTTTACCCTACTTCTAGTATGTCCATCTCAGTGTGACAAGATTGCTCAAGGCCTTACCTCCCGTCTGCAGTGAAGCGACCACTGATATTTGTCAAAGCAGTCTCCATATTGCGTCCGAGATTTCCCATCTCTGCAGACGCTGTACAGCTGTTGCACACAAAGGTCTCCGTTGCTGGTCACTTCATAGCCGATAGTACAGTGGCAGCGCCCATCACTGGTCTGTGGAAAAGATTGGGCGCAATTCATTCTTTGCTTGTTGTGGTAAAGGCTCCTTCAATCATTTGATTTTCTTCGTTTCTTTCTTTTTGTTCGGGTATTAAACATGTCTCTGTTCATTCTTCTCTTTATACCCCCATTCCTCTGTTATACTCAAACACAGACAATTGTGCAAAAGCCAGAGAGAAAATCTCATTCTCTTTATTCTGAGTTGTTGAGAGGACGCTTCAACACATGGGCAACCGCAGCCAGTTGGGAAATTAGACCCTGCTGTGAAGTAACTAAATCCCGTTTGAAGCTGGAAGCTGCAGATTGTTAGGTGTTAGGTTTCTGAGAGAAAGTGAGGAAGCTGCTCTTTTGAGTATATCAGCACTCACACTGCAACCCAAAACGGCATAGTTCCAAACCAAGAAATCAATCAAAAATAATTCAAAGGCATCAGAGTAAACACAAATAAAGATAACAAAAAAAGAGCAAGAAACGTGGAAAACTGCACCTGAAAAATCTGCCCTTCTCCCGAGCAGGTACATGTGTCTTGGCCAGAAAGAGGCTGCTGAGCTACCGGACCACAAGGCAAGGGGGCAAACAGCCCAGGACGAGGACAGTAGTGTTGGGGAGGACACTTCAGACAGCTGTCTATGGACACAGCTCCAATGGTCGGTCCATATGTCCCCTTCGGGCAGGGGACAGTGCTAAAGTTGCCTTGCGGGCAGTAGAAACCTAATATGGGCAATGTTACAATGATTGCTTTTTTCAAAAAGGATAATTTCTTCCATTCTGTTTAAGAAACATCTCAGAAGCTTAAGCTTACCTGGCTGGCATGCTGGCAGCTCCTTGTAAGGTTGACTGAAGTTTCTTCCATCAGCCAGAGTGTGCACCCACGAAGCAAAGAGCCACCACAAACAGCCTGCCAACATGCTTCTGCGTGCTCGTATCATTGTTGATATGTTCTTTTACTTACGTAAAAAGCACACCAACTTGAATCCACATCTAATTCAACCAAGCATTTTCGTACTTTTTTGCCCATAGCCAACAAGAGAGATAATGTGAGCACAACCTTTCCTGTTCCATGCTCTGCAAGCACAGTCTGAGCTGCCTTTTAGTAGACAGAGCACAAAGTTTTGTTGCAGGCTCATTTATCTGCATATCTTAAAGTGGGTTGTTGAATTATTTATAAGGCCAGTGAGGTTAGGTGACAGCGAGAGTGGAGGGAATACTTGTTGCAGAGCTGCAGGAAGAGACAGAGAGCTTTATTTATTTTTTATCAATCCTACCATGACATGGATTAATGATTTTCATACCCTTGTGCATCAACACTGGTTTGCTTTGAGGAGCAAGCCAAGCTCCAACATTTTGTTCATATATAGAGAGTGTTTATACAGTCCTTCTCCTGGAGCTCCAACAAATAAACCATTCTGATAAGTATCCATCTATCCCTGGGCTAAATTCACTAATTCACTAAACCCTGTAGAGATGCACAGGGTGTGATGCCCATGGGATGCCAGGAATTTTGGGCAAGAAATACATAAACTGCTGCACTCCATTTTTATGGGTTTGTTGACAGCAGCTTGAACCAAAAATACAACTGATGGCATGTCAATTAAATCAGTTGTTCAATTAAACTGTGTTTGCATTTGAAAACTGCAAGAATATAAATGCATTACAGCTCTCAATATAGTTTGGTAAATATCTTTCTTTAAGGAGCTTAATTTTTTTTACGAAGTTTAAAGAAAAGTCTTTAAAAACCTTGGATCGGCTGTTCCTTTTCTGCTGACCGTATGGTCAATGTCATACAGTTACCCTTTGCTCTAAATAGGAATTTGAAATAATTGCTCTTTGAGGTAAAATGTTGGTCCAGTCAAAATGTTATGTAATGAGTTGTATAATGCAATATTTTCTTCAGTTTTAAACCAGGAGCACATACATGTGTTATTATATGTTGTGCCAACTGTGCAGCCAACAACCTATCAGTGCAGAAAAGCTGTCAACAGTGCTGTTTTCACGGTCACTCGCCAAGGTCTTACTTCACTGTTATTGTAACTAAATGCTGGACTTTGGATAACTACAATAACCTACATTTCATCATGGTAGCCATGGACCTTGACCAACCATTGACGACTTGTCACTTATCTAACTGAACAGGTTTAAACTTTCACCCACATATCCATGGCAGTTGAGTTAAAACCTTCCAATCAATACCTCTGATTGTGTGGAGAGCATCAAAGACAAGAAATATGAAAGCATTCCATGTCCCGTCCAAGCAGAATTCTGCACACCGGAAGGCTTTTGAGGCTGACGTCCATCATCCCTTGTTTTCTATATGCACAGAGTTTAACGTCATCCATTCTGTTGACTTAGGCTGTTTTGAACAGATCAAACACTCGTGTGTAAACCGTTTTCTTTGTAAGGCATCCAAGCCGGGAAATTCAGGAATTCATTACTTGATCCAAAAGTTCATTTGTTTGATTCTTTCGAAACTTTTAAATATATGATAAGTAAAACTCACTCCAACTGCAGTATCTATAAATAAGTTATGAAATTCAGGAGGGAATCATTTTGGAGTAAAAAGTTGGAAATCCTGCCAAATTTGTTATCTCATTTTGGAAACACACAAACATGTACTTCTTGAACCTTTTGGGCTTGCCATTACATTTCTACCGCTCTTCCAACTTGTTGTTTTAATGGGTTTGAAAGAACTCGATGATCTAATATCTGTTGTTCATCATCATTGCTATCGCAAGGTGCTGCTATTTTACTTAAATATGCGTTCCTATCTTGTCTTAGCACAGACACAGTGTCCCTTTGGGACACCAGGAGCATTAAATTATTATCAGTGTAACACAGTTTCCCCATAGACATGTGCCAAGAATTCTCTGTAATCAAGTTTTATGAAGGTGACATAGTGGTTGGTATTGATGTGACCTCATACAGTGCCTACTGTGAATGTGCATAAGCACACCTATTTGTGTGTGAGTGTGTGTGTGTCTGTGTTGTGTCCTATCATCAATGTGACCCACCACGTGTTGACTATTGATGCAGGCGGAGTTGTGACCGCTACTGATAACGGGGGCCTTTATAAGCCGGAGAGGATGAGTCTCTCTGCAGACCCATGATCACCAGGTAAATACTCACCGCTGTTTGACATATTCTTCTTCCTCTACCTATGAGAACGGAATATGTGTGAAGGCAGTTGATTATTATTTCTCATTATTATTACTACTGAAAATCTAACCTTTTTCTTTCATCTGTCCCCCCACAGAGAGACAAACATGCATCTAAAAGCTGTGATCTTCGCCCTTTCGCTCTCAGCAACTTTAGGTATTTATTATTGTGAAAATGGATTTTCATCTATCATAAATTTGTATGTGTTTGGTTTTGTATTCTTATGTTATTATATTCTTTCTTGGTCTGTAGCATACCCGCTACACAGTGACACCAGGGAGACGACCTGGGAACTCTCAAAAGGCAACCAGGCTCATGAAAAGACAGACCACACTAAAGACGTCCAGTAAGTGAACAAAGCTGAGGGCTGTGTTATATCTGGTTAAACTTTGAAAGTAGAGCTTATGTTCATGAAGTGCTTCTCTGTCTTCTGCAGTAAGATCTACAAAAGCATCATTGACAGCAACGGTCTCTACACCCAAGATGACAACAGCAAATACCCAGTGGCGGAGGAAATGCAGCGCAAACTGGCCATGGAGTCGGAGCGGCTGCGAGTCCGTCTGCGCCAAGAGCTGGCAGAGTTGAGGGACAGGCTATCCCCATCTCCAGACCACCTGAGTGCCATCGTGGCCAGCATAAGGGAGCGTTTGACTCCACTGACCGAACAACTCCAGAGCTCCCTCAGCAGCAGAACCCAAGATCTTTGCAGCCACCTGAATTTCTATCTGCAGGGCGTGGAAACTGCAGAGGCTCAAGCAGATCCCAGCCCAGCTCTCTATCAAGAGGCTTCCCACTGGATCACCCAAAGTCTGGAACACAGGAGCCTGCAGCTGACCAACATAATCAATGACTTCCATTCCATAGCCGGCAGAGAGATTGAACAGCTGAAAGAGACAATCGCTCACGAGGGAGAAGCACCTGAATCTAAGGTCTGGCAGGACGTAAGCTCCTTATTGAGACAAGAAGTAAGTTCGCTTCAGGAGCAGGCGCAGCAAAGAGTGGGGCTCCTCAAAGCCCACCTTACAGCACAGCTAGAATCAGACCAGCCTCGGATGGCTCAGGCTACAGGACACGTGGAGCAGTTCTGCCAAAACGCAGCCTCACAGAGCCAGCTGCTCCGGGCACAGGTGGACAGGTTGTTTATGTCGGTGGAGGAGAAGGTTCACGGAGCCACCGGCCTGTTTCTGCCCTCCTCCTTGTCCATGCAGCAAGAGGGTTCTTTGCGAGAAGACTTTTCAGTGAAGCTCTCCGCTCTGATTCAAGACATTCTGCACTCTGTACAGTGACGAGGGCGTGCACTTGATTTGTTCAAATTTAACGAATGTATGACCCATTTAAGTGACTCATCTGTCCTGTATTCTTGACCATTTATATCTCCTTTTGGTTTACTGCTGAACCGTCATGGCAAGCTGATTGTAAATATTTATGAATAATGTTGACTTTGTTTTGTTTTTTCATTATATATGTGTAAGAGTGAGCATGTATCTGTACGTTTTGTGTATGCTGAGAGTAAAGTTTTTGATAAAAACTGTAATGTTCCTTGTTGGTACTTTATGAGAATTACTGACATATCAGCCAAGATCCTAGAAACCCAAACCAATTTTAATGGTTATAATAATTTGTTTATTTAAGAAATACATTCATGTGTGACACCCACAATGTGGAAGAAACTGTACAGAATACATACATATGGGAAAAACACGTAGAAAGCAGATTTACAGACATGATATGGCAAAAGCAAGCCTGATTGATAGCATACATAGAAAATATCTCATTTTCATTGTGTAGGTTCAGAGAAATTACAACTGAATGAAATTATATAGACAGAACACATTACACGGGATCCCAATGCATTTGCTTGTTTGGTATGGTTACTTTTCAATAAAAGTGGGTTATAACTTAGATACTACAACATAATCAGTTTTGTCAATCCTAAAATAAATCTCTATTTATTATATGGTGAGAAGTGAAGAGGAAAAACCAATGTACTCGTCAGTCAAATGCATGAGACAATCCCCCCACGAAATAATACTTCTTCAAGGCAAACCAGCCACCGAGAACCAGCAGGACAGCAGCAGCAGATCCAAAAACCACGCCCACCACCAGGCCAGCCACATCGATGTCATCTTTCTCTGATTCCTCACTATTACCTGATACAAGCAAAGAGAGATTAGTAAGGATAATATTTAACATTGATAAAGATGTTTACATTTATTTCTGTATCTCTAATGTCATTAAGTATCATGTTAGAATACTCACTGTAAGCAGCTGGATTCGGGAGGTCTTTGATTAAAGAACAAAAGAAGCTGGGTCAGTACAATGTTAACTATGGTGCTCTGTGAAAATTATGCAACAAAATCGGTATGTTTTTCAAACCTTCTCGAGCAGTGTACAGTGGACCAACGGAAATGGTGGCGGAGTCACCGCCTTGTTCTCCAAAAGGAGTCAATGACCTTTTTCTTCTGGAATTACAAGCCTGAAAAAGATCCAGTATAGGTTTTTATCATATAACATTTTTTATCGTATAATTACCTGATTACCTGATTTCAATGCACATCATAATAATAATAAGTCATAGGATTGTCCTGAAAATATTCTATTTTCCTTAAATGAATATGGTCAACACATTTTGTTATTAATCATTTAATAGTTTTTTATTACCCTTAGCCTTGCCTAACCTTTATTTAAATCATAAATGGATGTGATAGAGAAAATAAATAAGTACATATGTTTCAGATTCAGATCTTTGCCCTTGAGATTTTGCCAGTGAGTGAGTTTTTTTTTTTTTTAGAAACGTTACAAGCAATATGTACCGGAATATACCTATTTTTAACCTTTTTTTACTTTCATTTTAGAAAGAGTATTTCTGAACTCATAACTTACAGATAGCAGCGTCTGACATTTGCTCGGTTCACATAGTCTCATGATGCAGTGGAGGTAGATGCTGGACTTTGCCTTGTCTCGGTGCTGAACAAAGCGGAAGGCCTCAAAGTTAAACTTGGCAACACTGGAAAGGCCGTTACTTGTCACGGTTGTCTTTTGGTTTACTGTGCAGCTGGCAGAGAGAGAGAAAAAAAGACAATGCAAGTATTTTGTAAAGACAAAAGAATGTTTATCCAAAGATATACTCTTCCTTACCCAATGAAGAAGTTGTGCTGCTCACTCTGAGACATGTTGTAAGGAGTGGGAGTACCAAAACAGTGGTCAAGCAGCACATGGAAACTGGAAACAGAACAATGAATTAGTTCATTCTCACCACCAGATAAGATTTTTCACTTTTATCCATGGATATTGATTCAATTAGAACTTTTACCAATGTGATCTACTCACTTTCCTGTGAGGTTCACAGCCTTGACCTCCACATAGATCTTGGTTCGGAGCTCAAGCCCTGTCGAAGGTACTACTAATGGGTAGCTGTAGTCAGAATCCTGAAGAAAAAAGACAATTAAATTATTATATACAGTCATATACGGACACTTTAATTTGTTTATAAGTCAACATTGTACCTACATTAAATACACTCATTTTGAGTGTATCAATGAAGGTTCCATTATTATTGTTGGTGGCCACAGAGACGGAGGAGCTAAAAGAAAAAAAATCATACTTTAGCTAAAGATTTGACAGATAAATAAAAAGATGCAAATATTTTTCATTGATTTGTTTATTTGTTGGACAGAGCAATCATTCTCATTTACTCACGCGACAATCTGTGTGTTGTTAATCAGATACTCTAGAGGGTAGCGGCAGGAGAAATGATAATACAGGTCTGTGGAGTAGCTGATTACCCCCTGGTCAGATCTGGGTGTGTCGATATACCCTGTGATGATAACTGACTGAACAGATGAGAAGCTACTGAAGGGGCCTGTAGGGTCTGGATCTTCATCAACAATCTACAAAAATACAAAATATAAATGAAATATCAGGATCATTCATTACAAAGGCAATGATTCACTACTTTAAATGCACGTTGCCATGTAATTATATGAATAATTAATCAAATTGTTTGGCATCTTCAAACAAACACCGTCTGACCTGCAGGGACTGACGGCAGGGGTTATCATGACTGTGGTTAACGTGAAGCTGGTAACGGATGACTGGAGGATCCACACTGGTGTCAATCAAGCCTTGGCACTCCGTGTTATTATGGTTTCCATTGAGTGCCAGGTGGGTGGCATTGAAGCCTGCCCACTGAGCCGTGCACAAATTGACCTCCAGGGTTATCATCCTGGTTCCACAATCAACCATCAGATCTGTGTTGTCTAAGAAAGAGAAAAAAATGATATACCCCAGCTAATCAAATAAATTGAGAGATATTCACATGACATGAACTCAAGTAAAGATACATAGAGGTTCATCTGATTCCAATCATAGAAGGAAACTGGACAAAGCCTATTTGTATATGTATAGGGGAAAACACATAACTCATTCAGTTTCTCAGTTTTGTCCAGAGCAGCCTACCTGGGGTCCTCTCATACTGAGATGAGCAGTTGTACATACAAAGAGCCGGATGTAGGAGCAGAGCCAGCAGAGGGAGACAAAGGAAGAAGAGCATGCTGTCTGTCTGAAGCCCTGTGTTTAAAAAAATCTTGTAAAGGATAGAGGGAGACAAAACAACAGCACGTATTATTTCTGTCTCTTCAGATTCAGTCCAAACAACTGAATCATCAATAAGAAAGAGTACATACCGGTACAAACATAGTTCATAGTCAAGGCAGTCAAGCATGATAAATGTATATGTGCAGATTCTAGTTTTGCACAATAAAATCAAACTCACAATTTTTTCCACAAATATTTTGCCACTAAAGAAAAACTAAATGACAGAATAATGCCCTGAAAGTTCTTACCTTGCTGGTACCTGAGTAATCGGTTGTCACAAAGGTTGTTCAAGAACTGTGGCTTTTATAGTCTGTGGGACACCTCAGGCCTTACTCTTCGGCCCTCCCTTCAACTAATTATAGACTCCCCACATCAGACAGACACGCATACACACTCACATGCGCGCGGACCCTTCACGTTTTTGGCGTCAATTCTCACATGGAAAGTGGCAGCTCCTGCCATGGTGTGGTGTCAAATCATCACCAAGTCGATTAATGTGTCAGTGGGATTTGACACAGATCCCTTCAGGTGAACTACAAACATTGCTTATCTCCATCTGAAAGTATCACTGAAGATCAGATGCTAGAACTGTTCTTCACGATCGGATAGCATGTCAAGTTTCAAGATACATAATGTGCGGTTCAATTTTTTGAAAACTTTCAAATAGAAATCTTCCTAGAATTAAAAATGTTGCTTTTTTAATCAATGAAATGTACATATATATATTTTAATTTTTTTTAATCAAAATTTGAGAAGATAAAGTTTTTTTTTCTAGATTAGTCGTGGATTAATATTTTGGGATTGGAACATCTTAAAGTTATGAAAGGTGATCTTGATCCCCATCAGCTATGTAATTCATAGATAGCCCAAAGAAACCTTTGTTAATTCCCCTTGCATGTCTGCCCTTTCTTTTATTGTCTGCACGGAGCCGATAAGCTTGTATTCTATATAGCTATAGGCCACAACAGTTACTGCTAAACTGAGGAGACCCATTGTTCACCTGAAATATAGAATGTAAAGGAGCATCAGTGTTTTTGCCAAAGTCCCCATGGTGAGAGACGACATTTGTCACTTTATCCTCAGATGCGTCACTCCCTTGCAATCTCTTCAGCCCCACCTGCTATACCTTCCTGAGACACCTGCTTAAAAACAACCAGCTAGTCATTCTTCAGCACTTTAAGCACGTTATCAGATTCATTTTCTGATAATCCCCCTGCCTGTGGGGTCAGATGGGGATTATGTAAAGATGTCTGGACATCTTAAACTGGTCAGAGATAATTGAGTATGCTTAGAAACACACATAAAAACAAATTGGATAACAATGTAAATTCCTGTTGGATTATAGAATTAGTTTTGAACTTTTTTGCATGTGAATAAATAACTCCTACATATACAAACATTGAAAAAAAAAGTTTGAAAGCACACATAAATCAGTGGTTCAGATGAAGTTTTCCACAGTCTGAAATGTCTCCAAATCCCTGCTTAATGTATGCATGTAATCAAAAAACAATTGTGATCAATTTTGTCCTTTCTTTTAGTGTTTAGACTTAATTAATCGAGTCATTTGTATTATATGATTAAATCAATAATAAAAACTTGTTAAAGAAATGTCATATATTTAAAAGGGAACAAAGAAAGTTATACTATCAAAGTTAAAAAAAAAACACATCTTTTATATGAAAATGATACAACGAAGTTAAAAAGAGATTGTTTAAAAGACTGGTCAAATTCACATTGATAATAGTGTGGATGGTCAGCTATAGTAAGAGAACCAATGTTAGATGTACCAGACAGCCAGAATTATGATGGAAGTGTACTGCAACAAGTATTTCTTAACGTCTTTAATTCTTTCCTCCCAGAGTGAAAAAGGACAAACAATCATATCAAGATACAATGCAAACAAGACCCAGGAGGCACTGATTTAGATTACAAAGAAAAAGGATACACTGGGAAGCTCGTGAGGACATGGTGCTGCGCTCTGTGGGCATGTACAGTAAAAAAACAGATTATCAGCTAACCCCCGGGGTATGAATATAGTGTATCACATGGACAAATAGCTTAGAAAGCCAAAGTGTTTAATGACATGTACAATATTCAGAAGATTTAGAGAGCTTTTGTGAATTCAACCTAAAGAGAAATGAATGTTGATGCACTGCTATTGGGAAATCTTTCCATATTCCTGGAGGAAAAAAAACATTTTTCATCACACATTTGCTGGAAGAGCACTTTTCTACAAAAATATTACTCAGATTTGAGATATAGTTTGATCTACATTAGAGTGAAGTCACAAATGGCCGATGATGACAATATGTATGCAAATAGATGTGGATGTTACCATTAGATCCATGCATGCATGCATGATGCATGTATGTGGAAGTTGTATTTTGAACAGTAACATTAAAATGTTGGGAAAAAAACTTTATACAAGACATAGAGCCTAAAAATGACAAAGAATTGGTACTGCAGGTCTAATTAACACAATGTATTGAATGCTGAAGTAAAGAAATTATTCATTTTCTTAAAATATAGCTTGTTTAGAAAGAAATGCCATAAACATGTTTTTAGAAGAGTGGGCTGTGTTGGATGTGATTAAACTACACTATTGTTTCGTGTGATGTTTTTCTTTTATCAACAATTGTCATGTTTTTCACCAGCTTTTCTTTGCAGACAAAGCCAGAATACCGTCCAAACTCCTGCTGTGAAGTGTAAACAGCATAATTAACCCTAACCCTGAAAAAGGTTTCGACTTTTGCCAGCAACTGCTCCCATATGCAGTGATGCCTGGCACGCACATCCATACATCTTTTTGTCTTTTACACGTTCTTGCCATTGTGTGCAGCCAGAGTAAAAAGTTAAAAGAGTCCGTACAGATCATCAATAGAGCTATGCCAGTGTTTTTGCCATCAAATTGGAAGCTTCCTTTCATTTTTGTTGTGAGGGTTTTTCGCAGTAATAAGTGAATGAAAAGCCATATAAAAAAAGAACAATGGCATTCATTCTAACATTGTTAGTGCTGTTTGTGAAAGTGTCCATGACAACAAAAGTAGATACTGTAGTGGATCAACAAAAGATCATCTCAAAAGCTTATCTCTGCTCTTCATTCATTCATGAGAGACTGGTGTCATCTGGTGGACAAAATCAGGCAGTACTCAAATGCCTTGTTTTTTTTCTGGATCTGACACACTCGTGATTCGGCACAGAGGAAATATTCCAATAGAGGCACATGCTGATGGACTTTTGAGTTCACCAAAACAAAAACATCCACTCCCTTGAACAAAAGAAGTAGAACAAACTTTTGCTTAAATAGGCACAAGCCCAATTTTCTTTTGCTTTCTATAAGACTGCTTTTCCAAACTTTTTTTTTTTATTCTTATCTTTTGTCTGGAAGCAATCTTTGGAAGCCTCACATCTTAAATCACATCTCTTTACGACCAAAACGCAGTTTGTTGAAGATTAGAATATTATTTGTAACCCAGCTACAGCCGATAAAATGTGAGGTGGGTTTTTAATGACAGCATTTCCAATTTCGCATCAGTAATGACCCCCAAGGTGAGCAGGAGCATGCAGATAGCAGCTATTGGGCCTTGTTGGGCACTTATCTCTTTAACATTAGCAGCACCTATGACATATTCTCACACTGGAAATGAAGGCAGCTGAACCTGCAGCAATGTTTCAGGAAATGTGACCCTGAAAAGAACTGTCCCCTTCCTTTTCTGCTTGCTTTCCTGTTCACGGACAATCCCTTTATCTTTTCCACCCTCTTTATCTGTCTGTCCCCTCATTTCTCACTGACTGGCCTTAATTTGCCTCTTTTTTCAAGGTGTGTTCACAGCTTAGTAGTACTTAGTAATACTTGATAGACAGTTCACTGAGGGTTTTTTCTTCCAGTTGTGTTTCTCAAAAGCCTCAGCCTCTATCTGAGTGTTACAGGGATGACCCATACTCATGGCTGTTTTTAATACAGTTCACATGATACACACTGGAAGGACAAAGGATTCTATTCAGCCCATAATGACACTACTATATATATTATACGGGATTTTGCATGGCAAACCTATTAGAACTATTCAAATGCACAAGTCTATATTACAGTGCTTCAGTCCTGTTGAAAAGAAACGCTGTGTGCGTTTTTTCCGTTCAAAGCAAAAAATCTTGGAACGTCTCAGTCTTGTTTTTTTCCGTCTGCTCGGCGCCATGCGCACGCCTTCAGCAGTCGACCCAGATTTTGACGGAACAGGGTAGTCCGTCCTACTATAAACCCTTAGTTTGTGTTTCATGGGGAAAGAAAGCAAAGTTGTTGTTTTTTCCCCCCAAAAAAACTAGTCCACGCTCTTATCTAAGCAGCATACGCTCAGCACATCGGGTGAACATGTAGAGATGGATTTTATGACGCTTTTTGGCACCGTTATCGCCGTTCTATTCCACCCTGGCTCCTCTTCTAAAATAAATGGTAAGTGGGTTTTTTTGTTGTTGTTTACGAGAAATCTACCTGAGACGTTAGTTGCGTTTCCTAAATTCTATGTCCAAGATAGAGTTTTTTTTTTTTACATAAGAAGGAAATGCGCACATGTCCTAGGGGCACTGGTGTCCGTTCAGCGTCGTGGGTTTTTGTATTCGTGGTTTCAGCAGTCGAAACAGAAGTTATGGGGAAGAAGTCTGCAGACAGCAGTCTGTGTGGTTCTTAATGGCTTAAACACAAAGGAGAATTTCGTAAACAGCAGTTTGAGATTCGGGTCACTTATTTGATACCAGAAAGTACCATAATCCAGCAGCGCCAGTATAGTGATAACACACTAAAATAACAGTCATAGCCCTCCTCTAACTTTAATTCTGACACAAGGATCCAAGCCCCCATAAACCCACAGCCACCCCATTGCTGCGCAATTCGACACCAGTTGGACTTATTTTATTTATAGTGGATATAAAGAGGTTTCTAAAAACCTTTCATCTTCTTTATTACCATTCATTAACATTGTTTTGTCCTGATTTGAACATTTCTCAACCTCAGGTCCATTAAAGTGTCTCCACTTTTAATAGGCATCTGCTGAGTGCTCAGTATTTAAAGAATAAAAATTAAGAGACACTACATGATCCTTGCATGTGGACAAATATGTTTGTTTTTTTAAAACAAAAAAACATTTTCTATTTAACAGAGCATTGCAGCATATTTTTCCTCCAATAGCCAGATGTTAAAAAAGTGACATCTGTTTTTAACTCATTGAAAAGACATTTTTTATGCTACAACTTCTTTACCATGTGGTTTGCTGATCTTAAAATTTCACAGTTAGACACTTTAAAAATGTCCTTTTAAAGTGTTCATCATCTGGTTGATGCTCACTGTGCTGTCCAGGTGAGAGAATCTGTCGGCGTGGGACAGAGCGCCCGTGCTACAAAGCGTTCTACATCCAGGACAGCAGAAGGAGGCTGACCTTTGAGGATGCCAGAAAGACCTGCAGGGTGGACGGAGGAGAGCTGCTCAGCATTGAGACAGAGAGCGAGCAGCAACTCGTGACAAAGTTCATACAAGAGCTGAGGGTCGGAGATGGCGATTTCTGGATTGGACTCCGCCGCAGCTCGCAGCGCCACCGGACAGCAAACACAAGTCCAGGCTGCCCCTCACAGTATTATTGGTTGGATGGAAGTAAAGCCAAGTACAGGTATTTTTCATGCTCTGAATTAAATGAAAATGTAAATTAATCAGAGATAGCTTCATGAATTTGTGAGATTTAAATGTAAACTTTATAAAAGTGTATTTCAGAATTGATTTGATCACATATAAACTTGCTATAATCCTGATTTACTGCCTTTTCCTTTTGGTTACAGGAAGTGGAACTGGGATGAGCCATCGTGTGGAAGTGAAATGTGTGTGGTTTTGTACCACCGGCCCTCTGCACCACCTGGCGAAGAGGGTCATTTCCTGTTCCAGTGGAATGATGAAAACTGCAGTTCCAAGAACAACTTTGTCTGCAAATACCGGGAGGGTGAGCAGACACTGCTGTCTACCTGCCTCAGCTTTACTTTGAGGGTTATAGAGTCCACAGACCATTACTAAAATGTGTCTTCTGCTGTTACAAATAAGGCCAGATGCATGACGCACACTTTGGATATTAGTTGCTCAGAATACTGCAGTTTTCTGCTGTTTTTCAACCTTGGGTTTATGTGTATGTGTTCATATTTACACTTCTCATACTAAAAATCTGTATTTTATATTAATGATATTGTTTTATACCTTTTGCAGAAAAACTGCCAGTTTTTATTGGCGACAGGAGCACAGCACATCCAGGTACAAGATATGGTGTTTATGAATGATACTGTCAATCCATGTGAGAGCAAATATTGTTTTATGAGCCAGCACACTAATATGAGAAATCAATGATTTTTCAATTTCTAATTTGCCCTCCTTTCGGTAAAAAAAATACCTTTGGTGGTTAAAATGTGCTATGGTTTGGGTTGTTTACGTTGTGTAATGGGCAGGTCACATGTAACGTATTCCTGAAATGATTTGGCTCACCTTTTTCTCAAAACAGGTTACTCTGGTTTCATTTTCATGGAGCATTTTGTGAATGCATTTTTGCTCATGAAAGTTTGGACACTTTAGTTTGTATAGATTTGATGAAGTTATTTTAACAATGCTATCTTTAACAGGGTTGAGTCAGCATTATTGATTTTTTTGTCATAATAATACAACGTCAGTGTTTGCTCTCTGCTATAGATTCATCTCAGAGACCAAACAATGTGTCACCTACTGAGGTTCAAATAAGATTACCTGAGTCATCAGGTAACCCAAAAACCTATTCTTACCCTTCTTATGTAAACTGACTGAAATGTGTATTTTAAGTGGTGACTGAATATGCACGCCCCTTAAGTATTTACAGGATGTACATGAACATACTTTTCTTGATCAGCTTTTTTCTTCAGTGTCATTCTCAGACAACAACCTCTACGTTTCCTACATCCTATATTCGACTATTCCTGCTTTGCTGTTGCTGATGCTTGGAGCCGTTGGGTTCTTCTGTTACAAATACCGCGCAAAAAGGTAGAAGCAGAAAGCTGACAGATTAATGGAATGAGATTGTGTGCTGTTTTGCAGAGGAAGAAGATTTACATGTAAAATGCGCTTTTGGAACTTTGTTTTAAACAGTTTGAAACACTGAAGGAGATCTTCTACGAGTGTGCATGCCAAAGCAAGCGTGCAGAAGAAATCACACTTTGTGTGATAAGTTTACTGATGACTGATGTGTATCCAAACTTGTGTGATATCTGCTGCACTTTTTTTAATGTAAAACCTTTCCCGTTCAGGAGAAAGACTGCCACAGAAAGCTGTCCCGGCACATCAGAGCCCTGGATGTCATCGCCGGCTTCACTTTGTCCCGTACAAGGACCTTACGCCTTCAGTGACGTTACCAAGCTGCCTCACACAGCGGAGGACTGCCGAATGCAAGCAGATAGCGTAACAAAGTACTCCTGTGCTCCTTCACATGACTTCCAGTGTGATGACTATGAGAACGTGTCACGTGTGGACAAAGAGAGCGGCTTCGTGACCAACGACATCTACGAGACCTGCCGAGCTCAAAGCTGGCGCGGCCCCAGTAAGACTGGATGGGTGGAAAATGAGATCTATGGATAACGGTGTTGATGCCCGTCATCAGATGACCATCATTGACTCACCAGTGAATAAATATGACCCAGCAGTATAGAGGAACTCAAACTTTTCCTTTTTTCCTTGCTTGCATTTCTTTCTGGTTATGTATTAGGCGCAAAATGGCTAAACATATAGCAGTGTGCGGGTGGATTTAAATAGACGGGATATCTCAATATGAATATAATTGTGTGTATCTCAAGTGCTTCATCAAGGACAACAATTCAGTGCTAAGATTCCATATTGACAGTACAATGCAAGTCTCGGAATACCCCTTCATGCACTGACAGGACAATGTGCTTCTTTACTGAGTTGTTTTTAGTGAGTAAACACAACTCTTGGGTCTCCCCGTGGATTAAGTGATGGTTTATGCTAATATAAATGATGGATATTGGTGAACAGATTCCTCCAAAAGTGGCCATGTATTAAAAAAGAACTCAAGATAAATTGGGGACAACCAGTAACCTAAAAAACAAGAATAAATCATCAGGAAGTGTAAAATCATTTTAAAAAATGTGGGCTCATTGGGAACAAAAAACAAATAAAATTAAATGTTGCTCAAGACTTACAAAGTACTGTAGGTACTAACAGCCTATATGTTAAAACTTTACAATAAATTTTATTTTGAAAACTATATACACATGGTCTTGAGTATTATAGATCAGCGTGTGAACATGCTCACTAAAAAAGGCATGACAGAGCTTAGCAGGGACAAATTTTTGTTTTTTCACTGTCAATCCATTCATGCGACAAACAACCATGCATGTACACAGTAACATGTTTTCTCATTCAATAAAGTTTTGAATTTTTTTCAGAATCACTAAAGAGTTAAAAAAAAACAAGTTACTTTATGGAAGACAAAAAGCTATGTGGATTTTTTTTATGGCTACCAGTCCAACAGCATGTGAGTTGAATTAGTGACACAGAGGTCAGCCTGAAACCTTTAAGGTAAGGACTTTGAAACCACGAGGATGCCATATCGTTTTAAATATAATTTTGGATAAGTTAACATTGAGGGAATGTTGATCAAACCATTTTTTACTCCATCTTTGTCATAGTTGTTTAGCTATATCTGACCTGGCCAAATGAAAACAATAGTTAAAATGGATCATTACAGGGAATGACAACAATTCAGGTTCTCAGTTCAGCCTCTAGACATAATTCAGTTTAAAGTAGTTAATGAAGTCTCACTAAATTAACCAGGTCTAGTTGGTGACACAGTAGTGTTGCTAAATTTAGCACTAGAGAGTATAGCATTGGGAGTATAGCAAGTATACATTTTTAGGACACCCTCATGGTTAGTAATTTTATGAGTAATTTCAAATTACTTGGTCATTCAAAAAAGAGAATTCAGGTCGATTCAAAGACAAAAATATCCTGTTAGCAATTTGCAAGTCCTCTGTTTCAGGGACTGGTTTGATCCTTTATCTGAACCCTAAGCGTGCTGTCATCAGTGGGTAAGCCTTCCTGTTTGGACACTGATTTCAGAGGACAGGACAGTACATGCGGAAGCACTGATGACAGACCTATGCGGACCAAAGTAGACCTCAAAACTGGGCTTTTTCCTGACTTCAATCCACATTGAATGAAAAGCTGAGCCTTCACACTTTTTTATACCAGAAAATATGCTTCAAAAAGACAATTTTATGGTTATGAAATGGAATTATGAAGTTTTTAAAAGCATGCGTCTTTCTTGCAAACATGTATAACCAACATGAATGCACATTTTGAAATACCAAAGCCTGTGCTACTTCTAACTATGCATAGTTGGCTGTTTGGTTGGTGATTTGGAAAGATGTAGTAGGCCCAGTAAGGAGACGCTAACTGTGTTCTTGGAGATTGCTAGACAGGAAATGCCATAAGCACATCTGGAACTCTTACATTCAGGAAGTCTGTGCGTGACAGCGGAGCCCTTGAGATAACTTTGCAGCTCTAGATTCTGAACAATCCAGCGTTCCCTTGTAGACTGTCTCTCCCAAAACAGCATAATGGGTGTGAATGTTGGCTGTTAAGCCAGGGCCAAAATGTTGGAATTGTTTACCTACAAGATATAGTGGCAGCACAACTTTTGATATCAACAGCTGCTTTTTTATGTTTGCAGGTGGGTTTTTGGAATATCTGAGACATTTTATTTGTGTGAATATGATGACCAAGTTGTTGCCACTTTGAGAAATGAAATGAGAAAGGGTTGTTGAAGTTTAAAGTATGCAGCTTTGCGTCAATCTCCCCTTTTACCGACAGATGGGGCTGTCATGTAAAGCATCTCTGTGGCTGCAAACGTGTCTGGATCTGTATAAGGTTCTGCATGCATCATTGTAGAATGTTTGCTTTGCCCCTTGCTTTCAGATTACTACAAGTATATATGTTATAAAAATGACCATGAAAAAATTCTAACCGTTCAATTTCCCTCGCATGTATATATTTATTAATTTTTTTTTCTGCAGAAAACATTCTCGAAGCAAGTACTGGATGTAGTTCCTGACTGGTATGAGGTGCACTACTCCCTCTTCCCTGTAATTTTCAGCCCGCAACCGACAAAAGCTCTCTAAACACCTGCAGGGCAAAGCTTCAAAGTTACCTATGCGTGCAATCTAGGAGGGCAGGCGAGCAAACAGATTTCAGAATAGCAATTTTACCGGTTGACGTAAGAGGTGGGTCTGGTTGTCTTGGCAACCAATTGGCACTGAAGTGTAGAGCCGCTCCGTGGCCCCGCCCCCTGTACAAATACCCCTATGGCTTTGACGTCAATACACGTCAACCAGAGAACATGATGCCTCTTTGCAAGTCAACTCGTGTGCTCTGTAGCTGATAGAGGTGCCTCAAGCTGAAATATTATAGCTCTATTGTGCCGGAGAACGTGGTCTGACAGCCCTCTGGCTCAGCAAATGGCCTGCCTCGTATCTCGGCACTGACGGAAAGTGTCGCCACATTGGCTTCCAAGCTGGCCGGGCGACACAGAAATCAACTTTGTCTATTTTTAATGGACACGCTTCGAGCGGCGGCGGCGGCGGCGGGCAGTTTGTTTTCCTTTCGTCTTTATCTCTAGCAGCTCGAGCGAGCCCGTGCGAGTCCCCTCGTGTGTCTGTCTGGCTACCTCCTACTCTTTCACAAGCGGTCCTATTTAGAACAGCATGGTCATGGCTGACAGCGTCCAGAAACCGATGATCCGGGGTCCGGTCCGAGTGGGCTTCTACGACATCGAGCGCACTTTAGGAAAGGGCAATTTCGCTGTCGTGAAGCTGGCCAGACACCGTATAACCAAGACCGAGGTGAGTGTGCCGGTGAACGGGGTTAGCCCGAAAGCTAACTTGGGCTACTGTTCTGCTGAGTTATATAACTTTTATGCACTAGTTGACACCCCCGGTATTCACAGTCGAAGTGACCGAATAGACAACTCGGGTCAAGCAACCGCCGCAGACTTGGCCAGTCCAGGGGCGAGCTGGCCCGGTTGAATCTTTCAGGTACGGGAGCAGTGACTGCACGCACGTTCACTCCCTCGGGAACATCACTGCCAGGAAGAGGTCCAACCACCAGTGCTGCTGGGAAACACAAACTGTGACACACCGGACCAGCTCTAAACACCTGAATAACAACCCCCCCTGAATCCCACACTGCACAAATCCTCCAAAGATCTGCACATTGCAAACATGCAAGTTGCTGCAAATGCTTGGAGGGGACTGCACGATAGGGTGGTCATGTTATGCAATCCAAATAATGATGTTATGTTGGTGTTTTTGTTTTTTTGACTCAGTGGCAAATGGCTGTGTGAGGAGCTGGTTCAGCAGCTGGAAAGCAGTGTGTTTCAGCATTGCTGACACAGACAGCAGTCCAGTGTCACTTAATGAGGGTGTTCGCATAGTTTGCGGAGGGTTTGATATTACAGCAACTTCTCAGGGATGCGGCCCGAAAACACAGAGGAACAGTGCACGGATTTGTCTGAGTTAACTTGGGAGTTTGATGCCAGCTATGCGGTGATGCCTTACACAAGCAGTACCATGGAGTGCCACGACTTTTTATTGTACTGTCCGACGCACAAGGCGTTTACTGTAAACAGTGTGCAGAACACGTGAAGACGCTGTGTTGAGGCATAAGGGTAGTGATCAGAAGCAGGAGTCTTGTTGTGCACTTTAATCTTTCATATGTTTGTTTCTGAACGTGAGCAACTGCCCTGTACTGAAAAAAACAAATATTTACGTCACACAGACAGGACACTTGGTAGTTATAATGGATAACAGGGCAAGAAAATGCCACTTAAAACTATTATCGGGTTAATCTGGTTATTAAAACCTGTGAAGTGGCTCAGTGTTAGTTTAACCAGCCAATCTGAACCCATGTAATACAGCTATGCAAATGAGTTTTTTTTTTCAAGTCTGCCGACATCAGGTGATTTCGCTGGGTGGCTCTGCCTCTCCCTCAGCCGGTGTGCTATTTGGGCTCCCTGAAAACGTGCATGTTGTTGGTCATTTTCAGTCCCCGGTTTGGTAGAGGTCACGCAGTGCTTGTCGGTTTTAGAGAGCCTCTGCAGCTGCTCCACCAGGCCACATCCAGGGTGCTTATTACAGTGGCCAAGGTTGGCTTGGGAGGCTGATTATCAATTTATTTTCGATGCCATCTGCCCATTCAGGATGCCAGGGTGTAAGAGATGTTGGCCCGTTGCACGACTAAACCAGAGTTTAAGCACACATGAGACAGCAGATCTGGCAGCATGCACGTGTTCCTTCCTAGATAGGTGTATTTGTGTGTTTGTGTAACCTACTTTACCAGCTGCTGTATGCTTATGCTGATCTATTTATCCCATTATGCATGTGGCAGCTTGTGGGTTCTCACAGACCTGGCCCATTCACAGGGGGTCCTCTCCATCAGCTCAGTAGGTCCTACGTTTATCCGATTACTAACATTTTGCTGTCTTTCAGGAACTTGATTCTGAGAGTAACACGTTGTCAGACGGCTATTTACTGGCGGAGTTCACAATCCCTGTTATGCTGTTTCCATTCTTATCACTTTGGATATTTTTTGTGTTAAGTACCCCATAGTTGCTCTGTGACGGACCAGAGATTTCAAGTATCATGCTCATGAGATCTTCATTTGCGACTGGAGTGGCATTATAAAAATTAGAATTCTTTATAGGATTGAATCCCACATTGCAAACCTGTCTGTGCTGTGGCGGGGGAGATGATAATGGAGTGATAAACCTATTAAAACACCCATGACTGCTCCTCTGTGAGTGCCAGCTACAAATTTGCTAAGGACAGCTCAAAATAGGTGCCAGGCTTCAGTGAGAGATTAACAGAAAACATAAGGCCATGCTCACACTTAAGTATTCGCAGCATGAAAAATGCAGTCCCTTAACTTACTTCTGTGATTGTGCTGCTATTAGACAGAAGCACACATGGGTCATCCAGAGTCTCTTATTGCGACACACAGTTGCGTCAGGTGGCGGTGCACTGTAATAGCCGGCCAATCAACCTGCGCATTCCTTTGTAAGATGAACACTGTAAATCTGCCGTTATCATCAAGATAGAGGATAAAGATTGCTGTCGGCGTCATAAGCTTCATAAAATTGCTGTGCAGGGTTATCTGATAACACTTCAGACAAAAGCATCGATAAGCCTCTGTAGCACAGAAATACTGCATCATCTCCCAGAAGGATGCACTAAGATGCTAAATACTGTTTTTTTTTTGGTGTCATCAAGTTGAAGGTGCCAGGTTTACACCATAACCTGTTTATCCATAGAAATGACTCATTTAAAATCATCGAAACTGGGACCAGAGTTTGTTATCGTGCAAAGAGTAATGCACAAATAGCTTGTTTTCTGTCCTATAAAAAACTTTAAGTCAAAACACTTAACATATCATCTCATGTCTCATTTGAATTATTTAGCTTTGTGACGCAGTAGTGTGACTCCTGAGAAGTGGGTTTCCTGTTGTTTACCTCTTTAACTTGGCTCACAGATGCCTGGAAAACATCGGATCACTCTGATGAAGTTGTGTTATCAGCCAGTCTGAATAAGAGTCACTGATATTGCAGTTGCTATTTAAATGACATTTTTCACGAGGGCCTGAAATGTGAAATACATTTTCGAGCGTGGGCTGTGCGCCTATTGGTGTGTGTTTAAGAGAAATGTATGTGTATGTGCCAGGGCTGGACCTCCATGTATTTCATCATGTCTCAGATGTGAAGTCTGAGGAGACCCAACAATGCCTGTAAGTGCACACCAACAGTTTGAACTTACATTAACTCTCCTTGATCGTTTTGCAGGTTGCCATCAAGATCATTGACAAGACTCAGCTGGATGCTGTCAACCTGGAGAAGATCTACAGAGAAGTTCAGATCATGAAGATGTTGGACCACCCCCACATTATCAAGCTCTACCAGGTGAGCCTTACTACCTCTTCTATAGACATGTTTAACAGCTTTATTTCCTGTAAAGGTTGGTATATTTAAGCCAATCTTCCACTTGCATTGCTTGAGTTATATTGAAAGAACTAAGTACATTTACTACCATAAGATGACTTGTATATTAAAAAGTAAATCGATTTCCATTTAAAAGAAACACAAAAAACTTGTGCTTTGAAAAAGGGACCAGACATGGTGAAAAAATACCTAAATTTAACAATTAAACACAACAATTCTAATACTGGATCAATACCTAATTCGGGCCTGCTGATCCCAATGATCTCTATGTAGACTAGTGTCAGCCAACATGTCTTAGGGGTCACCACGCGGGAACCTTTTACCACTGTTTCCTTTAGTTGGTCCCATGACACCTCCTGGAGACTAGACAGAGATCACTGGCATCCCAGAGTCACTCCCCTAATGCCAGAAGCGCAAAAAATATTCACATAAATCTCCATGTGAACAAATCCACATACAACCATAGGTTAGTCATTTCCATTGTTTTTGTAATACATGCTCTTCTAATGGATACTTTGATCAGCTCAGGCCCCTTACTCCGCCTCATTTGTATCTTCCTTTTGGTTTCATACAACTCATACAGTTTTATAGGAATTAGCGTTTTTCATTGTGAATTTGATGTGAACTTGGTACAAATTTAGTTGATCTAAATAAAAAATGACTTATTTCAGGTGTTTAAAATGTAACCACCTTCCACTCAGACAAAGTCTGATGTTCTGTGTCCTGTTTTACAATGATTCTTCTGTTTTGCATAGCATTACCTTCCAGGGTGTGGCATATTTAGTTCATGTCTAACTAAGATGATGGAAAGAAAGACTTTGGTCTACAAGATATCATATATCTAAAGGAAAGTAGGACGTGGTGGATCATTAACAATTTCCCAACTGACCCAGAAAGAGCAATTCTTTCTGCTGTGGTCTTTGGATGTCAGAGGGGCTGAAACAGTCTTTCTTTGGGTCCATTCTTTAGAGGGGTCGTTTTTCAAATCAACCTCTGCTCTGGCTTTTGTTGAAACAGCCCTTAAAGCTCAAGATAATGAACAGTAAAAAGGCCATTTCAAGAGTAAAAAGTTTAACAAATCCTAGTTGAAATGTTTTCATGTGTAATGATGTATTTGCAAAATTAGCCCTTTTTATACTATGATTGAACAACCCTACCTTGGGGCGGTCTCACCAAACTGTGTTTCCATAGCACCAGCCATTGGCACCTCCTAACTTGTGGAACAGAAAGACAACAAAAACACAAAATAACAGGATCATGGTTTGTCATTTTGTGCAATTTTATCAAGTGAGACTTACAAAGAGGATTTTCGAGAGTAGCTTGTTGTCAGAATATGTAGCAATATTGGCATCGCTGGTTACTTTTGTTCAGCCAGAGGCGCCATTCTGAGGCCCTCTTTGATGTCCCTGTTGTCTGTTATAAAGATATAACGCCTTTATGGTTTCATTTAGCTCTCTGGCTGAAATAAATTTAATTGAATGCACTTGAATGATAAGATTGTAATCAGTTTAGTACATTAATAAAAGACCAACAAATTAGTCATACTTAAGATAGCCGGAAACTGCACAACCCAGTGCCTTTTGATAAGTTTCAACATCTATCTTAAAAAAGTAAGTCTGTCTTATTGAAGCCTGTTTGTGGTCAACCACCAGAGCGCTGGGGTCAGTATGTGATATGTAACATGTGCTGCGCGAGGACCTATTGTGACATCTGTTTAGGGGGCAGATAGTGTGCAAAGATCAGTTTTGTGGAGCAGAATTCCTGCTGCTTCTTGTTGATCTTCTTTTCAGGTACTCAAGCCAACTGGTGTTGAAGGTCAGGAACAATCCATGTCGTTTTCTAATGCGTTAGCAAACAACTGCGCCTGACCAGAGCCACTGTTGTGCAGTTTAAGATGTGACTGCATAGTTAATGACTGACCAGCTCTCTGCGCTACTGTCTGAATGACCTGGGCTCTACATGAAGGGGCCATTGCTGTATTATTCCTATGCAAAGATGACGTAATTCAATTATCTGGAATACCACATTTTGAATTGGATTGTAATCTATTTTGCAGCCATTAAAAAAAGAACAAAAAGCTTTTCAATTAACTCAATGTAGGATGGCTTTAAGTTTTACAGTTTATTGTGTAATAGGAAGTAGTCATGCTCCTCCATTTTCTCTAACTTTGGATGACTTTAAAAAGTATCTGTCAGCATGGGGGTCATGTTAGCGTTTAGGTGTGCATGGATTAGGCTGGGAAAAAAGCACTCATATGAAAAACATTATCTTCAAGTTTTTATTGCATTACGCTGTTATATATGTTTCAGATATGTGTAACAAGACTCAGAAAAGTTTATTTCTTAAATTATTTCTCTGGTCTTTATTTGTATGGTAAGGGATCAAAATAAATCCCGTTTCACTGACTGTGGCTACCACAGAACAGACCCTCCACCAATAACTGCATTATATAAATCTTTCTATCCTCTGGCTTTGTTTAGGGAATGTAAATGAGTGTTCATTAGCGTTACACAATGGTGTGGCACTCTTCCTCCTTTGTGTTGGGCTATTTTGGTGTGTATCATTATTTCCAACGGGTCCATCAATCCAGTCAGTGTTTGTCAATTACCGTAGTTTTTCCTTTGTCCAGCCTCATAGACCAGGCTCGCTCCTGTGACCCAGAGGATGGTCCTAGCTAATGAAGACGTATAGATTAATTGTGGAACCACTGCTATTTTTTCAAGTGTAGGGTGGCCTCTTCACTGACCCAAGTCTGCCATTACTTTCCTTTTCCATTTCACATTTCATTGATGCCTATTCAGCTGTATTTTACTGATTTCTATAAGTTTCTGAAAGTTCAAAGGTTTTGTCATAAATATGCCAAATTGAATAAAAGGCATGTGTATTGTAAGGGTATTGAGGGCATGGTGACCTGAAGTCACAATCTCATACACCAATCAATGCCAAGTGTTGAGTCCATTAAAAGAAATGCCTTTAAGGGGATGAATTATTAATCTCACACAGTGTTTCTAAAAACATTACACGCACATAAAGCATGTGATTAACCACAGGAAGTACAGCTGCTTACTTTTGGCTTTGTATTTAGATAGAGGAAGTTCCCAATGAATGTTAAAATGGTCAGACAATATCATGGTTCGAGCACAGACAACAGTTTGCAGTTTTTATTATCAGAGCCCAAACACAGAATTGAGCTTTTTCATGCTAGTTTGTTACATGACATAGTTTGGTTATTCCTTGTCTTGTTGGTGTGGTATTTCATGATATGTCATCACAGTTTGTTATGGAAAAAGCCTCTTTTTTTTTTTCTTAACAAATCTAAACAAGTGCATTTTCGAAATATTAAAGACAGACACAGACAAGGGTTGATGGTTAACAAACAAAGAAGTGAATAAGATTTAATATTTCAATCTCCCAGTGCTATTACAGAGTTTTATATTGATTAAAAAGAATGTCAAATCATGTTGTCGATTTATGATTGGTATGACAAAAAGAAAGTCGGCATGTTCTGCCCTGTTGTATCGCAGCTGAAAGGGGAGAAGAAGGAAAGCTAGAGCTGTAAGACGAGGATAAGCCTCTCTGGCAGTGATGATATTATCATGTCCATTACAGGTGTAAGTAATAATAGCACTATAACATTAATAACGGCTGCATTCCATCCATTCGTGCCAGGGCCCCGTTTGTGTCGGTGCTCCTCTGCCAGCACGCTGAAATGAAACAGAGCCATCATTAAATTCTAGGAGTTGCACCTGTGTCGCTCCTTCTGTGACGGTTCGAGGCGCAGAGCCTTTTGTCTCCCGATTAGTTGCTGAATTTGGCTCGCCAGGGCAAATTTATCAATCAAGTTGCATATAGGCATAAGAGGACAAAATATGTTTGTTGCACAACTCGGACCAACCAGTTAGGTTTCCCAAACCGCATGAATTGGTCAGTGTACCAGATGGAAAATTGATGGCAAACAAAGCGTGTGGGATTTCTAGTGCGAGTGTCTGGCTCGCTGCGACTGATTCATCCTCTCCTCTCTATCTGATTCCACCCTCCGTGTTTAATTCTGTTCATCTCCCGAGTGTTTCTGCTTCTAAATTGGTTCTCCTCCTACACAACACAGCACCGTGTCAGGGTTGAAAGGTTTTAAGTACCATTCACATCCACTCCGCAACACCAACCGTCCACCTCCATTCTCTTACATGGCTGCCGTATTTAGACCCTGATCCATTCATATATTTTGTTTGGCTTGTGATTTTTTGTGGATGCAACACATTACACTTAACCAGCAGGCTCACTCTGTGGGTGATTTTGTAATATTTTTGTCTTTCGTGTCTATTTTTATGGCTCTCTTTTTCCAGTTCTCTCTTGTTTTAGGAGACTGTTTATTAGGATTATCTGCTGATATTGCTATTGAAATGTGGTCTTCTTTGTTTATTCATTCTCCCCCTCTTTTCTCCCTCTCCCTTGGCCCCCGTTCTTCCGTCCTCTCCTTCTCTCAGGTGATGGAGACAAAGAACATGCTTTACTTAGTCACGGAGTATGCCAAGAATGGCGAGATCTTCGGTGAGTGATCTCTTCTAGTACAAGATCAGTCTGACCCATGTGTTTTTGTCCCGCACAGCTCATCGCCTTTCTCCCCATATCAGTTAAAGACAAACGATCTGTTCCTTTGCGTCAGTAAGTTTTTTTGGCAAACAAGGAAGTGCCAAAGTCTTGTTTAGTTTTTCCCGCTCTTACACTTATCTCAGCCCCAATCTCAGAGGTCATGGGATTGATGGGAATCTGAAAACCATGTCCTGATGTAACCCGTGTCATGTATTGCTTGTCATTTTTTTCCCTCTAAATGTGCTGATGCTGTTTTCTTGTGTAAGATTGCATCACTTATGATCCGTAAAGGCCAAAGAGAGAAAAGGGTTGATTTCTTGTGCTGCAGAACCTCCCACACCTGGCATCTTTACGGTCCAAATGTTCCGAATTCCACATGATATCAAGATTAATTTCTTTGTGCTGCCAAGTGGCAATATAATTTCTCTAGTATATTAACATGGCAGTTGAACTATACCTCAATCTTTTTCAACTAAACTTTTTTTCCTAGTTGGATATTTTATTGCAGGAGAAAAGGAATTTTTAGTATAGCTTTACTTGCTCTATACAAACATCCTTGCCTTGGATAACAGGAGTAGCACATGTGAGAAAAGAGTTCCAGTCCTCTTCTGTTCAACTGAGCAGTCTAGAAAGAGTTAAAAATGTCCATTACCACTTCCAAAATCCATTTAAAACCAAGTCACAGAAACTATCCAAAAGCTTTTAATTCTCATAATTCCCAAGCTGGACACAGAAATATAAATGTCAATTATTTATCTTTATCCTTAACTCTACCCTCTAATGAATGTAATTATGTAATTGTTTCAGCTTTGAAAATGTATTTATTCGGCCCTTATCATATATATGCCTCTTCAAATGAACAAGGTATAACTTACTTATTAATGCCATTTAAAACAAACAGATGCTTACTAAACGCACCTTATTAATGGATCAGCAGCAGGTGTTCTTTAAAAGAAACTAACAAATCACATGACTTCTCGAAAAAGTACCTTAGTTTTGCTGGTTTTACAATCAGAGCACCCTGACACCAGTATTTGAGAGTCATAATCTGAGGTAATCTGTCAACAACTAAACAGCTTGACTGAAACTAGGTCATGCAACAAGACGACAGTTTCACACAGAACGTGTGAAAACATCTGGAACAGAAGGCCAGACCTCAGCCTGATTAAAATACTGTGAAACCTTAAGAGAGGTGTGTATGAATATGTGTCAGTAATTAACCTCAAAGAACTGCAGCAACATATAAAAGGGAGGGGGGGTTCAAATTTCGACTCACTTTTTTGCTGTTAAAGGCGTTTTGACTACATTGAATAGGATGTAGATGGTGTCTAAAACAACATTTTTTTGTGTAATAATATCCAATTACTTGGCAGGGACAGGTTTCCGAGAGACATTAAGGGAATTGCATTTTCTGAGTTATTGATATATTTCAGAAAAAATGTTAGGAGCCGTTTTTGAATGAACTCAAATAAAAATACTCAATCATGCAAGAACAGACACGCGGGAACATAGCAAGAATAGTACAGAAAGATAACAGTTTATCTCAGTTTGCCATAGCACCACACATGCTCTATCGCTGTGGCACATGCACTGCACAGTCACTGTTAGTACAATATGTACAGACTACAGTTTTCAATCCAGGGCACTGGACATGAGCCCAAAGAAATTTCTCACCAGATCCAAACATGCCGTGTCCTAAAGCAAGATTGTCTCCCCCCCTCTTGCCTCTAATATATTCATTAGTGTGTGATAGTAGAGAAAGAAAGAATGTTTAAATGAGAAACGCAAAAATACAAAAAGTTAGTTTAGACTAACTTAGATGAGCTTATGAGGGCTTTTTTTATATGAAGAACACAAAAAAAGAGATGTACTTTATAAAAGCTTTACAAAAACATTGACACCTTTAAATGCACCCTAATAATCAGCACCCATAAGCTTCTACATGCTGATTCATACCACACAACGTGACAAAAGTTTAGTTTCATAAAAACAAATAAGTCATGCCCAAAAAGCAGAGAATGGAATGTTTGCAGTAAGCTCGTCCCTCACTTTGTAATGTAACTGCCTGTTAACAGGAACACTGGAGGTCAGTTAGAGGTCTGGAGGAATAAGATGTTTTCAGTGGAAGCTGCAGGTAGAATTGCTGAACAGGGAAGCCTATATCCATGCTGGAGTGCTATAATATTTGCAGATTCTGGGGCTGTGGTGCTTTGTTCTGCATAAAGATCCTTCATGGAGGAATCATCTGAAGAAGAACAAAAACCCACATCCTAATCACACAAGTGTGTATTAGCTGTCGAAGCTTTTTTATGGACGAAATAGACCAAGAAACGTCATCTATGACTTTTCGCTTGGAAATTAAAGTTTGACTTTACTTCCCAAAACTCCCACCAATCTGAACACAAGTGTCGACCTGTCTGATGTGGGTGATGTATAAATAGTCCATGACTCTCAAAGACTAGTAGCCACACCTATGAGACAGTCTGAGAATGTTTGCTGTCAACGCACTTCCAGACAGAGTAGCTGCGAGGATTACGTAGGCAGGAGGCCATTTCCATCGTGTGTTTTGTGTGCGCGAAAGTGTGTGCTTTTTCTTTGTGTGTTTAATGCGTATAATTCAGAGAGCAGTGCTCCACTTGTGATGTTGACTCAGCATCAACAACTGCTGTTCCTGTGACCTAGAGAAAGCTGGGAAATTGCCCCAAAAAACATGAATGAGAAAAGAAATACTTCGATAGACTGATTATTGAGAACCCAGAATTCGCACATAAAATGTATTCAGCTGTTTATTGTTTTGGCTTCTTTGGTAGAGCTGGTTACAGTTTATTGACCGTATTTCCCTTCAAACAAGAAAACAACTAGATAGACAGTGTTCTTTTATAGCAAACAGATGGATTTTTGACATTTTGCAATGTACGACACGTCCCCAATTTCACCATTACTTTATCTTTTATTATTAAACCTAAGAATACTATCATTCTTTTGATAAAACTCAATGTGAGGTTGCAGATATCCGAACATGCCACCCATTCCTTTAAATAATAAATGGCCAAGCATAGATTTTCATCACGGGTCATCTGTGGATATTATAAAACCTTTGTGTCCTGATTCCTCAGACCCCTCTACAGTGATTGCACAATGGCCTGTAGTTATGTAAGACAGTTATATGTCAACATAAGCTGCAGCAGTCAGTTTTTGCCTCGGCCAGTCAGAAATTGACGAATAGCTGCAGCACTAGACTAGAGAATTGAACAATCATTTTTTATTTCCAAATAAGCTTTCTGGCGGTGGATCGAGTCATTTAGCACACAGACAAGTGGATAAGCTTCCACATCAGAGCTCCGCTCTCTCTTCCTCCACTTTCACCCTCCAGAGAGCTGCCTCCGCTTTCTGACATGATGAATTTCTCAGGTCTGCTCCTGGTCATAGGTTAGGAAGAGTGGAAAGTGTGATCTATGGTAGTGCCGTGAATTCTTAGCAGCCCATTGAGTTACAGTGAGTCGGTGAAACTAATTGTCTCTTCGGATCAAACAGTCAAAGGAGCTGGGGAGTATTGGGAGGGGCAGCGTGTGTGTCTGAAGCCACAAAGACAAAGACGCTGATCTGAGTTCAGCAGCAGGAGGCAGAGAGTGATGAGTTCAGTCTTGCAAAAGGATGGGTGGGCAGAGCGATGGGCACGGCAGAGACACTGATGCCAGCTCGCTGATGCGCCTTTGTGTCTGTCAGTCTGTCACTCCGCAGTCTACCACAACACCGCACGATGTTTCAAACCTGGAAATTGGGTCAACCACAAATAAATCGTGGTTGCAGAGGCAGGAGAGGAGACGGAATAAAACAGAGGCGAAAGCAGGGGACATCCGTTTGAATTTGGGAGGTGTTAGGGAAATGTAGGGCATGCATATTTAAGAAAGCAGTGCTGAAAGAGGGGAGTATAAGTGAGTAACATCACTCATGAAGATGACTTGTCTTACTGTTGGGAAGGGAATCAGATACAAAGAGAGTGTTGTCTTCAAAGGAGCACCCATGCTATTTTTGAGGCGCACTCTAATTTACATACAGATGTCAGTTTCTATTTCTTGATGTTCCATTCTTCATAATCCAAAGTCAGTTTCCTGCAGATCTTGTGGCTATTAGGGTGTGGCAGCTTGAATGGAGGAGTGGTTCTGCAGCTCAGGATCTATTGTCTGGTACTATAGGGGCTCTAATGTCTAATTTCTTAAGACAATTTCTGAAAACCACCAGAACGCTGGCATATGCACAGAGAAACTGATTCACTCCTAGTTTACTGTTGATATTGAGAAGAAATTAATAAAATGCACTTAATTTTCCAAATTAATTTTAGCTACAACTTGTATACAAGCAGCAATTTAGTCCCACTTGTGGTGGGTAAGGCATCTAACAGAACTAGGATTTTGTGATTGATACAACCATCAGTGCCCGTCTTGTCCTTATACAAAGTAGATGATACGTAAGAATTCCTTATAGACCATCTACACAGAACTGGAACTTATATTTAAGGTTCTTACATAGCATGCCTCCTACTTAATTGCAACCTTTCCAATTTGATTCTAATATAAAGCTAATGCCTGTCCTCAGAAGCATTGAATGAGGCAGATTTTCCACTTTCTGAAATGTATGATGCGTTTTCAGACAGGCAGAATTTAACACGGCACCTTTCACGGATCCACCTGCGGTAAAGCAGAAAAAATGTGTCAAATCAACCTGACAGTTTTTCTTTCCTTCATCTGCTTTCATCTTCAGTCACTGAAGACATCTGGAAACGGTGTCTGTTTAGCACAGCCTGGATTCTGAAACAGTTGGGACACTTTGTAAGCTGTAAATAAGTCAGAGTACAGGGATAAGCAGGAACTTCTCTTCTTTCGTTGAGAAGATGCAGCATACACGATTTACAAATAAGTCAAATTCTAATTAGTCTGACCACAGAGCAGTTTCCAAAAGTTTCCTTTGAGAGTAAAGTAGCATCCCTTGGCCCGTTTTACACATGGCTACCTTAACACTCAAGATTTTTAGTGTCATCCCACAACATGTGTCTGATGATGGAAGAACATACGATGCAAGTATTGAGGTGCAGATGATTTAATAAAAAGCTAGGCAGTGTTAAGATAAAGTTAATATCATGAATAACAAAGGTGTTATTGCATTCTTTGCATATTGACGGTGCTTTGAGCCGCGCTTGTGGATGTTGAACTTTGTTCACAAACAATGATTCATGATGACAGTGAGGTTTCTGGTGAGCCACTACTTTGATTTTCCGTGAGTGAGTCATGTCTGTTTTAATTTTGGGCTGGCTGAAACCCTGAAGATCACAGTCCAATATTCCAATATCGATCAAATCCAGTATTGAGTTTCAGCAGTGTCCCTAGTGAACCTTTGATGATATTGTTTACTGCTGGTGGTGGAGTATGACTGTTTTTATTGCTCCACAATTTGCTGATACAGTGCATTCAAGATTACGGATTACGGTATTTACTTATATTTCCCTCTTTAAGGTGATCTTTTCATTTCCAGTCATGTCACTGGCCTGATGCCAGTGAGCCTAATTAGCTGCAACATTTTCCTGCTTCACATAACACTCACATTTCCAGCCTTCTGCTGCTTTTGTCCCGGGGTTTTTTTAGATGTTTCTGCCATCAATTTGATATTTGCCAGTCCTTTTACTTGAAATTGACATTTGAACATTTGAACCTGTGAATAAAATATTGGTTTGTCAGATTTGAAAATGTTGGTTTTCTGTTTTTATGTCCACAGCTTGCCAACTTTTTGTAATTGTTAATCACAACACGCACTGATTAATTTACCCTTGTAAAGGATTGTGGATTTTTTAAAGAATATTGACCTTTTCTTTCTCAGATTGCGGAAAGTAACTGTAAAACTTCTGCTTTATTAATTTAATTGTAAAACACTGAGGATGTTGCTCTTTCACTTACTTCCGACCTAAACGTTTCTGAGGGGTGGATCATAGCTCCAGCACTTAGGGCAGCAGAGTCTACCTACAGCAGAGCAATCTGACCCATGTCTCTGGAAAAAACTTTTCAGGAGCAGTTCCAGGAATACAGCAAAGACACCAGCAGATTAATTTGGCCTCAACACTTGTACAAACCTCTTATAGATGAGCCTGAACAAGCCTGATCCAAAAGGCCCCACCCTGAAGACCACGACCCAAAGGACCCGTGGCAAAAGGCCACTACATGGCACCAGCGTTATTTGTGTTTTGACCCATTGGTTCAGAGCACAATATTACAGATAAAGCCAGCAGATCTTTGTCCCAATATGTTTACATGTACTCCATTTTGGAACTTGGAATGAAAATGTTATAACCGTTTTTAATAAGAGGAATATTTTTTGTTTGCATGAGCAACTCATTTCCTTTTATTTTGATCAGGCCGGACTGTGTGGATTTAAATGTTCAGTGAAAAGAATTTAGCTGTACTTACACTTGCTGCAGCTGATCTTTGGTTGGTTTTGACATCTAATGAAAGGGGAGTGTTGTGCTCCAGCTGGCTCCAGTCCTCCCTGACCCCTAAGTGGGCCACTATTATATCAGAACCAACATCTATCAACATGCATATAGATGTGACTTAAATGAGGCTGCCCCTTTTAAGTGGTTTGGGTATCAGTTACTCATGTGGAAACAGTGTGTGGTGGCCTCTATGCGTTTGCCCCTTGTCCTTTACCCACACATATCCACCCTCTTCATGCCTTCAGTACAGCGCTATCTGAAGTTGGGCCAGAACTCTGTCCAACAAGCCAGTTTGTACCCATGATGTTTGTCCTGTCCAAACCTAAGCAGCTGTTAAGAGACTTAGCTCCTCACCCAGCACTCAGCAGAAGTGGAACACAGTGGTTGTTGAGCCGTTCCCTAATACCCCTATGATTCATACTTGTTCTGTTCCCTTTCCCAGAATACAGCCCTGCCTGCCTCACTGTGTTGAGGTCCTTACCCTCAGTGACATTGTATCAGTAGATTACTCATCATTCAACTGGGGCAACATGGTACATTGTTTGTGTGCGCGTGTGTGTAAGGCACACACAACAGACTGTTACTGTTTGACTGTTCAAACAGTAATAGCCTGTTGTTTAAGTGCCATTGTAGCAACACAATACCTCCACTGGTTCATACAGAACTAGGGTAAACTGTGGGGCTGAGCTGGTTATTTTATAAAATGTTGAAAACAAACCGGTATGTTTTGGAATGTTAATTATCATCAAAATATTTGGTATTCGGTTGCCATTAAATTTTCAGCTGGCCTCCTGATGGCTGCTTTAGCTGAGCCACTCTGATGGAAGTGAACCAAAAACTAAATGGTTTGATCCTGGAGCGATTACTGCTTTACAGGCTCGTTCTCGTAGCAAGTGTCTGTTTGGACCTTCTCGACACATTCCCCTACCCGGTGTGTTTTTTTGATTAGCAGTGTTGTTTGAAAACTGCTACGGTCACTATGGGGGCCTCTTCTATGGAATTCCCCATCTACTATCTAATCAGGTTTTCTTACACTGTTAGACATTTGTTATTTATGAATCACAGTGTTGATAAATTATGTCAAATAGTGCAGCTTTGGGCATTAAAGCAATTTTATTATTGTGTAGTTATTGTCCCGACTCATAAAGGCCCCTTTGGTCAAGCCTGAGCTGAGGACGCCCCTCCAACATGAAGCACCAGGGCAAATGTTGCTCTATTAGATCTATCAAATGTTTGAGCTTATTTATTTCTGTGGTTCATTTGAACCAAGTCAGAATACACAGGTGTGGTTCTTCATAATTATAGATTCTTCACATTTCTCTGTTCAATTGTGGGTAGTGTTGTTACCGCTTTTGTTTTGGTTATGCATTGTTGTCAGGTTCTGTCAGCGGTCTGCATCCATGCCAACTGGAAGGAAAGCCAATACATAGTGTCCTCTCTTGTTTGCCACTGAGTGCGAATTGAAGAGTTAGCAAGCTATCTAGACAGTGGAGTGTGAAGAGGAACCCTGCTGACAGCAACAAACACCAACGTTTTTCAGGATCACAGGGCTGAAAAAAATCCTGCATCCTGTGAAAGAGTCCGTTGGTTCACAATCTTTGAAAAAGAAAAATGATAAGGGGGAGAAAAAGACCACTGTGAGAGCATCCCAAGAACAAACTTAGTCGGGTCAGTGATCTGGATGTTTGGAAAAACAAAATGATACAATATACATCTGTGCCCCCCCCCTCCAGGGACAGAAGTGAGGTTTTGTGCATTTTTCTAACAACTGCAAATTCATTTTGTCTTACGGCTTTGTGCTGAGCAGATAAACAAAGAGAACCCTATGTTTTACTAGGTAATGGGACAAGAATGTGGGTTCATGTTTACGAGCCATGTCTTCATTTGTCCCCATTGTCAATTGTGTTTACACCATTACACTTGTCATTATTATCAACAACCCCCCCACCCACCCCAAAAAACAAAACAACGGATGCTAAATCCAGCGTGTACTAATGGGGACAGTATGTGCCGTAACAGACGTCCAGTTTGCACGAATCCTATCCTCCGCTGTCCTCCTCCCGCTATGACAACACGGTGCATTCCCCACCGTCGGCCTCTGCCTACTCACACACGCACTGATACAGCGTTGAAACAGGAGTTTCCGTTGAAAAATTACAACATACATCTTGCAGTGAGTCCGTTTACAAAGCATGCTTTAATGCAGGGCAGCTGTAAACTACCAGTGGCAGCGGGCCTGCACTCCGTCAAAAGTAAATTATCCTCTCAACACAACCACTAGCAGACACTCTCAAATAAAATTCAGCTTTAATGCATTCCTTTCGACTGTGGAATGATACCTTACACTGTTTTAAGGGCCTGTTGAGGCTCTATGTTATGTAATCAACATTAAATATAATCATATTGTGGTTCTAACGTTACGTGTCACTCTCTCCCCTGTCTGTCTCTCTGGCTGCAGACTATCTGGCAAAGCACGGCCGTCTCAGTGAGCTGGAGGCCAGGAGGAAGTTCTGGCAAATTCTGTCTGCAGTTGAGTACTGTCACAACCGAAACATCGTGCACAGAGACCTCAAGGCAGAGAATTTGCTGCTGGATGGGCATATGAACATCAAGATTGCAGGTACTATTAACACATAGTGCGCTTGGGGTGGGGGGGGATTTCATAACTCACACTGGGATGAGAAAAACTGGAGGACTGCATGGATGTTTTTGATCTACTGCATACCATGAGCTCAGTGCTGCTGCAGCTGAGAAATGTCTTAACTACCTGCCTGGGGCATTTTCACAGTGTTGAGAAGTGGTCAGAGCTTGCTTGTGAGATAGCTGCAGGCTGGGAGATGCTATTACATCTTGAATTGTCAACAAGAATTCAGAGGGGCTATGCTGGTGATCAGATGAGCTCAACAATCCGCCCCACTCTGGTTTTAATTTTGAGGGGGGAAGTTCTACAGAGGTGCAGACCCAAAGGCAGAGATGTGAGGCCAAGCAGGTTGTTTAACAGCGGGACTGTCAAACAACAAGCATTTAGAGCAGTGGTTCTTAACCTGTGTTCCCAGGGGTTCAGTGGAGCCTCTGCCGCGGAGGTAAAGACACACTTGTGTAAAGTGGTGATGACACGCCCCGCTTGGCCATCACTTACTGCAGAGGAGCACGTTGCATTGCTTGGCCAATCAGTGCTGCGGAGAATTTAGTGTGCGCAGTAGCCAACGGCTGTCGTAGTTCTACATCGTGTGGTTTCTTTGTTAATATTTTAATCCATACTAAATATGTCGAGCAAATACAGAAAGTGGTCGGACGAATATGTACAACATGGATTCACGTGAATCACGGAACGGGATGGAAGTCAGCGTCCTATCTGCATGATATGCAGTGCCAAGTTGAGCAACTCTAGTCTCGCACCAGCAAAACTAAACTAAACACTTTATGAAGCTGCATGTAGATGGAGAATACAAAATTATTTTGTGGATTCAAAACCACAAAAAAGCAAGTTGATGTTCATTTACGTCTCATTTTGTGCACCAGTAAAAAGAATATACATGTTACCTATGTCTTGAATTTTGGGGGAAAAAAAAGATTTATCACTAAAGGGTTCAGTGAATGCGTGTATGAAACTGGTGGATTTGGTACCTCTAAAAAGGTTAAGAACCATTGATTTAGAGCTAGTTATTGAGAATGTCCACAAGTGGTGGAAGGGGAGTAGTGGGAGAAAGTAGGTGTTTAATGGAGGAGGAGACAAGTGATAAAATCATCGGGCTAGTTTAGAGAAAGACAAATGGACAAAAGCACTGAGGGGGAAAGAAAAGGAGTGTACATAGCTGGGTGGCAGGGCTGCAGCTGTGTCAGTGTTCTGTGAGGGGCTGAGGTTTATCTCAGTTCTTTTACAGAGCTGGTACTGGAGTTCATCAGTGGTGAGCAGATTACATGAAGACAGCTAAAAAGTGTGAAAGGATGCCCAGGACTCTAAGTATGAAACGGCTCTTGCACGTAATTTATTTAAATGAATACATTTTGGAAGGCTGAGTTCCGTCATTTTCAGATAAATGTTGCAAAAAGAGCTAAATCAACTTACTTTTCATGATATCCTGAGAGCTCAGTTTCCTTTTAATACATTTCAGTCTCAAGAGACTTCTTGATGAAAAAAGTGGAGCCAGATAAAGACATGTACATCATGGACTCATAGAATTAGATGGAGAAATTAGATGGATAAATAAACACCATTTCTCTTCACCGTTTTACAGACGGGTGCAGTGCGATAACCCCAAAGATGTCATTAACCCAGTAGTAATTTTCACAAACATGTCTGACTCTCAGCCAATTTCTCATACACCAAATTAGATTTGAGGCAGGAAAACAGTGAACAGAACATTATCTGGCTTGTGATTAGCCAAGATTTCAGCAAGAAGCAGAAAGGTACAGTCTGTGTCTCTCTTACCCGAAACATGCTCGGACAAGTTTGAAAACGGTACACGGCGTACAGACCGTGAAGATTTGGGACATACGTTAGAAGAGCTCATTTTACTTTTTCTTTAATGTTAAAAAAAGAGCTGCCCTAAGACTTTAACACTTGTCTTAAGCTTCAATTTGTGCTCATTTCGTGGAAAAAGTATCCATTATATTATTCATCAAAACTAAATGTAAAATGGTCATTCGATTTTCATGAACCCCAAAGACCATCATAATATTTTTTGTTGGAATATCAGAGATGCTTTAACACACAGGAAAGCCTCGGGGCAGTGATGTCCATTTTCTTTTTTTCAGAGAGCACATTTTATCTGAATTGATTAGATACAAACTATTAGAGAAATTGTACTTTAAGACAAGTTATAAACGCAATTCTAAAAGCCATAGAAATGGATTTAAAATGGCTTTAGCACAACACCATCAGTGTTTCGAATGTCAACCTAATTTCTAATTCATTTATGGGTATGATGTGTCTCTGAAAAATAAATCCTCGCGTTTGTAAATTACGGTACTCATACTTTAATCTACTAAGACCTTTTCTTTCTTCATCACATGACTGATTATGTAGAAATGTTGATCATATAGGTTGTAATATGTCAGTCTTTCTTGGAATTTTTCCCCCTCAGTACCAGTTTCCTAAAGACCACCTCTGGTCAGTGTGAATGAAGCTTTACTGATGGTCAGTCAAAGAAAGGTCATCCTTGTGGTGCTGCAGGGGAGAGCGCAACAGTAGCAGCGGGGAGTGCCCTTAATGTTTTTGCTTCAAACAGCCCCTTTAGGGTCGAGTTGACAGATTGAAGAGGATGGAAAGAGTGGAGGCGGGAGGAATAACAAAAACAAGGAACAGAAAGGAGAGGAGAAAAGCTGTTTTGTGTCGATTAGTGTTTTTGTGTCGATTAGTGTTTTGGTCGTGCTCATATGTGGGGGGGGAGAAAAACCTAAAAATGACATTGACATAATGTGTCTCAGATCATTAATTATTTACAGCCTCATTAAATTCTATTGACTTTTCTAAGGGTTAAAAGGATTCACATGATGATGTTGGTGGAAGAGTACCAAAGCCTGGAGGTATGTCACAGTCAATTAAATAACGTGGACACTACAAACATTGTTCAACCCAGGTTTACGAAACACGTTCTAATCACTCTTTGTTTACACTTTTTATTCTGTAATAATGCTAAAAAATCTAAAGCACTATTTTTATCTTTTCCATCTTTTTACTTTTTTCATTCTCAAAACAACTTTTCTATATCTTTATCATGTTTTTCCCTTAACTTTCCCCTAAACCCATTCCTTGAAGTTGTGGATCCATTTCCCAAAAATCTAGACACAGAGCCATGACCTCAGACTCGACTGTAAACTCCCCTCCATGTAATCCTCCTGAAAGCTCAAACTCTGCCTTATTCCATATGCACACTTTTATTTATTTAATGTACTCCAACATAACCATGATATTGTGGAAAGGTGATTAAGAATTGAAAAGACATTCTTCCCTTCTTTTTCTCCCACTCGCTCTCTTCCTGTGGTCATTGCTCTTTAGAGGTATATCAATAAACAACCAAATTAATGATGATAACAGCTGTTTTTTTTAATGCAGTGGTCAATAAAACTGTATCTAGGGTCCCAATATGGAGTCTAAGAGGTGTGTGTGAACATTTTTGACTCACTGGTTCCACCTAGATAATTGATGTCATTGTTTTCAAAATGAACACCTGGTGTAGGCAATGATATAAGAAGGGTTCTCTGTGTAACTCATCTGTCAGAACATTAGAGCAGTGTTTATAGTTTGCGAGAATTTCTTTTGTTTAGCCACTGACATGACGTTTTCGGCCCACAAGTATATACTGTATGTGCAAGAAATCAAGATAAAAGTCCATTATGTAGAGCATCAAATAAAATCTGTGGGTTAGTTCAATCCCCCAAACAACTTTTATCTGAAAAATATAAAGATATGTTGGTGAGTTCATTGCTCTAAAATGTCTTAATAAACTTCCTTCTGAAGACACTTTAACGTGCATCTTATGTTTCCTGCATGTCTGTATCTTTAGTGAAATTTAAAGTTTTGATTTTCATTTGAGTGACAGAATTCCAGTTATGAAGGAAGTCTCTTCTTGTACTTTCTGTGTGAAAATGGCTAAACTTTGGACTATTGTCCACTTGAGGAATGTGAGGATATGGATGAGGAGAAAAATTTTAATGTGAGAACTGTGTTGCAGCCACAATTGTATTATATATATATTATATAAATCTTATCAAATTTTAATAATGCGGAATTTTGTCCTCTAACATCTGCAAAGTGTCACTGAAACACAAACGCACACAGGCAGAGTGTGAGGTGAATTGTATTCAAGTGTAAAATGTCTGATATTATGCTAATGCTGTTATGCTCGACACCCGCATCCCCCTGCCTCCCCGCCCTTCCTGTGGAGCTGGGACTGCTGTTAGTAGCCTGCAGCGTGCAGGAGTGTTTGACGTCAACCAGTCTGCTCAGTATTCAGCTCCATGAAATGGGTCACAGCCTCTGACGATAAACCAACTGTGCTGCTCGGCTCGGCTCTGCCTGCATCCCACATCTCACCTTCACAGCAGCGTCAGACAGTAAACATCAGTGTAATAAACCCACTAGGTCATGCTGCTTCCTCTTCCACCTCATTTCAGCCATACCTGCTTCTACCTGCATTGCAGTAATTAGACCGTTTGACTGCCTGGCCTAGCATCTGCCATCCCCCTTTTTTTCAGTCTGGGCTTCTCTAATCTCTCAAATCTGATTCCTATGTGTGTTCAAACTAGAAACTCTTGCATCTTTTCCAAGAAAGAAACTGATTGCAGTTCAGAATATTAATCTTGATTAATCCATTTTGGATTAAGTGTAGTTCAGCTTCTCCTAGGCAGAGAGCAATCATGAAGAGTAAGAATGGTCATGCATCCTTCAAAGGTTTGCACAGAAATTATTAAATTGTTTTAGGATCACTTCTGGATCTGCAAACGGCCACGCATTTTTAAAATTGTTTTTTTTTATCACCATTTTTCATCTAAAACAATCCAACACACCAATACATATTTTTTATGGGTTTCTTCTATCATGTTTAAATTAAAGTGTAGTGATAACTATGTGTTAAATAGTTTTAGATTTAACCATTTTCAAGTATTTCACTGATAAATAATTGTTTATGGATATATTTTACCCTTTAGTTAAGTCATGAGCAGCACTACAAACAATACGAGATGGTTTGTAGTCTGTGTTTATTTTTCTTTCAGTGCATGTTGTAGATTATTTTAGATTCGTCGTAAAGGCTCATAATGAGAAAAGATACAAGGAAAAAAGAATTTGTTCATCATTCTATTTCGGACACTCACATTGCTCATTGTGTGAGCCTGTGTGTGTCTTTGTATGTGTGTATGAACCCACATCCCCTCCAACCCCATTATGTAAGCCAGATTTGTTTTTAGGATCTGTTATTTAATTGTTTTGCAATATATATCTGCTTATGTTTATGTAACTGCTTCGCATTATGGAAAAAGGGTAGGGTTGGAAAGTTAAATTTGGTTGTCTGCATCATCCCATTGACTATGGACTAACTAAGAATAGAATTATTAATCTGCGATAAGAAATCATTGAATTACTGCCCACGCTGATCACAAGTCGAAGGAAAGACATTAACAGTGACACCATTCAGAGAAAGAAAAAGGTTTTATTCATCATGCAGAAAAGAGCCTGTGAAGCAAGTCTTTGAAAAAAAGAGCAAACTATGAGAAGAGATTAATAAATCTTTGGAGAAGATTTTTGGAACAAAGGAGATGGGTGAGAAGGAGGAAAACGTTTGAGAGTGATGTGAGCTAATATGAAAAATGGGTTTGCTGAATGATTGCAGGCACAAAACTCAGTGTGATTTGGCAGCTTTTTGACTCCAGCTCTCAGTCTGGTTTTAATGAAAGGCAGACTTGAAAGTCTGGACCTTTTTTGTGTGTGTTTGTAAAGGGCTCCTTTTGCTCTGAAAATGAAAATCAAAGTTTTAGTCATTCATCAGACAACCAATCAGATCCCAGGACTGATGACCTTATGTCAGTCTCCAGAGGTGGTTGCCTCATGCAAAGGCCCCATTTCCTCAATGTGCAAAAATGTGGGCCGTTTACTATATTACACAAACTCTGTATGAGGACTGAATTTCAACTGTTAAACCAGCTATAGTTTTAACACCTTCACCAGAGCTTAATGGTGGATATGGTGGATAGAACCAATGCTGTTCCCTTTATGCAACAATCGCAGGACAACAGCATGTCTGCGGGGATTTGCTTCAGCGCATCCACTCACTTTAATGATCGTTAACCCTCTCACTTGTAGATTTTGGATTTGGGAACTTCTTCCAGCCCGGGGAGCCTCTGGCCACGTGGTGTGGCAGCCCGCCTTATGCTGCTCCAGAGGTCTTTGAAGGACAACAGTATGAGGGCCCGCAGCTGGACATCTGGGTAAGATGTGTGATTGCATAAAGGGGACAACTGTGGCACAGTCTGTTTCATAATTCATTTTAACTACATAATTATGGTGTTAGAGATGGAAATGACATGCTTTTTAATGTGCTTTTATGAGTGCATTTTGTTCAGCTGAAAAAATTGCTTTTCAAAAAGAGTATGGGGGGAGTAAGGTTTAATTTTCAACTATCAGTTATAATGGTAAAAAAGTGTGTGATGTCTAGACCTGTGTATTTACAGGTGCGTACGTGTTTGTGTGTGTGAAGAAAAATGTATCATTTAATGTATAAAATAATAATGAGTATTCTTCATCTGGATTCCTCTGATTGATATAGGGATTGCTGCTGCCCTGACCCTGTTCCCTGTGTGTGCATCTTGTTTCTAGAGCATGGGGGTGGTCCTTTATGTTCTGGTGTGTGGTGCATTGCCCTTTGATGGCCCCACTCTGCCTGTGCTCCGACAGAGAGTCCTAGAAGGAAGGTTTCGGATTCCCTACTTCATGACTGAAGGTGAGAAGCCACAGGCTCCCTGTATCCAGGACATAAAACCAGACGGTGTCCGCAACTACAGCTCGGCACCTTAGTTTGCATGTGCACAAACTATATCTGCAGCTTTTTTCCAGTCATATATGCAGGCAAAGCGGAAAGAAATGGCATGTAAAATTAATTTCAAGAATACAAACGGCTCATGTTTTCCCATTTGAGTAACCATACTGTGTCAAATGTTCGCTGGCAAATTCTCTCGTTGCAGCAGAAGTCTGGAGGTCATTTCATTAGCAACAGACTATTATGCTCATTTGATGGGGATACGGCATTGGGCTCTCCGTCAGTGTCGCTTAAAATTTGTGTATGAGGGTCATGCGTGCATGCAAACCGCAGAGTGAGTCAGGTTGGCTGACTGTCTGAAAGCAGCCCTGCTGTTAGCGGCTGTGTTAGTTTGCTGGCTGGAGATTAAATCCAGAGCTGGAGCTGTTTATGTAACCTGGGGAAGAGCCAGTGAAGCCCTCCAGCAGCTTGCCTCTCAAAGGACTCTGCATGTCTGTTTGACTCACACTTTCTGTCTGTGAGACGTCTTGTTATCTTTCTGTGACCCAGTCCATTTTTCTCTCCTTGCCTCATCTGCAACTCAGGAGTCTCTGCAGGGAGTGTAGAGATCCGGCGATCCGGGTTTTTTTTTTCACTTCAGGACCTGGAACAATTAGGACATATAAGGAGTGTAGGAGTGTGATATCAGCGCTTGGGCCAACCTGACACTTGAACCCACCTCCCCACCCTCAGTCCAGCCCCTGTTCCCCGATCAACAGGAACAGAGTGTGCTGATTTCCTCATCCAGAAACAGTCCATCCTATTTCCACTCTTTGCTCTCTCCAACCAGCTCTGGTACACAGCACAGACTAGCACGGCTCTGTAAACTCACTGAACACCGTCGTCTACCCCCAGCTTAGTGAGTTAATGACCACAGGAGATATTAACCGCCGTCTCCCCTGCTGCCGCACACACAGCTCATGTGACCTCAGTTCTGTTGCCTGTGCCCTTTTCATTGTCATCTCTTTGCTTTTGATATTCAAAGTAAAAAGTTGTTTGATTTTTTTTGCAGAAAGTACTCACTTACACGCTTATTGAAACTCACAAATGAAGGTTACATTTTTCAGATACTATTTTTAAGCGCGTTTGCATTTCTGAAATGTAGCACACGCTCAGTTTCAATACCTGCTCGTCAACGTCTTAACTGCGCACTGTTATTCCCCCTCACCGAGGGACTCGATGCAACTCTACACCAAGCAGAGCATTGCAACTGTTAAGTGGGATGGTTTTGTGGTTAAGTCATGGTGGTGTAATGCTTTGGCTCAGAACTCTATGTCCGTCATTCAGCCAGCCATCTACACAGTTATGTAGCATCTGCACTTTGCATGGTTAAGTCTAGACTGGCATTTGGTAAAAGCTCAACCTCCTCTGTCACCGTGAACATGATCAAAGAAACTACAGATCCTGAGCATGTTCTGGCTCAAACAAAGGTATTATTGTTAAATGCATTTGAAGGGAGGTTTTAAGGTTGAAGCTACGCAAACTGACAAGAGACCACATTACGAAGAAAAACAGAAGTAGGTGTCAAGATGATTTTGCACATAATAGAAAGGGGTGAAAAAAAGTTCAGCTGGCCGGACTACCAGGCACGAGGTGAACAAAACGTACTTAAGCAGTGGTTAGCAGATCAGCAGGGTGATTGGGAAGAATGTGCAGCAGGGGGGTAATACTGGATTGCCGAGGTTCCCATATTGTCATAAAATGCATTATATGTGCCATTGGTGCAAGAAAATGGGGGGGAAAAGGGGGCTCTAAGAAATTGAGAAAATTTAACTCGGCTTCTTTAGGATCCTCTTAAAACTCCCAGTTTACCCTTCATATTTTATGACTAAGATACTTACTTGTTGTACATCAAAGGCATCTATTTTAAGGACAAAATAAACCTTAAATCTTTATCCAAAAGACTGGAAGAAAAAAAAAGAACAGCTGTCGTCGCTTGAGCTGCACTCCAAAGAGTCTGAATAAAGTGAGGGAACGGTGATGGATTGCAGGGCTTATTTGTTCACAACACACCTGCTTTGCTTTAAGACTAAAGCAGCAGAATAGATGGGTGAGGATGCTATGAGGCAGGCAGGAATGCAGTTCAGGCAGCAGGGGTGCAGCCGGGCCTAAGCGGCACAGCCAGGGGAACTGTAATCCTGTTAAGAACCCAGCTGTGTCTGACGTCAAACTCTTCTTGCCACTAACAGGAGGTGAGGAGCTCTCATTAGGTGGGAAGGAAAGTAAAAAAAGAGTCTGTTCATATTGTTCAGCAGTGATTTGTTGGAAAAGCTGAAAAATAGTCGCGTTTAAACTTTTGAGGGTTTTCTGCCCTGCTTGATTTTACTTTGATGTTTTATAGCCTAATTTTCCTGATTGTATTTTATGGAAGATGCACTCACCTTCGTCACACAAGGAGATTCCTCCACAAAGCGAAAAACGTAAAGCATTTGAGGCTATAAAAATGTTGAGAGACCCTCTCAGATTTCTCTTTTCACTCTGTGCAGACTGCGAACACTTGATCCGCAGGATGTTGGTCTTGGATCCATCCAAGCGTCTGTCTGTGGCCCAGATTAAGGAACACAAATGGATGGCTCTGGATGTACCGGTGCAGAGACCCGTCCTTTACCAGCAGCCACTGTCAGCGGACAGCGAGGCAGGTGTGGGAGAATACAGTGAGCAGGTCCTGCGCCTGATGCACAGCCTTGGCATCGACCAGCACAAGACGATAGAGGTGAGGCGTGGGCTGAAACGAGGAGATGGGTTTATTTATCGAAAAAAACAAAACAACTGAAAGCTAAGAGTCAAAGCTTCAGACTCTGGAGAAGAGAAAGTTAAATAAAAAGGTCATTTGACACTTGATTTTTTTTTTCTCTTTTGTTGTCATGACAAATCAAGCTGTGAAAAGTCTATTGTTGATTCTAAGTGTTGAGTTATTCAGTAGCCCTTCCTGTTCTCCTGGTATTCTGCATGGTACAAAGAGATAAAGGAACAAGTAAATGAGGCCATCATCTGGCCAAATATCCAAACACGCGGATCACTAAACGCGAGGAGGTGGCCAAATCAACAATCAGGTTCATTGTTAAAACATTTTGTCCAGTCAGGAAGCAGTGAAGCAGTTAGTCCAGTCTGTAATCAAGAAACGCCCTCAGTGAATGTAAATACAGACAATTTACCTCAAGATGCAAATCACAGGTAACACCCAGAAACGGATAGGCCAGATTGGACTCTGCCAGAAAATATCTTAAAAACCAGAAAATTATGTCAGAGAAAGAGGCCGACCTGTTTTTGTTTTTTTTACAAACATTCTTTTGGCAGCTGAAACCTAAGTGATCTTGTTCCAGGCTGGTGGGAAGAGTATTGTCATTGAGGACAGGGCTCATGATCAGAATCATAGAGCCTTATCTGACCATCATAGAGACAGTGTTCTGGCATGTTGTGGGCGCCTAGAAGTGCAGATGGATAAAGACCCAAGGCGTAGTATGTAAACAACTCAAGAAGTTCTAAAGGCAAATAAATGTGATTATCTTTAAAGACACTGTATATTGGTTGACTCCAGTCCAACTCAGGACTTTTTTTTTTCCTTGCTGAAAACAACAAAACTAAAGGCCAAAACACTCATGAACAAGTAAAGGCCTGGCAAAGCGCCACAAGGGAGGAAACTGTGTTTAGAAATGTTCATGGGTTCCTGACTTCAGGCAGTCATTGACTGCTGAGTACTTGGCATGAAATACCGAGGATGTAGACCACACATAGCCTTGAAGCAGATTATCAGCCAGTTTGTTACTGATGGGAGAAAAAAAGGCTGCAATGTCTGAATGGTTAATGTTGTTCTTTTTTTCTGTTTAAGCCCTTAAGTTAAAGCTGAAAGTCGGTACTTCAATCACATTAAAATTAATCTATTGTAATCAATTCTGGTGGTGTGCTCGAGGGCAGTATTATGAAAATGGCATCACTTCTGGACCCAGCAGTTGGACCAAAAGACCTATTTTATCTACGTAAATTAAAGATAAAAAGCTGTTGTGTGTTTTGTGTGCTGCCTTGTGTACTTTCTATTATTTCCTCTTTTTATGCTGCAATAACTAAGTATCAAACAATCATAATTGACAGATTATCTCCCTGTATCTTAATTGCTTTCAAAATGAATGCATCTAAAATAGAAGTTCGACCTAACCAATAACATTTGTGATGGATTCCACCATTTTGACTGTCTGTCATCCTCCAGTCTCTGCAGAACAAAAGCTACAACCACTTTGCTGCTATCTACTATCTGCTGGTGGAGCGGCTCAAGGCACATCGCTGCAGCTTCCCCGTCGAGCAGAGGCTCGACGCCCGCCAGCGGCGGCCCAGCACCATCGCTGAGCAGACAGTCATCAAGGTAACCGTGGAGCGATGGGGCATGTTCATGCCTTTTGCATAATGCATTTTGATTACTCTCCCCGCCTCTCTGATCAAAGCTCTGTTATTCATCGAGGAATAAACAAATGGTCCATTTATTTATTTATGCACATGTCTTCTGTGCTCCCTTACAGTCTTCAGCCCCAGCCTTGATCTTAATGCAATTGTCTCAGTTATATTATTCATTATTTTTCTTTGCGGTGCCTGCCTGCCACCTCTCACCATCACAGTGCTTTTCGGATTTCATTTCCCTGGTTTTTTCCTCTCCATGTGGCTACAAAGTCAAACATCTGTCTCACTTTGACGATTGTTAAATCAGTTATTAAAAGGGCTGGATGGATTAGGGAAGATGCCATATTTCTACATGAGCTAATAATCATCCCTGTCTGTTACTTTCTGCTTCTCAGTCGACCAGCGGTTCAGCCCAGGTGGGCTTGCATCCTCAGGGCGTCCGTCTGCTGCGCTCCCCCGCTGTTCCCCAAGCATCCTCTGATGTGTTCACCTTCTCTCAGACTGCATGTCCCCTGGAGCAGAATTTCATGGTGGAGGATGTCAACACGCCCAAAGTAAGTCCAGCTTCTAAATCTTCTCGAGGCTTTGAGGACAATGAACTCCTTTTTGTTTTAGCCTCCTTGTGCTTATTCTCCGCCCTGGTCTCCTCAGATTTCACATGCAAAGTTGTCGTAGTTATTGCTCTCATTATCAGTCTGAATGCTATTTGCTTTGATTGACGCACCGATTTGCAGAGAGTGAGAAATACCTGTGCGCAGGCCCTTTTTTCCTGAGTGGATTTGCGTTCACCACATGTAACCTCGACCACTTTGAGATGTGAAGCATCAACCTGCCAAAGTGCAGCTGACTTGTTCTCTAATGCAAGCTGTTAGCCAAATCTCACATCACACAAGCAGCTGCCTGTCTTGCAGGGATTCTACACACACATGCAAACACACACACACTCCTTTCTTCTCCATTTATTTGTGCCAACCAACTACCTTTTTCTCAAGGCTTGTTGGTGGGATGACCGCTCATTACAGAACACACATACTTTTGGGCTGACTTAACAGACACACACCTGCAATCCTACACTAACACAGACTGAATGCAAGCTTTCTTTTTTCAGCCCACTCCCACTTCTAGGTCTACTTAGGAATGATTTGTACAATGCTCTGTTTGTGTGTGTGTGTCTGCGTTAGGCAGAACAGAGCAGGGAGTCTGGGTGCATGTTATCTGCGTGAATGGAGTCTGGTTATGTAAGCGGTCCTGTGATGATGTGACCTAATGCTGAGCTGAGTGAACACACATGGACAGGAAGCTGCTGCGCTGCCCCAGTGATCTCGCCACCTAGACTTCCCTCCCTTCAGCCAAATGCTCATCTTTTTTCTTTTCTTTTTTCTTTTACATCGTTGAGCCGTCTTTATTTATTCTTTTCCTCACAATTTTAAATCTTCCTCTCTTCTTTCACCTTCATTTCTCTCACTTAATTTTCCTCCTTTATACTTTTCTGTCCCTTTCTGAACTGCCTCCCCCTTTGTGCCTATTTCCAAATGTAGTTTCCCCTCTTATCCTCTGTGTGTCTGTTGGGTAATTGCATTCCTTTCCCAGTGCACAACAGACAGCAGATGGGGAATTGGGCAAAGTTTCTCTTTGTAGACCAACACCAGGCTTTTCGGGTACTGCAGCAGCTCACGCGGATGATCTACGTGTGTGTGTGTGTCTTTTTTGTGTCTACGTGTCATTCACACTGCACTTTTAGTCAGAGCTCACTTCCTGGCCCTGCATTCCTTTATCCCCACCCTGCAGCTCTGCACCAGCAGACTTCCAGCATGAGATCAATCACAGTGAATGAGGGAAAATGCATAAAGAGGAGAATAACTCTCTACAATGCATTAGTTTCCAACTTTTGCAAAATGAAGGGTTTCAGCCGTGCGTTCTTGTGTGTGGACGTGCAATGTCTTCCTGTGAGTGTGTACTGCTCTTGTATGATAATATTTTATCTTAAATATATTCCCATTTTCTCCTCCTTCTGTTTCTATCACTCTTCTAGGTGAATGGCTGCCTGCTAGACCCCCTCCCTCCCTCGACTGTCCTCCGCAAGTCCTCCACCTCGTCGCCTAGCAACATGATGGAGACATCGATTGATGAGGGCATCGAGACCGAGGAGCCTGACACAGAGGATGATCCACCCCATCTACTCTCAGCCTATCAGACAGCTCGATTCGGCCAAAGGCGACACACCCTGTCAGAGGTCACCAACCAGCCAGGGCCTTCAAATCAAGGTATAAAGTCACCTTATGAGGTGCCATTACATGCATCTGCTCATACCTGGATCAATTATTTGAACATGAAATTAAATTCCTTATCCCCAGGCAAATTATTCGCACTTGGCCACAACCCCTCCATGGGGAGCGTGGACTCGGATATTGGCTACGATATGGGCTCAATGCACAGTGACCTCAGTCTGCTGGAGGATCCCCCCTCCTTAAGTGAAGTGGTACAAGCCAACACCTCAGCCCCTGGCGTCAGCCCTGCGTCTTTCTTAAGTGCTCGGCCCGCCAACCCAGCTATGGCTGCCCTGACTTCCCAGCACAGAGAGACACACAACCGCTCCCCCATCAGCTTCAGAGAAGGACGCCGTGCCTCTGACACCTCCCTCACCCAAGGTCAGAACCAAAGATGTTAGGTTTCTTCATTTTATTTGGGCATGTTCTGCCTCTGTGGACAGGCAGACTATATCCACTTCGCCATGTTAGTTACTCTGTCCGGGTCATTCTCTGTGCCTCAGATGGCCATCCGGTCACCTGATGAAGGCACACGGTGTGGGAGGTTTTGAGAAATGATTTGGTTTCTCACCAGAATGTGGTGGTCAGAGATCCATCTCAGAGGAGCTGTGCAGTTCATAGGTGCGACATTTCAACCAGCTTCAGCTGAGACTGAAAGCGTGAAATGACAAACATTTCAAGGTGTGACGCTTGAAACAAGTTATTTTAGTCTTGTTAATCGATGCCATAGGCTACATTAGCTTGGCACAAGGTCAAAGACGAGATACTGTGTTTATCGTCATGCTTCTGTACCAGCAGCCTTCACAGCCTTGGCTTGGCTTTTGCGAGCTACTAAAAGGCAATTAGATTAATTTTATTTTAATAGCCCGTGTTTCTTAGAAATTAAAATTAATATAAAACTGAGGGGAAATCCCTTTGTTCTTTGATTCTGAGTAGCTGGAATAATATTAGATTACATAGTTTCATACCACAAAAGTCATGATATGAGCATAGGAAAGTTATTCTGAGAGAGGCCAACTACAGTTGGCTTAACCACAATCTGTTCAGAGACAATATGAAATTCTTAAAATCCTCCCACTCAGAGGGCTGGAGCAGCCACACCTATCCCAAGTATCCATATAAGTCTCTGTGGATCTTGTTTTTCTGGGTTATTTTTCAGAAAATCAAAAGATAATTCAAAATGTTATGCATTTCAGCTCATTGACCACCCTGAATGTTACAAACTCAAACCTTTAAGTGGGTGATACATGTCCTTAAGAAACTGTAAGAACTGAAGGTGTAGCATGTCAGATGCACATGCTTTGAAGTCTAATCATTTCAGGTAGATCAGTCATTTGAGTCAGTGCGGCTGCGGATACGTGATGCTTCAAATCAAAGTGCACATGTTCTTGCCTCAGCATCCACAGAGCACTGGAGCAACTTGGGTTCTCATGACACAGACGCAGCCCTCCTGTTGCTTCTCCTTTAAATATGCACACACGCACACATACACTTCTTCTCTTCTTGCTCTTTCTTCTCCCCTCTAATCCACTCAGAATGTCTGACGACTACAACACTGATGATTCACCTTGTGAATCACAGACGCACATTTTGAGGTTTCAGCCCACATATCTGCTTCTCTTCCCCCTCTTCGTTTAACTCTCTTTTCCTCTCTGCCACTCACTCTGTCTTCTTTTCCTTTTCACTTTTCAAAGTCGCCGTCTGTGGCAGCCAAGATTTCTTTCTTATCCACACCAGAGGGGAATCGGAGCCAAAATATAAGCAGGAATGTAAAACGGCCTCCATCAACCTGTTTTTTCCCCCTGTACATTTACTTTAGTCAGAGCCTGCTAGCTGTTAATCACCTGCACTCAAGCCAAGTCGAACCTGTAATTCTAATTTAAAACACGTATCCGCCCTGACTCCACGGGGGCAGCCTGCGCTGTGTGCTCCTGGTTGGTATTTGCAGTTATTTATTTAGTTTTCGTAATCCTCTTTGGAGAGAGTTGATGCCGTGGATTCTTTTGCGTCAGACTGCTGAATCTGGTTTTAAATAACTCCCACCATCACAGTGAGTCAGGTCCTATCGTTCACAGCTATAGCTCGTCACCACTGGATGGGTATTATCAGCAGCTCGCTGTTGTGCACACACACCCGAGCACAGAGATACTGTCATATGTACGCACGAAAATGACGAACATCCAGTATATTGTCAGACGGTGCCGATGAAAAGTGCTCACCGTTCAGACGTCAGCAATGATGAAGATTGTTTTCCCTAAAAAAAGAAAGAGCATTTGACATTCTGTCATGGAGACTAGCATGAACTCTTTGTTTATACCCCCAGGTCTGGTGGCATTTCGGCAGCACCTCCAAAACTTGGCAAGGACCAAAGGCATCCTGGAACTCAACAAAGTCCAGATGCTTGTGGAGCAGATGGGCTCTGGAGAAGGGGCCGCCATGGACCCCCTGGGACCACAGCACCATTTGCACAACCTCCTGGAGGTAAGTCCCTCTGCATGATCAACCAAACATACACTCTCAAGATCTTTCTTTTCCCCAAAAGCCAGACATGGCTTCAGCCTTTTCTAATGTCCTGACTTCATACTGGACAGAGAAAAAAAAAAAAAAAGTAGAAGCAGGCGCCCTAGCTGTTGTGTAACCCCAGGAGAGGCAGCCAACTGTGGCTTGTTTACTGTCTCCCGTCCCCCTGGGGCTTGGAGCCTTGGCCAAAATGAATGCAGCCATTGTTGAAATCAGTCAGACTCGCCCATAGTAGTGACGAGAACTGCAATCACACAAAAAGATGGGCACGCATACACACATAGTGACACTACAAGGGGAGCCATTTGGGGAGTGGGTTGTCAGCTTTCCTGTAAACAAAAAAATAAATAAGCACAGACAAGATCTTCCTGTTTTTGTTTTTTTTGTGTGTTTTTGTTTTTTTTCTCATCTGCCATAATGCAATAATGCTGCTCTTTGTTTGCTGTGCTGCTTGAAGGCCCATCATCCTTTTAATTAGCTTTTATTCCATTTGCCTAATGTGTAATCCCAAGGGTGTGTGGCATTTAGGGAAAGGCATCCCACTGAGCAGCCGCCACATGGGCATTTGGGCAAGAGACAGCAAAGATAATTCACTTAGGCTCCATGTAGTCCTCAGACCTCGACAAAGCTGGCAGTAGGGGGCATACGGGACCTGAGCCCTTAAGCACGTTGATCAAATGCTTTGTTTTTGATTGAAGGGTGAGGCATGCAGGCAGCAGGAGGGTCTAGCTTTATACCAAGGTGCGCCGCAGCCACCTCTCCTGTCCCGCAGACAGAGTTTGGAAACACAATACCTCTCTCACAGACTACAGGTACAGTCAACACTCCAGCCGATGATGGTCAATGATTCACAGGCTTGTGCAAGTTCACACCACTCCCATCCTCTTATTAAACAGATTTTCTCCACCATTTGGTGGCTTCATTCGGAAATTTTGGAGCTTGATATCTTCCACGTTACAAAGTAAGGACTCAGTTTGCAGATGTGAAAATATTCAGTCCCCGTCTCTGTTTTGTTCAGAAGGCCAGCGTCCTGGCCAACAGTCCTGCTAGCTGCCAACTTTTCTGTAAGGAGACCCCTCGAAGTTTAGAGCAACAGCTGCAGGAACACAGGTAATGCACACAGAAAACCTCTCCCCCAGACACAAGTATCCCTCCTTTTCAGTTTCCTTTCTTTTTCTTTGCCAGTGACTTCTTGTGTTCACAAGCCAGATGTTTTTTAAACAGGCAGGAATCAGACCAGCCCCAGTTTCCCAGATGATGATCAGTCTTAAGCTCCATTTTGTTAGTAGCTTAGAGTCAGCGTGGCATTGTTGCTGATAGGTAGCAGCTTTGTCAGTGGAGCGTTTTTAATGCGGGACCAGTCTCATTCATGCTTTTTCACCCCAAACATTTCCATCCATTTGAATTTCCCCACGTTGGGAAATGATGTCCTCATTCTTGACCCATCTTTTTTTTGTCTCAGCAATTTTCCTGAATAATAAGTGACAGATACTGATGTGATCCTCTCTGAAACACAGAGAAAGTACCATCTTAAATGACAGCATTGGATCTCCCCATTCCCTTTCCAATTAGCAGTATGTCCGTGTTTGCTCACGGATTCATTTGTGAGCTTTTTGTTCACTTGTTGAATCAAGGTCTTGTCTCCCTGCAGACTGAACCAGAAGAGGATGTACCTGCAGCAGTCCCAGGGCATGGGACTGCCGGTCTACTTCAACCAGATGCAGATAGCTGAGGGCTCCTACCCCGCCGGCGGCCCTGCTCTGGACCCGGCAGCGGCTCAAAGTTCCCCCCAGGGCCCCGCCATGTCAGCCCCCCACCAGCCCCAGCAGCCGGGCAGCCCCCAGGCCTCGCCCCCCTTCAGCCACACCCACAGCCTGAGCCCGCTGATGGAGCCCGGCGAGGGCCTGGTTTATGACCCGTACATGAGCCATCACCACTACGCCCAGCACATGCCCCCCGGAGCTCACCTCCACCACCAGCTCCACCATCAGCAGCCTCTCGAGGCCTCGTCCGGCGGCCTGGGCTTCAGCTACCCGCCGGGCTGTGAGCAGCAGGCCGGGGGGGCCGCCGCCGAGGCGCTGCTGCCGGAGCACTACGAGTTCCCCATGGACTCCTCCCTGCTGCCTCCGCCCTCCCTAGGAGAGGGCGACGGGGGGGCTGCGGCCGGAGCCCTGGCTGGCCCCGGGCCCCCCGACGGCCTGGGGATGCCTGACCTGCAGGGCTCCCTCCTGGACAGCGAGATGATGGAGACCGTGGACTCGCAGCACGGTTTCGTTCTGGTCAACTAAAGCCGGCTGATTGTTTCGAAAAACAGTATTAAGCAATGAAAGCCTACACACCATTGAGAGCAAAGAGAACGGAGATGTAAGCGGAGGCCAAAAGTGTAGCAAAAGGGAAGGAGATTGGTCGTTTTTCTACAGCTACTATACGAACTTCCTTTCTTAGTTGTGATAAATCTCAACTTTTCTACCAAAATCCTCCCTCAACCTACCTCCCCTTCTCCCTCTACTCTTCTGTTCTCAATCTTGTCTGCCAGCGGAGGCGGGCAGAGCCCGATGCGTGGCGCAGAGGGAGCTTTGCCGCCCGGCGGAGGCGGGGTGCGCACGGCCTGGAGGCTGCTAGAGTGCAGTGTTTCCCCCCAAGAAATAGTCTGAAATCGGACTCGTTTAGAACAACGACAACCAAAAGCACAACTGACTGGAAAGTGCTTTTTTTTTCAGGTTGTGGACGCCGTCGACAACCGTGGGCCTCTGTGGAGGATTTGTCTGTTTCAAGTTTCTTATGGACTAAAAAAAAAAAACATATAGAAGCGAGAGATAAAAGCCCTCATTTATCAAGGCGCCATGAACATCACCACAGATTCAACCTTATTATCATGTAGTAACTCCTGGTTATGCTACGACCGTAAACTTTAGCATTCACTGAGACACTCGCCCCAGATTTTGCCACAGCCAAGCCCTCAAAGCTGTGTTTCAGTTTGCAAACACAACTTCAAAACAATGTGATTTTATCCTTATATCTGTTTTACTCACATTCTTTCTAACTACTGATCTCAATTTTATGTGTATACAAAAACTAAAACAAAAAAAACTACTGATTGCATTCGCTTTCCAGCTTTCATTAAGGCCGATAGAATGAGAACCCGCCCCGGCTTTAGGATAAGATTTCAGGTGATGCGTTGGCCTGATAAATGAGGGCTGAGGCCGTGGACCGGCTTTAGCAGTGTTGGACTGTCAGTGGAATTCTGTTTTATGTGGCAATACTGAAGCAATATTGATCCTTAATGTGGAGGGGATTGTGAATGGAAGCCTCACCTGAAGAGCCGACCCCGATTGGCTCCCAGAAAAAAAAACCTCTGAGTCGTCAGCAGTGACATCACTCGAGCTGATGATGTAACCAGGAGATAATCTCTGCCATTTGCCCCCGGCGCTGCCGGGATTAGCCTGACAACAGCTTAACGGACGGCATCGTGCAAAAGTTAGATTTTTTTTAAAGTTTTTTTTTAATCATCTTAATCTATCATTTCACTACTTGTTTTTAGTTGAAAATGAACCTCATACATCCAAATTGAATGAAGCTTTTGCACAGTGGCGTGTGTGGACGGGTGGGCGAGGAGCGTAATCATTTTTGTTTGCACAATTCCGATTTTCTGCACCTATCGCATCACTGAAAAAAAAAAAAAAAAAGGACAAACACTGTACGGACTGCTTTTTCTTTCCCATTTGAACAGTAAACAGAAACTACAGTTAGGCTTTCGGATCGACTCTGGTTTGCATCCTCACCGCTCCAGCCATGTCCCTGTGGCCTTTTATCGACTGTTTTTGTGCTAATGGAATGTCCCCCTTAAAGATTCCCTGCGTCAGATTTCCTGGAAGAATGTTTTCCCCTCTGACTCTGCAGCCGCTGTGAGACTCGGACCCGTGGCCGTCCGGCCAGCGTCCGGCCAGCGTCCAGACAAGAGAACTTTTTTTTCTTTTCTTGTGTTTTTTTTAACAGCACTTAGACTGTGTTCAAATTACTTGAAGCACACAGATGTAACTTCTCAAACAGATGATGTAAAAAAAAAGATCCACTTAATTGGAATAATGGGACGATGAACATCACGGGGTTGAGATGGGATTACTGGACTGTGACCATCTGCTAGACTGTGTGACCTGCATTGGCCGGGGTTAAACCGCAAGAGTGCTTGAAGTCCGATTAGCCGGCAGACAAGGCAATCGCTCTCATTTTGTAAACATGACTGAGCACATATCTTGGCTGGAGGACAGAGAAGAGTAGATTAGTGGTTTATACAGTAGTCGCAGTTAAACAGTTTTAGTGTCGGCTAGAAGATGTAGACCAACTGTGGCTGCAGGCCTTTGTGAGACTTAAAGGGAGAAATCCAGCCTAGAATGCGTTAATTTTTTATTTTTATTTTCTTTACAGCAGATTAGAGCTACAGATTCTAATCGGATCAGATCGGCTGTTTATTGAAGAAACAAATTAATAGATTAATCTGAACCAGCAGCCCCAAAATGCCGTCGTGGATCAAACTGGTCACTTTCATTCAGCTTCACAGGACATTAACAGAGTTGTTTTAGTAAATCACCGTTTTTTTCTCACTTAATGGTTGAATAGACGGCGGTAGAGTGCATTGCAGAACCAGTCCAGTGGTCACATTAATAATTCCACCCATCAGATTTCAGAGTCATCATCTGGCTATGTTTTTTTTTTATGTTGAGATGACCACTTTTCTTTTTGTTTTTGTTTTTTTTTAAACGGGAATAAGCTCTCGCCCAGGTTGCGGGCCATTTTCAAGATATCCATTAGAGGGGGGGGGGGAGAACAAAGTGTTTTAGGCTTGGTTGAAGAGAAATGAGTCTTTTTAGTGGGCTTTATAGAGCATTAAATAGTTAGCACTGATGGCGTAAGAGCATTAAAGTGTGGGCTTTGCCTCTGTGGACGGTCGGCCTAAAAGATCTGCAGGATGATCTGTGGAAGTTGAATACTGGAGCACTTTGACAACAAGAGGAAGGAGAGATGTAGCGAGAGAAGAGGAGGAGGAGGAGGAGGAGGAGGAGGGGACCGCTGTGGAGAAAGGCGGGGAATGTTTGGATTGCTCTGCCTTTCCTGGCAGATGAAACAAATCACTATCTGGAGGGAAACACCTTTTCTCCCATCCCCTCCCCATCGGTAACGGACACAAAACAAATTTCTTTCAAAGAAAGACCAGACGCGGTAACACTTTATTTGATTGTTGATTTTACTCCAAGAGAAAGTAACACTTTTCAGTTTATTATGATGAGTGTTCTTTGTACAGAGTAGGGGTGTTAGTGGACCCTCGGCTGTGTTTGATAGTGTTCAGTGTGCCTTTTTACTTTTCGTATTTTCACTCTAAATTAAGACTTTGAGTAGAACCAATACTTTTTTTTTTGTTGGTTAAATCCTTTAGTCGTTTATTTTGATTACTTCCTTTGTGTGTTTCTTTCTTATTCGTTTTTTCTCTGAAAGTACATAGAACCAGGTTTTACAAAGGTACAAAACCAAAGTCCCTCAGAAGTTTTCCTGTACGACCCACCGTGTGGAGTTTTGGAGCTTCTTTGTCAGCTTCTCGACGTGCTTTTTTTGTTTTTGTTTATTTGTTTTTGTTTTTTTTGGTCAATCAGTGTATGCCATTTAAAAGTATTATAGCAATATCTCTCTAGATGAAGACTAAAGTGATGAAGATTCTAGTGGATGTGTTTCCAAGTATCATAATTTCACCTCCTGCTGATAAAAGAGACAAAAAAAATCAATCAATAGAAATCGAGTTTTATATTTACCTTCATTGATGTTGACCACACATAAGCTAACTTGCTGTTGAGATTAAAAAGGTTTATTGAACAGACTAATGTGTGTGTGTGTGATTATTTTTTATTCTTTTGTTTTTTTGTTGCTGTTTGGTCTTCTTCCCGGGCGTTGAAATGCGGTTAGAGGGTTTAACCGCACACTATCTTCCCACATAATCCTATTGGCTTGTAACAGTACACCGCGGCCGTCTGATAGGGGTCAGCAGCGCAGACCGGGGTTCCTGACCGGGATTAATGGATCACACTAAGCACTCTATTATAGAGGCGGACCCTTAAATCATTTCGTCCAGGTGGACAGGGCTCCAGAAAGGCTGATCATTTTCACGGCTCAGTTCTTGCGTGTCATCTAGGTGACACGTTTGAAAATTTCAACCATTTTTAGACCCTGGTTCTGTTCTCAGAGACGGTAATCCAGTCAAAAATAACAATTTCTTCTGATAATGGAAAAAATAATTCATCAATTTCTGCCTTTGTGATAGCCTACCGGGTCCAGTACTAAGTACTTGGTCCTCTTTTTTTTTTACAGCTTTTGAGAGGTTGGCCTGTGGTGATAACAAGGTCTCTGTGGACTTTGATTAACCATAGCTCTGTTTTCATGATGCGTGTCCACAAACCACTGTTCAATTAGTCAAATTAACCCTAACTGGCTAACCGACCACAATAGACATAAGGAGCTGATGGTGATCTGCTTACTACTCTGAGCACTTTATAGAGCCGTGATGCCATTCTGATGAATGGAAATACATTTTAGTGACATTTTAGGCAACAAATATCCTCACATATTTCGGACAAGCCTTGATCAGAGTGACATCAGCAACAATAACAGTAACATCAGCAGCCTCTGAAGATTGCTCTAACTTAATTTATTATAAGTTTATTTAAAAATGTGTCTGAGCAGTTAAGCCAAATAGAAATGCCTCATACTCACACTTTATACTCAGACTGATGAAAACGTACCATAAATGATTTTTAAAAACATCCCCAGCTTCTCTTCTGTCCACACAGCTGTGCACCGCTGAGGCCGTTTGGAGGCCTTTTATTGGTCGCCGTCAACAAGCAGGAGCGGCTGAATAATTCATCACCGCTGATAAGCGCTGCGGCCCTGACCAGCCACTGAGATCACTGCCCTGTCGACGGGTCAGTGCTCCGGGGTCACATTTATTCCACCTTAGTCCGGGAGTATTTCTCTAACTGGGCGACACCTTTTTCTGAGTTCTGATCTGAGAAGGTTTTCTCAATGCATTCCAACCCAAACTCTACTCTCGGAGCGTGGGCCAGAGGGAATTCTCAGTCCCGGGGGAGGGCAGGGGGCGGCTCCTGATGTGGAGAGAGCACGTCCAGCCGTCCATCCGGCCGGCCCACACAGAGGGAACAGCTAATCCCGCTAATACACCACCAGAGGAAGGTACGGAGGGGGGGAGAGGGTCAGTGTGTTCAGGGAAACTGGGTCCTGGTTGGTTTTCCTGGGATTGGAGGCCTGGAACGTGGAGTGGGTCTCACCCCTCGTCCAGGCCCGGACCCAACTCCCCCCCGGTCAGGTTTCAGTAGGCCCGTGAGCATAAACACAGCAGGCCTGAAACAAGCCCTCTTCTTTTGGCACGAGACAAAAATAGCATCTTCTTTATAAGGTACAAAGCTTCCCCTTTTCCTACAGAGGGGTTGCACCCTTTTCCCGGGAACGCTGCAGCAGCCTCTGACACTCCGGGCTGACGGATGAAAGGGAGCCGGCGTGAGGGGAGACAATGGCCATCTTCTTTTTCCTCGGGGAAAACGTCTCAGAACGAGAGGCCGATTCACTCATCGGACCAAAGTATATTGTAATGACATCAATGGTTGCCGTGACAACCGGCAGAGGGTGGATGACAACATCCTACTGCGTCTTTTAAAGCAGATCACAGTGCTGCTCGGGATTAGTGCTGCAAAACAACAACCAAACCTTTGAGGATGGGGGGGGACTCAGAAAAATATTAAGCTAAAAAAGACATTTTTCATACCAGGCATCTTTTATTTTTTCTTCTATACACTCCACAAACTACATGAAGGAGCCGGTCTGTAAAGCCCAGGGCAGCGTGTGAGCTCGGCTGACGTAAATGGGGGGGGGGGGGGGCTCTGCCCAAGATTTTGTGGAAGGTCACCCTGCCCTCCAAGGCATACCCTCCGTTTCCCTGTTTCTGAGTGGCCGCCGAACACACGCTGACCAGCAGATGGACGGAGTCAGAACATCCCAGCACACACGGCCCAGTGGTGCTGGTATAAAAAAAGAAAAAAAAGAACGGGGGGGGGGGGGGGGGGGGGGGGGGGGGGGGGGGGTCCTGGAGGCTCTTGGCTGGATGCTTGAGTCAAACACACGCCGGTTTGAGGGATTCTCTTCTAGTGCTGAGAGGAGGATGAAAAAAAAGAAAGAAGGAAAGTTTCCAGAGGCCAGACCTTCACTGATAGATGAAGAAGAGGAGGGAGCTGAAGGTGACTTAAAGAAAAGGAGCGTGCCAACGGGCCTCCTCTCCTCAACTGGTGTTTGTCATTTGTCATCCTGAGGATCTGACCTCACTGCGCGCGTATGTGTGAGCGTGTGTGTGTGTGTGTGAGTGTGTGTGAGTGTGTGAGTGTGTGCGGGCTCTGCTGTGTGTGGGGGCTTTGCTTGACTCCTTTCATTATAAATGACACAGTCCTGGGAGGCAGCTGCATTGACGTCAACACTCTGGGTTCCATCGAGGGCTTCAGCTGCTGAAAATCCCCCCAAATAACTGCAGCGCCGCCTCACAAACCCAGGAGGATTTTTTTTTTGGGGTTGTTTGTGTTTTTGTTTTGGGACGTAGAGGGGTGGGTTGTTCAGACCCACGTTTTCTAGCATTAGAATATGTTACTGTGTCGGATCCGTGAGGGGGAAAAGCCCAAATTCTGCTTGTTTTTCATTAACGAGACTTAAACGAAGCATCACCTTAAAATAAAATAAGAGATGAGTGTGTGTTGGAGCTGCTGCATCGTCTTTCTGTGGCAGAAAAGGCGCCACACCAGCCTGAGCTCAGTGCTGTGTGTGTGTGTGTGTGTGTGTGTGTGTGTGTGATGGGCTGACACTGAGGCTGCGTGGACGACCGAGAAAGCCCAGGATTCCAAGGAGGGCTGATGAGAGATTTGAAGAGATTAAAAAAGGAAGCACAGATTCTCATAAAGACCCCCCCCCCCCCCCCTTAATCCTCTCCACGAACTGCTCGCTTGGAATTAACCAAAAAAAAAAGGGATAAACAAATAAAAAATAAAAGATTTTATTTTTAAAACAGGGAGCATTTCAGATGTCCTGCAGCCTAAAGCGTTTTTAGTCGCGTGTAAAGATGCTGAAAAAGGAACAACCAAACTGGTTTTGCCTGTTTGGTTGAAAAAGTGTAGAGGGGGGGGCAGGTGTCAGTGCTGGACCGTGCCCCCCCCCCCGCCCCGCCCGTTTGGCAGCACAGTCACGCAGCCTTCATCGTCATTTTCCCTTCAGGACTGGTCCAATTTAACTTTAATGAAGCTCAACTTGACCCTTTGACTCCATTTTCTGTGCAGATAATAATAATTGCCCTTTCTAATTTTATTTGTCTTATGATGTAGAAAACTGAAAGCAAACACCGCCACCTCTTTTCTTGAAATAAACCAGCTGTCACTCTTATTAAGCCTGCCCGTTTAAAAAAAATTTATAAAAAAAGCAAAACACTTCAGACTTATAAGTGTAGCCCTTTTGTGCCCAGGTTCAGAGAAAGAACGGCTTTATTTTTAGAGCCGTCCAGGGCGGCAAAGCTCGCTGAAATCTGACGGATTCTGAATGCTGTGGCCCCGAGCGTTAATCAGACACAGCAGACCAGCTCCTTTGTGTTACTTTATTCAGATGAAGGTACAGTAGTACAGCATCCCAACTGTGAACTCAAAAATAAAAATAAAAGCACAGTCTTTGTGATACAGGACAATCAACAATCAAAGTTTATTTAGGAAAACAGAATAAGACGGAAAGGGGTCAGGAACAGCGGGGGATCCCGGGAAAGACAAAAGTTTCTTTTATTAACACAGACCATATTTATTCAGACTGCCCGTAACCACCCCACTCCCACCCCATCGTAAAACATTATGCAACATACACAAGCTCCAGACCGCCCCCCCATCCCATCTTCTTTCAAAGCACACACTTGTCCTCTGTCCTGTCGGGATTTGAGCAGAGCTCCAAAAGGGATGACCCTCGGTTTGGGAGGACCTGGCACGGGTTTGCTTTTGTCAGATGAGGTGCTTGTCCTCTTTGTGGTGCGACTAAAAGGCAAACAGCAGCGTTTCTCAGGGCCGCGGGCAAAACCACGAAGGCTCCCGGCCGAGAGACGCACTGACCGACAGGACGTCACCTTGACCTGCAAAGACTTTTCAATGGCTTCTCTGAAGAGCTTGACCGGTGTCTCTGGGAAAGATTGCTGAGAAAGGGCCGATTCAGGAGGAAGCGGGGCAAAAATAAGCAGCTTGTTGCAGCATCTGCAGCTAAAACTTTCCGTCTAGCAGGTTTTTTTTTTTTTTTCTTCTTCTTTTTTCCGGCGGCACACAGAGCTCGGCCCGCGCCGGCAAACACAAGAGTGGCATAAAGTGAAGGAGGAGAGGGAAGTAAAGGGGAGGAATGTGAGGGGTTCCGATTAGAAATGTCTCCCGAGTACGGGAGCACGTTAGTCTGCATGCACCACTTAATTTGATCACACTCTGCCAAAGCAACCATTTACAGCAAAGGGGACGATGGACAGAGGCCCATGCTGTGCCTGGACATCGGCTATGATTGGACAGTAAAAATCACCTTTAAAAAAAAAAAAAGAAAAAAAAAAAAAGGAAAGGATCTTAACTATTGTTAACAGCCTCTCTATACATGAACCAGTTTATCCTGAACATCAATAAATATCTTGTACAAGTGTTGTTTGTTTGAGGGGGGGAGGGGGGGGGCATCTGGTTTAGCCATGGTGGGGTGGTTATGCAAGGGCCAGAACTGTAGACAAAGAACAAAACAGGAAGGACATTAGTGTACCTCACACAACCCCTGCCAATGAAATGTTGAACACGAGAACAGGGGAGAAAAGGGGCTCACCACTAATGGCCTCCTGGGCAAAGTACTTGACATCCATGTCGGAGTCGGTGGCCAGCTTCTCCAGCACCGGCTTCACCTCCGACTGCAGGGCGCTGGAATCCACAAACACATTCTTAGAGCTGCTTTTGGGCTCTAGATGAAGAACATGCGACGCTCTGGAGGAAAAAAACGACTACGTACTTGCTGTCGAGGACTGGGCCGATCTTCTGGAGAGACTTGGCCACGTTGAAGCGGACGTTGGCCACCTGGTCGTTGGACATCTTCAGGACCACGGGGAGCATCTGCTTGGTGGTGATCTCCTGACCGCAGGCCTCTGACAGCGCCTGGGGCACACAGACCGGGGTGGACGGGACATTTAGGACAAAGCCCCGCGGGCTCCTTAAGCCACCGGCGGGAGCGGTTTAGTGAGACTCACGTTGATGCAGAACAGAGTGGTCATCCTGTGGAGGTAATTGGGATCGTTGGCCATGCCCAGAACTTTGGGCACGATGGTGTTCTGGGCCCACTCGGCTCCAAACTTCTCCACAAGCTTCATGAGGTTGCAGGTGGCTGCTTCACGGATGGCGTAGACTAGTGGAACAGAGGAAACGGGGGGTGTAAGCCCCTCTCAGACCCCACAAAGAGTCAGTCTGCACTAGTGTGCACCACGTGCGTTTATGGTGTTGTCCACTGCCCCGGGTGGCCGACGCCCTGCTTGCCGGCCTTATGACACTCACGCATTTTGGTCTTTTTGTTTTTTTATCCCTCCTCGTGTACTTCCTTAGGCTCTATTCAGGCTGATAACCACCAATCTGAGGAGCAGCTGCTCGGCCCACTCGTATGAAGCTTCTACTCTGCACACGCCTCTCTGATTGGTCTTTTTTTTTTGGGGATCTGCTGCTCGATTCTGATTACTATCGTTTGCCTCTCGGTGACCTGAGACCAACACCTGGTTCCAGGCGCCGGTATGATAACAGTCCTTGAATGGCTGCTGAAGGGATCCAGAATCCCTTCTCATGGGCCAGAGCCAGAGAGCCAGAGGGCTGTGCTTTGTGTGGGTCAGCGTTGAGCTGACATTAAGCACAGCAGGCGACAGACTCACAGGTCCATATGTGCGGTCCGGCGGCTGTGCTAACACTGAAGGGTTTAAAGGTTCCCTCACAACTGGAGAGGGAAAAATGAAGCGAGGGAAAACTTCCAGTTTGGAAGTATTGACAGTGAGTAATGGCCCTGACCTTTGCCACCACTGAAAAGTTTGGATAAGAAATGCCTTTTTATCTTTTTTTCCTGTTAATGTTTGAAGGATATATTGTGTAAATTACAACACCAATATTTGATACATACCCAAAAATGTTTGTGACGTCAATGGTCTTGACTACAAATTTCTAAAAATGGACATCAAGTGGAGGTATTTGAGCTGGTCTGCATCCTTTTTTATTGTCGGAGATAAAACACAGGCCATACGTCCAACCTGTCTAAAGTATTTTAGGTCGCAAAACAAAGACTTAAAACTATCTAAAAAAACTAAAAAAACAGATGCTGACCTGGATCAATATATCGTCAAAAATGTGAGAAAATGTCAGCGCATGAGACATTTAGGGTTAAACCTAACACAGACGTTTCTGTGTGGGATTCTGGGTGGGAAAGAGTCCCCCCACATTTCTGCAGCGCAGTCTTTCTTTGAAGAGCTTACGTAAGCGTGGCACAGCCCTAACCGAGCCATTCACACACAAACTCGCACCAACAGCATTCCAATGATGTAATCCAGTTGGCCCTTTGTCCTCGTGGCTTGGTATGTGCCTCTAATTGGAAAATTCTATGTCAAGAAAAAAAAACTATGCACAACAAGAAAAATTTAACTAAGATGATAAGCAGCATGCCCAAGTGTTTTTAGTTAAACATGAACGCAGCCCTGCAGCTTCTCATCACGGCTACTTGTATTGTTGAAACCTTCAAACTGCACAGGACAGAAATGGTTTGCAAATTAATTGTCAGGAAGTGACCCAACTCTGACTTTTACGTCCATTCTGTGAGCAGGCAGCAGATTTGATCTAAGGAACAGAAACTGTGACAGAGCAGCAGCTTATCTATTCCACTCCTAATGAAAGCCCTGGTGCAGCAGCCCTGGCTGTGCTCCTGTGTCAGCACTCCGAGCTGCGTGTGGAGGCCGGCTGAACGCTGCAGAGCCCAGGCGGCTCCTTCTGGCCCGGCACATTGCTCACTCCTATCTTTGTCATACGCTTTTCTCTTCACACCCAGACTCTGTCTGACTAATGACATGCTGTCAGGGCGGTAAGACAAGAGCTGTCTGCTTACATGTCAGCTATAAAAAGTGATACAGAACACAAAACCTCTGGATAGTCACAGCAGTTCTTAAATGATGCAAGTGTACCGATACGTGACAGGAATGAGGAGGTTGAGCATTTAAAAAAAAATTTCGGGTCAAGGCTTGTGCATTATGAATGCGTCACATTTATATAGTTGCTAATCCATAAAATTGCCTTACCATGGTCAATAAGCCAGGCCATGCATAGGGTGTTGAGCTTTTCATCAAAGAATTCCACTCCCTGTGAAAACAATGAAGCTGAATTAGAGAAAACTAAACAGTATGCCTTTTTGCCTGCAGTTTGCTAATATTTCTGTTCTTAAAAAACGGCTCTAATTAGGGTGGCATTTAAAGCACATATGGCCTTCAGCTGTCTTTTCCAGATCCTGTGACTCACCAGCTGTCCTGCCAACAAGGGCATGTACTCTATGATGGCAAGGCGAACCCTCCACTTGGCATCCTCAGCCAGCTCCACAATGGCCGGCAGCAGTGACTGGGAGAGCTGGCGTATGCCAATCACCTCGTTCACACAGTCTAGGTTTGAGATGATGTTGAGACGTACCTCAGGGCACTGACAGAAAAACAAAAAGGGCACGGTCAAGTTATGGTCACGGCAGCATGTATTAAGCAAAACACCCACGAGAGAAAATCCAAACATCTGAAATTAAGACGGACTTGCCTCGCCTTTTACCCTCAACAAGTAAAAATATGTGGGCTCCATCCCGGCTGAGCCACTTCAGCCTCTTTAAACAAACTAAAGTTTGAGTTAGTTTGGTCCAGAATCCTAAGTAATGCATTTTTCAAAAGGCCCTACATGGATATCTGCTTTTGTGCCTATTTAGAGAGGACTCCAACAACCAGAACAAAACATAATATAATAAAATTCTAAAATCCATAATGGGATTTTCAGTCAGGCACTAATAAAATAGTGCAGTACCAGACAAAGAACGCTAACCAAGTGATTTGTAGACCATAAATTAATGACATGTCTGCAGAATATTTTCCGCAATTATTCTCAGATAAATGCACCTTTAAATTAAATTAGTAAGTGAAGCTGTCGGTCTGGGCGGTAATCTAATTAGACACTTTGTCGTATGTTTGAGCAGTGGAGAAAATGGGCCATCTTTAAATAGGACCAAAGAGAAGCGCTGAGAGAACTTACAGGCCATGTCCTCCCAAACATTTCTACAGCCTCGCGCGCTCATTGTACAAACTGATGTCAGCAACATGTTCATATGAAGGGATACAAGTGGCCTTTTGCTGTTTTTAGTTTATCCCTTACATGACAGAACATTGTCCACATGCATGTTTCAGCTCTTAGTCACACAAATGCAACCGAATGCGCACTTCAGAGACTGCTTCATCGTTTTAATTCTCCAAACGCTCTCAATCATGAATACCTGCCTTATACCGACACTGACATGAAACAGCTGACAGTAACAGGAGCTAAACACTGTAAATCTAATCAAAAAGCATAAAGCACGATCCATCTGGTTAAACGTTGTCCAACTTCTCCGTGATGCTTCCCTCCACATACAGCTAGTCCCCCAATTAGAAGGTCTCAGTTTGGCTGCCAACTGTGTGAATCATCCTCCTACCCATCGAGGTGGCAGTCAGGTACATCTGGTACTGGGTTCCTACACATTCACATTTGAAAAAATTCCATACCTGACTGCGTTCAAACTTTATCTCATTTCAATGCCATTTTTAACATCCTAATACACAGTTTGCGTGTTTATTAAACATCTGGTTTTGAAGTCAAATGACAAACATCCTTTTAAAATTCAATGTTGCAGCATGGATACTATTACCTTATCAAATATTAATCCAAATAATTTAATTTATCAACCAAACCAATCCACAACATCTGTTTAAGCTGCATTGCTGTAGTGGTGAAAGGAAACAACATTTGAACCCAAAAAGGATGTCACCCACCCTCCTCTCAACATATGTAAATTAAAAAAATTGTTTCCTACATTTCTGCAACTTTTGCTGTTGGGTTGCTGAAAAACTGCAATGCGCCTCTGACGCATTCACACAGCTGCCCTACAGCTGTCCTTGTAGCAACATGGGGTCCTAAAACTTGATACTATTAAATCCAATGAGTAAATGGCAAACCTGGGCAGTTGATGGCAACCTACTCTTCTACCTGAGGCATGGCCACACAGGTATGCAAGCAGCTGGCTGAAGCTTACCCCGCCTCAGCCATTCTGAAAGCTACAGAGGTTGATCAAACTCAGAAAAAAAAAAGACTAATCTCCAGATTCATTACCTCGTCCTTAAGCTGAGCCAAGAAGAGAGGCAGTAAGTGCTCTATTGTGTTGTCCTTGCCCAGGATGGTCGATAGGCCCATAATGACAGAGGCCAGGGCTGACTTCACATGCTGATTGGTGTCTGAAACCAGCTCCTGCTCAGGGACAAGACACACAAGGGGACAGAGAGAGGAGCACAAACAAATAATTAAGAGAGGCAGTTTGTAAATAAACAAACCAAACTATAACAGTCTATTTCTCTGGGTCACACGACACACTACAATGAAGCTGGCTAAATTTGACCTGGCTGTAAGTATACCACAAAGAGACCGTAATAATGGTGTAGAAGATAAACTTCAATGTACAAGAATAAAAGTAACACGTATGTAAACAGCTGTGGTGTTAATTTCATAAAGCACAACTAACTTGAAGAAAATCAACATCATATGGAAGATTAATCTAAATGAATTGTATATTACAACACACATGGAAAAAATAAAATAAAATAAAAAAACAAGAAGCTTTGGCAGATCACCATGCACTCGCCTGCAGAGGGACGTTTATGTGCGGGTGCTATGTCCCTGGGTAAAGATGAGGTTTTTAGTTTTCCAGGAATGTGTTAGTTTGTTGCTACCTGCATGGCTGTGCTGCCAATTTACTGACAGCGTCAGCAGTGACTTTCCGACATGGGTTGAAATGCCTTCAGGCTCTGGTGTGAAGGATTTCAAAGCAGATGACCCACACCAGCTAGTTTAAATGGATTTACTGATAAAAAACAGACAGGCAACGAAAAACTACACTGACATAAAGCACTTTGCCTGCTCTCAAACTTTTCCAAAAAGCAACGCTGCCGCCTGCTGTTCAAAATATGCCACTGCGGTCAGCATAGGCAAACCCTACAGATCATTGCTCCAGAGCCAGTCAGACAATCACTGATTTCATTTAATCTTAAAGAATGCATTCTAGAAGCATGCATGAGCACACAATTCAATGCAAACAGAAAACAAAAATAATCCTCTGCTCTGGTGAACAGCAAAAGTTCCAAATAAATTAAGATTATTCAACTTAAATAAAGTTGAACCATTAAAACATCTCACCTGGTAAAAGAAAAACCATGAAAATATTTAAATTGCTTTCAGAGTAATTCAGCTTCCATACAGAAAAATACTAATCATATGACCTCCTGGGCAGAGATAAGGAGAGCTGGGCTGTAAAACACCCAAACTGATGTCATACCACATTCATAAATGCTTTGAAGAAGGCAATAAAACGATAAGTGTCTTCATTCCTCCCCTTAAAGACTGGCAGTGAATGAAAGAGTCTTTCTTTGTGGTGGAGGGGACATGCCACAGAAGATTAAATAAAACCTTTACCTTGACACAGGGCAGGATGTGGGTCATGATGATTTGCTCACGGCTGTCCTCTGGAAGATTCTCACAGAATTCTAAACAAAGAAAAACATACATCAAGACATACAAAACATACAAGTGTGGAAGAAAGGGGACATCAAACTAAACCAAGTTAAACTCCTGTAATTGATCAGTTCACCAAGTCTCACTAACCTTTGACTTTGTTGGCAGCAGCTGCACGAACCTCTGCTTCACAATCTTTCAGAAGGTTCTGGAAGGCTGGGACCAGGTCGTTCTTTGTGATCTCTGGGCCCACGGCTTTCTGGAGCTATGTTAAAAATAAATATTTTTTAAAAATTTGGGATTTTAGGGAAATTAGGATTTTAGTAAGGTATAATCAGCCATTTACAACTGGTGACTCCAAACTATGATGTCCCAGTGTGATGATTTTAACAGCTTTTCAGGGCTAATGTTTAAGTGGATGTTAACAGCCAAATGATTGTTTAGTTTTGTGAACAAAAATGAAATGTTACTGTGAATTCAGTTTCCATTAGTTAGTTACTTCCTTTTATCAATTTACTTAATTAGAATTTTTAATTCTTTGTAACACCAAAATAGTTTTTTTCCCCCCTATGTTTAAAACCATTCATTACTCCCACAATACTGACAAATTCTGTCGGTATCCACCCCCCCCCCCCCCCCCCCCTATTTAACCAAAAAGACTAAAAAAGGGGGGGGGGGGCACAATGCTGCCACCTCCACATTTCACTGTAGGACCGGTGTTTTTGGAGTGAACAGACAGGCTTGGTTGGCAAACGACAGCAATTTCCTTTATGGTCAGAAAATGTAACTTTGATCTCATTAAAATCGGAGGACTTCGTTTTATATTTCTGGGAAGCCTTACACTTTTCTTTAAATGTAGATGGATCTTAAAATAGATTTTCCATGGCTGACCTCTACATATACGTAGAACAGAGTAGTAGAGGATAAGAATTTACCTCAGAGAACTTGTCAGCAACCATGTAACGGACCCTCCAAGATTTATCCTCTGCGGCCTGGCGCAGGGTTGGCATTACCAGTGTCTCCAGGTCCTCCTGAGGCAGAAGAGTGGCAATGCTGACTCCAGCCTCCACGGCAAGCAACCGCACAGAGTCCTGATGGAGAGAGAAAACAGGATCAGCTTCGTTATCAAGCGAAACCAGCTGAGCCGGAAATATATAAAGGAGACAAACACATACCTGCTCATCGGAGGCCAGAGCTGTGAAAAGGGAAATTATATCACTTTTGACATAATCCAGCTCCAGGACTTTGGCAAACTCCCCAAGTTTTGATGCTGCAGCACGACGCACCATAGGAGTGTCATCAGAGCACAAGGTGCGAAAATGCCTGCCAACAACCAAAAACATCTTTCAGAGACTAAACTCTCAGCTAAACTTTTCAAAGGCCAACAAGCATCCCCAGAGTAATGCAATTATTAACACGTAATGTCATAATTTACAGGGAAATTTGATTCTTTAGCACTCTAAAAACTCTCTGTGGAGGGACACTTACTGTCGGATTTCAGCCTTGACAGTGCTGGAGACACGAGGATAACACACACTAAAGAGGCCACAGGCTGATGTGCGAGAGGTGAACCAGTCACCACTGGCCAGCCGCTTCACCAAAGGCTCAAAATGGACCTCCAGGTCAACTGGAGAGTGCTCCTGAGAGATCTTTCGCAGGGACTCCACGGCTTTGTCTCTGACTACCGTTTCTTCCACTGTAGCAAGACTCTCCAGAGGTGGCTGTGTATCAATAAGGAGAGATATGTAATGAGCTTGTTATTAAGCCAAACTCGGGTATCTTCCTTAAAACACATACAAGCCATACGCCATGTAATATATTGCATAAAATATTACAATAAACAAAATGGCATCACATTATTTTTAATTGAACCAGGTATATTTAAGAGGCATTATTTTTTCTCAGTAATATTTATTTGGATCTTGATCTTCAACACCAATAAACTTACCAGGAGGCAATGGACATACTCTGGCCCTCCCACCAACATGGTGAAATTGCCAAGCTGCTCAGCCAGTGCCAAAAGCACCTCATCTTCATCATAAATGGTGTCTAAGAGAGGACAGAAAGGCATGTGAAATGATCATAAATGACAGCAACACATCAGTACTTCTATAACACCACAAGTCAGGTGACTGACATTATTACCTGTGAGGAAAGGAAGGAGCTCAGTGCGGGTCCTCTCTACACCGAGAGCCAGCGCAATGGTGGACAGCTTCTTAATGCTGTTCAGACGTAACTGTACACAAGAACGGCACAGCTTCGTTATGCATTCTCAGATAATACCTGGTACAATTTACTACGCTGTATCATGTCACTGTATCATGGAAACATATACTGAATCCACAGCATTCATTTCAACCGCTGTTTTTGAAAGGCCGCCATCGCTTTCAGTGATTAAGTTATAAACAATAGTTTCAAATTACCAATACGTTGATGTAAATTAAACGAAATATCCCTTTGACATTCGACAGAGGAGAAATGATCAATGAATGAACGTAAAAACTAAACGTACAGCAACTGTGAATGTGGTTTGTTATGAGTGCTAACTTTAGTGTTCATCTTCAGGCTAGCATCCTAACTACGATGCAGGAAAACCAGCAGCTAAACCGTTGACCTGATTTGATCGTGACAATTTCCTGACTACTCGTCTGAATTCTGTCGATGTTTGCAGCAATACTACAGACTTATTTTAACAGCGGTACAAGATGATAAGTTAATGTTGCAAATCTCAAGAAAAAAACTTGATTAACCAGGCAGGGTGCGCCCGGACGGGCCTTAGCCGGGGGACGTTAGCTAGCATATTAGCTAATGGGCTAGCTTGCGATCAGACGCTTCGCAGAGAAAATACAAACAGTTGCAGTTTATTTAGCTGAAGAATATAACTAACATTAATTTCATAAACCCACCTGAACGTCCTCATTTCGTAACTCATCAATGAGAACGGCAATAGGGTAGAGAGAATCGTCTCCATCAGCTCCTGCCATTTTGGATACAATTGCAGTTACCGAATGGCGCTGCTGTGCGGCACTACGGGGTTTCTGCCTAAGAACGGCGGCTGCAAGGCCCTCCCTCCTCCGCTGCTGAGCTGCTGCTTTCAAGAAACCCCCGACAACAGACTTTGCGGTTTCTTAATTTAATTATATTTTTTAAATTCACAAAACTTAATGTAATATCGACTAATAATTAATACATATATTAGATGGAAAATATATTAATCATTACAAATGTATTGGTTGATATATTTTCCATATTTTACATTTATGTAAAGGCTGCAGTCCTACTATACTAATGAGAGGCAACTTTATCCATATTACAAACTTTTTTAAGCACACCATCATACTCACACAAATACTATTATCTAGTTGTCAAACCTTCTTGTCATTTTTTTTGCTGTAAGGTAGAAAAGCATTGTTGCAACCTTAAGTAAAAAACAGCTAAAGTTCTAAATAAGGAGGAGTTAAATATTTTAACAGTAAACTTGAAAACCGCAAAAAGTATTTGGTGTATTAGAAATAATTTGAAAGGAGAACACAGTGAATAACTTAACTGAATCAGAGATGTGCATGTGTTTGTGCGTGTATTCTTTATTAGCTTAGGGTGGCATACTGTATCTCTTCCTCTCCGGGATGGTGGTTGACCGAAATTGAAAAAAAAGGGAAAAAAAGTCAAAACTATGAGAAAAAGGGAACTTCCTTCTCACAGAAAACGTATTAGTTGGTGAAAGATGCAGGACCCTGCTTCCAGAAAGAGATTAATGACCTGGTGAGCGCAGTGAAAGTGGCACACCTAATAAGTCTGTTTGAGTTGCCATTTTTAAAAGGTCAATCTAAAGGTCAGGAATTAGACATAAAAGATGACAGGAAGTTTTAATACCTGTGTATGTGCTATTAAAATGCAGAGTAAAAAACATGTTTTCAGAGGAAAACATGTGATGTATGGTATGGTACTGATGAGAACAGGGTTTCAGTATCTTCACTGACTGATGTCATTTGGCGGTACAAAAAACACCTGTGGAGAAAAGTGAGGTATCAGAAATAAAGGCTGACCTAAAGTGGTCATTATGTCAAAAAGTTTCAAGGTTTGTTAGAGTATGGCGGTAAATTCAGGAACAGGATTGACACTTATCAATGGTGGACTTTTATACAGAAAAACAAGAAACCGGAAATGCTGACGTCTCTTCCGTTAGGCAAGATGGCGTCTCAGCAGCAGCCGGTTGGGCCGATGTCTCAGCAAGGATTGCAGCAGGCTGCTTCACTTCAACAGCAACAACAACAACAGCTCAGTCAACAGCAGGACTTTGACCCAGTTCATAGATTTAAGATGCTCATCCCGCAGCTGAAGGAGAGTTTGCAGGTAACATTTATTTCAGGTAATTATTCCACACTGAGTTAGCTTCAGACCGACGCCAACCCAGAACAACAATGGTCGAAGTTAGTTGGTTAACGAGATGTTGTTTGTGCTTCAATATTGTTCTTTATATTTGTTCGATAATTAATTTGAACTCTTTTTCTAATTTAGAATGTGATGAAGATTGCATCCCTGAATTTGGCACATAATACTTCAATTGATAACGGCATGTGAGTACCAAGTTCGAGAGGGGAGTGGACTTAAAAATTGTCCTTGATACGAGATATTGATCTATTTTTTCCCCTCTTGATATAGTAAAAGCAGCGACACGTCAGTTCAGCGCTTCGACAAAAGTTTAGAAGAATTTTACGCCCTTTGTGATCAGTTGGAGCTGTGCTTGGTAAGAATGGAGAGTACAGTAATCTCATGAACAGATAAACAAGTGCTGGCAGTGGATTGAGGATCTGCAGCACTTTTTCTTATACCTTTTATTAAAATAATTTGTTCAGTGATGGCATTAATTTCTTCCTGATGATCAGAAACGGTTCTTCCTAAAGGTCTGGTGTAAATGCATTCGGAATAATTTACTTTAAAACATTGGCTAGACTAAATTTAATGTCTAAACATAGTAAAATGTCTATATGTTACTCGTTACACATTATTATGGACCTGTCTATTGTTCAAATTCATTTTAATTCACCATAGTACAGAGTACATAGTCATAAAGAATAATGGGCCTAAACAATTATATGAATAGCTAGCCAAATAAAACAAAACATACATGATAATCTTAATGTATATGTTTGATATGCAGGATAAAACCTTGTTTTTCGTCTCTTTCTCCTCTCCGCAGCGTTTGGCGTATGAATGCCTCTCACAGAGCATCGACAGTGCCAAACATTCCCCTAACCTGGTTCCCACAGCCACCAAACCAGACACAGTGCAGACAGAATCCATGTCTTATGCCCAGTACCTTGGCATGATCAAGTCTCAGATCTCATGTGCCAAAGATATCCACAACGCTTTGCTGGAGTGTTCCAAGAAGATTGCTGGAAAGGCACAGCCTCAGGGAATCATGTAGACCTTGACCGACCACGCCTCCCTACAATCTGGCTTTGTGTGTGGGCTGCCTCATATTTAATTTGACAAGATCCTGTAAAAGAGAGTTTTTCTGAAGTTTATGTAAACTCTGTGTAAATATTCCTAAGAAATAAAAAAGTCACGCTTAGCAATTACCAGCAGGTGGCAGCATAGTTGCAGGTCCTTTTGTATCGTATTTGTATTGAATATTAAAACATTTCTACTGATAATGCTGCTTTGCTTTTATTCAAGACTGTGAGTTGAATGGAAGAAACATATCTATCTTTGATATTTTCTTGTTCCATGCACGTTTCCAGAAATAAACAGTAGGTATGCATATAGGTAGGAAAACATGTTTAGATGCACAGGTGAGTAATGCTACAATAAAGACATCTTTATTTAAAAATTCACTAAAGATCAAATAAACATTTTACAGATGTACTTTTGCAGAATTACGTGTCTAAATAGGTAACATATTTAGTGATTTTTGAGGGGAGAGCACGAGTTATTGTTGGTGTGCTGTTACCTAAATCATGTAAAATGAAAACTTGACAGGTGAGATATTCTGCATTTTTATTCCTTTTTTGTATGTGGAGGCTTAGACGAAAGTGAAGCCTGCTCTGTAAGCATGTTAAAGGGGAGCACAGCGGGCCAGCAGCTGCGTAACATCTCAGTACAATCTGAGCTACTGACAAGTGCTTGGATCCAAAAATACTACCCTGGGTCACCACCAGGCATAGGAGTATATTCTATTATTAAACATATGTTATAATAGCAGCAGGTGTACACTCAGGCAGATATCTAGTTTGAGTATGATTTACCAAAAATGACAACAGATTTATTTTAAGGTTTTAATTCTCAAACACATAACTTACTTTAAACACGGGTAAAAATGTAGAAGAATAACATTTGAATGTTTCAGAGTAATCTTCGTGTGGTTTGCCCTGTGCAACATTATTCATGAGAAGAAAATAATCAAAGCAACAATATAAAAAGGGACAGTGCTTCTTTTTCTTTACAAAGATTACAGCGCATAAAATACATACAGCAACAATATCAGGTACTAAAGATAATTACAAACTCAAATGTAGGTGTGTATGTGCATTTGTGGATTTCACACGAGTTAGCGGCTCTGTGAATGCAGCATCTTTATTGGCAACTGTGATTAAAAAAAAGGTGAAACTGCTCATGTGTGTTCACTACATTAAATAAATAAGATCGTTTCCTTGTTGACCTCATCATGTAAATACTGTTTTAATGTTCAAAGTTATTCCTGCTCATTTTCCTTCATATTTTTGTATGTTTGTAAAAAAATATTTTAAAAAACCCCATAATGAATTAAAGATAAATTGAAAAAAAACGTGTTAAACCGGCATTTGTTGTGAATTTCCAAGAACATCATGGTGAAGAATATGCAGAGTTGGCTAAAATCTCTGGTATTAATCTACTAGAAAGTCTAGGCCACTTTTGCTGCAGTGTGTATCTGTTTGGGAAGCACCACGATGAACTGGAACAGGCTTAAAAGACTTTAATTTACTTCTTTCTTTTTTTTTAAAGGACGTTCTTACTGCTTTGTCTTGCCTGAGCCTTCGGTTTTGACCGAAGTACGAGCCGTCCTCTTTTGTTGGTCCCTGTGAGACACAGAAAACTGAAATGAACCCACAACAGTTGTGACTTTGGTAACACGTGATAATTGAGTCCTTCGCTGGGCTTGTGTGCACCCTATCTAAGATCACCACTCAATTGTCACTCGGCCCTGATGCGCACATGCTGGCCTGTCCTCAGCGTGGCATTTAGTCCGAATACTGACCTGTGGGCGTGCGGGGGGGCGGTGATGGCTGCCCTGTGGGCAGCACGGGGCTGGGGTTCCCTGAGGCGAGACGTGGGGCCTGATGGCTGCAACATGGACACCTCCTGCTGCCACTCTTCATCAAAAGACTGCGCTTCAGCTGCGGGCGGAGGGGTGAGATCATGTCATGCACAACGACAGAGACACAGCTGAATGTTGCTGCAAACGGAAAGCTGTCACACACATTCATCCATATTCTGAAAGTCCTGGTTGAACTCCTTCTCTCCCGTTTTCTTGTTGAATTTCTTCTCAACAACATGTCCTCTGTCCTGGATGTGATGTCCGATTCTCATCTTCTCCAGACCGGTCTCGGAGTCCTTCAAAGCATGGCGGGTCTCCTTGACCTAAGAGGAGAGCATAATTTCAGGTTCCTTATTTTTTCTATATAAAAGATCTATCCAAACACATGCATTTGGGTTACTTACCCCTCCAGGGCCACGGATTGTCGAGGAAGATGCCTGGAAGACCTTCGGGGGCTCATTTCCCACTTTTGAATACGTCATCACTGATGAGGAGCTGAACGAGTGGCTGTTTGAATTTGTGGAGGTGTTGTCCTGAGAGACACAAACACACAACCCCGTTAAGACCCCAAATCTCACACAGCACGGCAGTCAGAAGGTCAGAAGGAGAATTAAGTCGAGTGAGCTCACAAAGTTCCGGTGTGTTCCCTCCATCCTGTTATTCACCTTGGCCATCATGTTGTCGAACATGCTAAATGGGTTCAGCATCATGTCCTTCACATCACAAAGAGATAAGAAAAATCCCAATTCACCGACAAAAAATAATGACAAAGTCTGGCTTCCATTTAACAAACATAATGATCAGAAAGAAATGTGTTGCATAACTGAAAATGAAGCATATCATTGTCACTTTTATGTACATGCAGGAAAGCCTCACAGTCACTTAGAATCACAAGTTAAAATCATTTCAGTTAGTATTCTTACACTCATTTAGAGAAAAAAAACTTTCAAATGATTATTTCAAAGGGATACAAGGATGATGTGACATTTTTCACACCCATAAATGGGATGCTTTGCAAACATCAGAAAGTAAGTTTATCCACAGGAACCTTTTAAAGTAGGTGTGTGTGTGTATTCATTTATATTTTGTGGTGAAGGGTTGGGGCTTGGGAGTGGTGATGGGGTTATGTAATACGGTATGCTGGTTGGTATGATTGGTATATGGTATTAGAGCTATGTTGTGTTTTTTAATCCCTTATATCTACCTGCTTTAGCTGTGCCAGGGTGATCTCCATTTCCATATTAATGACAATGAAAGTATTTTTCAGCAGACTGAAATAACTTTAATGAACTAAACAAACCCTGGTTATTGGAAAGGAGAGAAAGTTTTAGCAATATTCATGACTAATGATTTCCAAAGTTTTTTTGAGTTCTTTTTTTTGGGATAAACTCCCTTTTTTTTGGAAGGGGGGGGCCTGCAGGCGTGGGTGAAGAAGACGAGGTAAACGTACACATTGGTAAAAGGCCTCCGTTTTTGGAGCAAATGCAGAGGAGACAACATGAGTGGGCACACCAGCATTTAGTGAACAGACTGTTAGAACACGCAGCTGACCCTGAGGTCTAGGTGTTGGGGTTAAACGGGACTGAAACAGAGCAGCAGACGACGCCACTGACCGTGCCATCAGAACTGCCAAAGGGCAACAATGACCGGCTCATTCCCTGAGGATTTAAACAACATGGGTTTAGCAACATAGCACAGTACACATTTGAATATCTGTAGAAATAAGACATCTTAAAATCTATGGGAGACCACTAAGAATCCCAAAAGATTACACAACCAGGTGGCCTTTCACAAAAAACAATTGGATAATAATAGAGTGTAATGTCAGTATCAATGACCAAAAACTGTACGGATATTTGTAACATGAATCCTGTCTTCTTTTTGTGTCTAGGTTGGCTGTGAGGTTGTCTTTCATGGGTCACTAAGCCCTTGACACTGCTCTGCACATGGCCTTCAGCTCAGCCGCTTAAGGCCAAAAACCTGCCGCAGTTGCAATCAGCGAGGAGTGAGCGTGGAGGGAGCAGCCCTCCGTCAGATTCTGCAGGCCCAGCCAAGACCACAGGTGTTGGTGACCCTGTAGCCCGGGTACACAATTCAACTGCCATCACTATGTGCGCGAGCCCATTTTCTGAGGGTGTGATGTGCAGAGTTATTGTGTGTAACCAGTAGGGTGTTGAATGACTCGTGTTCCATGCGTAATTGGGTCGCATTGCCAGAGATTAGCGAGGGTTCAACACTGAAACCGAGCTTCGTTCTAGGAAGGCTACAGTGAGCAGGGTGGACCAGTCAGGACGAGGATCCAAGGGGGGTCGAAGAGTCCAAGGCTGCTCTCTCAGCTCTTTTTCAAAGGTCAGGCTGATGTGAAATGCTCCTGCACTGCCAACTTATCCCACAGTGGCTTCTATGAACTAATAAATGTCAGTTACATAGCTGAACCCATTATATTTAGACCAGGCTTGAACAGAGGAGAGACTACGGGTGCAAAATAAGAAGTGCAGATCTGCTGGTCTAAACACGACTCATTATTCTGGGCTGTCTGGACAACTGAAAACTTTTTTTTCTGTCTCAATCTGCTATGAAAACAGACAGCTATGTGCTGAGAGCAGCAGTCTGCTACTTTACATATCACACGTTAAAAGTAAGACATTTTATGATTTCAATGGTTAAAGATGTCAGTACGATGAGAGTATCTGTGGCTCTAAAACTTTTATCAACCTTTTAGAATTAATGGCACCCTTCCAGATATTCACCTCCCCCAATGTTATTACTGATGCAGGATTTTTAGCTAAGCAATGGCACAAAGTTAGCTGGTCCCTCTCCTCTTTAAGACATTGTTCCTCATATGCACTCTGTTGGCATCTTTACTTCGTGTTGCAGCATTTCAGTTTCACTTGTGACTGTGGCATAAATATGTGGAACAACCTGAGCTGCCAGCAGATCTAGATATGCTGGTATTGTTATTTTTCATTTGATTTTGCTTTGTGACAGCAGAAAAACATCGCACAGTTACATACACATTCATTATCTGAATATTTAGATCATTAAGACTGTCCCATCCAGCTGTTTCCTGGTCTTCTCATTTATGCTTCTACGGTTTTATCCATTCTTCAACTCTTTTTTGTAAATCAATGATAGATTATTGTTTTTGTTTTAAGAACTGTCTCTCTGTCGTTCAGTTAGAAAAGAGGATCATTTGCAGGAATGCAGAGATGAACATAGTCTGAGCATGGGTGATCATGCACGGGATAGAATCAATTCGGTTGAACTTGAGAAACCTTTTTATGCTTTCTTTTAAATAAAATATTAGTTTATGGGATTTTCAGATTACTGCATTATATTTCAATGGACCTTTTACACAGCATCCAAACATTTATGGAATGTCTGTTTTCTAAAGTAAGAACACAAATCCTTGAATCCCCATATTCAAGTAACTGATCCTCCTTTTTCAGGATAATATTATGATCTGTGGATGAGGAAATCTTGAGCCAACTTTGGTGAAAAATGAAAAATGAAGCTTGAAATTCAAGAATGAATTAAATTAAGACATGTTTTCTGTTTTAATTAAAATTTTACACTGTTCTGTCAGTTTTTTGGACGCATGGTTAAGCTCTTATTCAATGTTACTTTTGTAAACAAGTGAATGAGATCTATTAAAGGTAACACAACCCAGGCAGTGGATATTGGCAGAGGCAGAGAAATGTGAGCACTCAGCAGCCACTGAAGGCAGACAGGCATTATTTTCCCACAGGGAATCTCATACTTTGTAAGCTAATACAAGAAGTACAACCTTAAAGCATTATGTGCCCATTGACTGTGTATGTGCATGCCAGTGCATCTGGGCTCCAAGCTGCCACAGTGTGTAACTGTGCCTGTGAACATGTTTAATGCCCTACGTGTGTATGTGTGTGTTCGGTGTGTTTTTTGCGTGCACATTTGTGGCTGTGATATTGGAGAACAGCATGAGAGCGAGCTGTCTGTCATCGAGCTGCTAATGCAGCAGCGATGCCAAGTTCTGCGAAACAGATGGACCAAAAGAGCAACAATGAGAAAACAGAGTGCCCATGACATCTGAACATACAGTACATGCCTCTCCAAAGCCAACAGCTCAGTGCTACGGCTTCTTTATGGCCCGATAACTGAGTGTGTGTGACGTCACAAAGCTGAGTTTTGTGATCCCCTTACCATATGGCTGGTATTCCCTCCTCTGTTTATCGCTGTTAACAACAGACCAGGGTCGTGGTCCACTTTTTAAAAAGGAGGGAACTCACTAAATGGGGATCACCCAGCTCACCTCCACAGAAATGTTTAAAGGGTGTTGTAAAGGTGTGGTTTTTGGTCAGGCTGTGGACCAGTGGCCCTAATTTTGCTGGGGGGGGGGGTCATGGTTGTTTGACTATCCAGTCCAAATAGATTCATGGACTTAGAGACAGGGCAAGTCTGTGCTCCAGGAGGGATTCTATGCGAGGCTGTGAGTGCGTGGGGTGTCAGGGTCACTGTTGAAGGCTTTTAGTTTCCTGTATAAGCTAAGCATGCTTTTTTGCTGTCTAATTTTGAACAAGCGAACAAAATAAAACAACCAAAAATGTATATTTTGTAGTATAAGAAATGAATTGCTTGAATGAATCTTTAGCAATGATCTTTAACAAGGTCATTTATCAAGTATCCTGAGCCTTACCTGAGCTAACGCCATCATGTTGCTAAAGAGAAAACAGACTTTGAGCGACTGAGGCCAGTCAGATGCAAGTCATTATCAAGGATAAATATACTGGCTCTCATGAGAGCTAAGTTTGACTTAGCAGGGATAACTTGGCAGTGGAGGAGGCGGCAGATTTGGAAAAGAGTCAAAGATGCTGGATGTCAGCAGATCAAAGACTTACAACCTGCCTATATACCTGCCTTTTCATGACATCAAACAAAACATTCACTGAACGTGATCCACAGCAAACAGGTCAATGAGTTCTGCCACATGAACATTCCATTGCATATTGCAACGCCACAACCTTTTGTTACCACTGACTATTTTATTCTCTTTAGTCCTATTTAAGTTATAGTGACATGAAAGAGCAATGAGATTGCTCAAATTTGTTATTTTCCATCTAAATATCAGCAACAGTGACAGTGGGTCTTTTTCCTGAGAGTGTATTTGCAAGAAAGCAGTGTGTCAGTGGAACAATGCACTATAAAAAGCTCCTCTCATGGCTAGATATAACTGTCCATTGAGGCCAAGGGGGTTGCCCTTCCACAAAACCAGAGACTCACGTGGCCTCATACCTCTGCATCTTCCAGTATAACCGTAGTAAGCGGTGCACTAATGCCCTGAGGTTAACAAAACATGATAATCATGGGTACTAAATGCACAAATGAAGAAGGTAGTGTTTATCCAGTGCTCACCCAAACCACACCTACACCTGAATACTTAATTTCGCTATGAGGTGATTTTGAAAACGCAAGTTCTCACCCTGTGGTTGTCCCTCAATGCATCAGACGACCTGGTGGGCTCTGCTGTGTCACGTCCATGGCTTCTCCCATCTGTTAAACTGGGCATTAAAGGAGCACCAAAGGGCTCAGAGAAACTGCGCATCATTTGCCGCATATGCTCCCTGTGTGCACGGAACGGATCCCTGTTGGAGAGGCAGATGAATAAAGCAGTGCATCAAAACATTCAGGGAGTGTCATCACTGTCTGTTGCTGTAAAAATAAGTCCATCGGCTTGGAGCTTAGAGATAAAATCTTCAATGCACACGCTGCACTGAAACAAGAGGCACCCCAAAAATAATTTCAGCCACACTTCAGTAACACTTGACTTAGAAGTTGGGTCAAGTGTGGCCACACTAAGCGTGCAGGCATCCACTCATGGAACATGTCACAGTGACTTGCTCTGTCAGTGGGGACAGGAATTCAGAAACGACCAGTTTGCTCGGTTCTGTTTGTACTGAATATTCTGTCATAAATGATTTTGCTTAATATTTGCCTCCCACAAGGAAGTTTTAAGATCTACGTTGGAAACTTTCCTTTCTGAGTAAACAGTCTCAGGACTATGGTGCTTCTTTTAAAAAGGACAGCAGTCTAGAATAAAAACTTCTGTCTTTGCAGCGGTTTTAGCATCTTACAGCAGCTTGTTGCTGGGTAACGGACCGCTTTAATTAAACAGGCTAGGTATTCAAGTGTCTAAGCAACCAGTTTATAAAGTTTAAGAATAACTTGACAGTTTTTAACCTAACTATTGTTTCTTATACACGCAATCAGTTAATTGATTAATTAATTGACTAGTCCTTCCACTAAAAATCCAAGCTCGAACATTCTCACAGGTGCACTTGTGACAGATTTAAGAGACCGGGTTAGCTACTCACGAGAAGAACGGATCGTCGTCAAAGTCCCTGATCATGCTGTTAAACATTTCCACGGATTTGAAGCTGTGGGCTGCAAATAAGTTGGAGATTTTCAAAAGGTAGTCCCCCTCCGAGCCAACCTAGAGTCTCACTTTTCTGCTTGGCAGAGGTGGCACTGTGTAATTTAGAACCAAAGTCATGGGCCACATGATGCCAAGCTAGCTCGCGGATTGGCTGCTTATTGAGCAGGTTCTGTCCACGCGCTGTGTGTTGTGGGAGGCTGCTATTGCAACGGCACTCGAGAAAAACGTACGTGAAAAAGAATACAGCTAAAAGTTTTTATAGCAAAACTTTCTCTCAGCTCATATTTATAATTAATTTTGGACTATAGTAACTTATGCAGTCGATTACATTAATTCAAACCAGAAACAAATCTTAAAGAAATTAAGAAATTAAACGAGGAGGCTGAAGGATTAAATTATTTGACTGTTTGGTTGCTAAAGCAATTCTTGCTTTGGTAACTACAGTGTGCAAAGACATTTTAGGCATCCACTTGACACATACAAGGAGGGCATACATATTTCACTCACTTCAAGCCACTACTCACACAGCCAAGCTGTATGTGTTTGCCTAAGCCAATCATTTGTACCGCCTTAATTATCATTATATTACAACACTCACTATTTGGAGACTATGAGTGACACACAGTGTCCCAAGCTCAGTATAGGTTTACCATCAGGCAGTTAGATCCATAAATAGGCCTGCGTTGACTCAGTGCAATGAATCCATCGGCTCCAACAGACACACAACACTGAGTAAACATAAACATAAATCTTTAAATAGTGTATATGTTTAATAAGAGAGAACAGTTCATGACAGGTGTCAAATCCATTCTTAATGTCAAGACAGGAGGGAGGGCGATCTCTTATATGGGCCACATCTTAAGTTTAGAAATATGAGTCATGCGTTTTTCTATAGATAGAACTGCTGTTTGTTTGTTGTTGGCCCTTCGGTTTATCACCACAATTCAACCACAAGGAAACGATTTTTGTTGTAATCTTTGTTCACTGAAGTGATGGTAAAGACAAAATGGATTAAATGTAATATTCACTGCACGTAAAACTGGCATCTGAGATTAGACGTTATTTTTTAATTCGAAATCAATGATACCAAATAAAAAACAACAGATACATCACTTATTTTCTACAAATAATAAGCACACCAGGACCAATCACGTCTCTTATAGCTTTACATAGCGACTGAGAGACAAATGCTGTGGTACTCTAAAAAAAAAAGAAAAGAAAATTGAAAAAAAAAAAATTGGAAAGCTCTTCACTGAAACTGCGTGGGGATTAAAAAAAACTCTTCTGGTCTTCAAGTCACTGGACTTCCCATCAACCTCTCTTGTCGCAGTGCGATCAGCCTGTTCAGCCACAGCTCTTCAGCCTTCTCTTTGGCCATAAACAGCTGCAGGACAGAGGAGAAGTACAGTAAGTGAAAAAATACATTAAAAAAAGTTATTTATGCAGCGTTACAGCTGTGAAATCAGAGTTGAGAAAATAAAATGAAAACATCAAACTACAGAAACACTCATTTTTGGCTTCAACACACATTAATATTGAAATTTTACAACTTATGTGTGAAACTAAAGAGGCCAGCATCTCATGTTTAATGCCTTCTGAGATATGTTATGATGATGTTATGATAATCTATATGCATAAATAAAGGGATATACATGCTATTATAACAAACATAAGTTAAAGTCCGTTTAAATCTGATACCAATTAACAACACATCGTTCCATGAAATAGGTAAATTGGTCAACATTGATTCCATTTGTTTCCACTTGACACATGATTTACTTTGGACCTCAGATGCACACCTCCTCAAAGGCTTTGAGTCATCACCATCTTCTGGTCACTGTAAGTATTGATGCAGTGTGATAAAACCCAAGTCCTTCCTACCAAAAGTCTCCCATATGGACAGAAACACAAGAGCTGCCATGCTGTTTAAATGAATAAAACAGAGTTGTCTCTACTGCCCACTGGCACCCATGTTACTTCAGTCCTAACCCAGTGGTGATGCCATTATACCACAATGAAGAGTGTAATTGCACCCGTCTTATTGCTCCTAAGCCACTTACTCCAAATCTATATGGTAAATTTAAATATATATCTGGTTTAATCCTGTGAGCCCTGCATCTAGCGAAAGCCCACACATGTGACTTATATTCCATGCAGTACATCACCGGCGGGGATGATATTGATTGTACCAGGGCCATAAAACTGCTGCTGCAAGTGTCTGATGAATGAAAGCATCTGTTTATTAGGAAGTAACATAAAGACTGAGAAACTAGGTGCTGAGGCAGGGGGGAAGAAATGGCAAATGATTTCTATATTCACTGCGCCTGTTCGTGCGAGGATGAGAGATAATGTTGACATGCTGGCCATGTGTACATACTGTACATCTATGTGAAGAGATGTGTTTATTATTATGCAAATGGTAGAACAACCTCCAGCGCGTCAATCCTTCACTCCCGACCGGCGCGGCTTACAGCCGCACTGCATGTGATCCGAGTGTTAGATTCAACACCTTAGCGAGCTCTTGTCTGTCGGCCCTGCGCTGGTGTCACGGTTCTAATGAGGCTGTGTGTGTGGGATGACAGTATCTGAGCTGGGCTAATGGGTCTCATCTGTTCTAATTGGAAGTGGAGCCGGAGCTGAAGCTGGGGCCGGGGCCCGCCTGGGGCATATTGCTACCATATATCAGCCTGTCTGAGGGTGTATACGTGTGTGTGTGTGTGTGTTAAGCTGGGGGGCATAGCGTGTGCATGTGAGGGGGTTATCTGCATACATCAGGGCATAACTTAGTTTCCCCAGTAGAGACGGATGACTGGGAAGCCCTAGGGAGCATTATTGAAGTTTAAAGTTTTCCTTCTCGTTTTTCATCATTGGTGTGCAGTCAGGAGGAGGCAATGTTAGGAGGCCGTAAACTGCTCTACTGCCGCGTCTTGTACGATGCGCTGCATCGGAATATGCATGGATGGTGTAAAGCCTGATGGTTTGAGTTGTGGCAGAAGCCTTTTTTAAACGAAAAAAAGTCGACCAAGTTTATCGGTCCATGAACACATCCACTACACTCATAAAACACTAAGTGGTAAAATGTTGTTTTGCCTGCAGACTACAAATTGCAGCTACGTTACAGCTTGGCGGTTGATTTTTTGAGGCTTATTACGATAACGATAACTTACATTAGGATGAGCGAGGGTGTCACTGTCATTGTAGACTATGGATGTGGGAATAGAGATGTCATGACAAGGTACCGTCTCTGTCTCCTGCTTCACCTCCACTGGTTCAAGCTGTTCTCACACAAATACAACATCAACAAAACTAAAGTTAGACACAAACGTACCAGATACAGTTAAATGTGACTATTCTCCAAAATTCGTTGCTACAGCATGCAGTGTTTTGAATGTTTCTGAATTTATGGAAGCTTAACATTCAAAAGAGACTAAATCACATGTCAGCAGCTGGTGCAGCTGTGCAGATGTTTGTGTGGTTATTGGCGTTGAGTCGTGACAGAATATAACGTCCAACTGGGAAATATTGTCCAGCAGAGGGCAGAGAAAGACCGACAGAACATTTTTAGGAAGCAGAGTGGTGATCAGCAGCAGTATTTATCCCCCATGGAAATGCTATACCTCACTTAATTAATCTATCTGTGGATCTAATAAGTCAGTTAGATATAAAACACCTATATAAATGACACATTTCCCCTATTTTCAGTTAGCTTTTATAAATAAATTTTTCTTGTGAGCACAAATACATATTAACAATTTCACGTTAAACCATTTATTGTGCTCAAACGCTGAAGGCCCACTGGCCACATCATGATGTTCAAATTGCTCGTAATTCATTTAGGACTGCTCTCAGTTTCGTTTTTGATGAAGAAGAAATATCAAAATGAACATTTTCCAAGTCCATTCATGCTTCAAACTCTGCTAATAAAACCCCTAGAGCAAATGTTTATCCTGTTGGAAAAATCTTTTGGCAGGACATGACACACACGGACAACAAAAAGATGGGGACGTGCCAAATATCAGGCGGTAGAAACAAGTCATTCCATTCCTGTGGAACAAAATGCTGATTGTACATTTTTAGTGAATGTCCCTCGTTTGAAAAGATTAAATGGAATGAGCTTTTTCCCTTTATTTCAATGACTGTGGTAGATTTAAAGCTTTCACGGGGAAAAGGAATTTATTAAAAGTCTCAACTTACGAGACAAATGAAAAAATATCCAAAAAACAAACCCCTCCGAAACCCTAATCTTAACCCCAACCCTTCACAAGGATTAACTACTATTCATCTGTGCGACAAACACACCGAATACTGGGCCAGCATTTTGCAGAATAGTATCTGACTAATGGCAGAGCCATGCCCGAACCACTGAGCCAATGCCAAATGAGAGCCTGTTAAAAAAAATAGTTGTAAACTTGAAACTTGATCTGTGTCGGCAGCACCTTTACAGAGCAGAGCCTGGTGTGGACCCGCCACGGTATCTAATCTCGGGAGCATTTTGTGGCTGCGCATCTGAAAGGCGCATTCCAGCCTGCAATCTGTGCAGTCGGCCCCGGCCAGAGCAGACCTGCTCTGCGCACGGCCAGCCGCAGCGGCACAGGTTGTGACCTTTTGTCAGACTCTCCGTCATGCGTCCCCAAAGTCTGCTCGGGTTCGCTGTCACATGTTGTCGCTCATCTTTTTGACAACGGCCGTGAGCCCCCAAACAAATCGAATTGCTGCTCCATCAGAGATGGGAACATTTCAATAATGACTTCTGTGTTTTGTCTGCATCTGCACAACCGGAGGGGGGAGGAAGAGGGTGGCCGCTGCCTGCGGTGGCTTTTGTGTGGGTGCTGCTGCTCTGGAGGCGGCGAGCTGTGGAGCGTCTGATGAAACAGTCGCAAGTCGGAACAAACGGCGCTGAATGGGAATGTTTGATTTGGTCTGGGCTGTCTCTGGACAGACGGCACAGCAGCGCAGAGAGGGAAATTCAATAAAAGACAGAGTGAAAAGCTACAGAGTGAGGGGCCGGGAGAGAAAGAGAAGCAGAACGCACCTTTATGTCATCCCGGGATGATTTGAAAGCCTGAGGAACAAAGGAATCACTCTCAATGGCCTCAATGTCCTTTATCCTTCGCACTTGCTCCTCCAGAGAAGTTCCCTCTGAAACATACGACACAAGGGGGGGGGGACCATGAACAAAAGCACACACATATATCCCCAGTCACACAGAGTGTCAGCCATCCCTTGTCATGCTCTGAAAGGCACCTGAATTCATCTGGAGAGGTTGCCCTCCCTCCTGTATAATGCCATTTGACACATACAATATATGATGTCTGATATTCTCCTATTTTAATCTTGGCCCCCATGAAAAGTACTCATGCTTAGCCAAGGACATGGAGTTTCTACAAAAGAGACAGGGGGGGGAAAACATACTAACAAGGTAATAGCCAGACAGTGAATTACACTCAGATAATGGCATTCTAAAATAATCAAAATATGAACACAAACTCTCTGCAATGAAATTCTATTATGGAGACTAAATGTGATTAAGTTTCATACAGTTTTCAAGTATCAGAGAGCATTCTTCTCCGGCTTGTCCAATCTAACAAAAACACACAAAAGGTTTCCAATAAATTACTTTTGGATATAAACACATCAAAATTCTGCATATGAGACAACAAATCATTTCAAGAATTCAAGAGCAGTCTTTTTTTTAGTGTGGGAGGGCTGAAATGTAGGTGTGCCGGGAAAGTTAGTGACAGTGGGGAAAAAAAAAACACAGAGTCTGAATGCTCCCATTATTCTCTGGCTGTCAATCTTTCCACTGATCAGTCAATATCCATCCCTCCATGCCCCATCCATCCGTCCTCTCCTGCAATTTCCCATCTCTCCATCTGTCAATCCGGCAGACATCCGAGCTTTGCTGCTGCACTTATATAGGCTGCGTCGTGAAAACAGGTACACAAATGGAAACATGCTCAGAGTGGGACACGGTGAGCTGGGATACAGGTGTTCCCACATGTAAACCTATGCAATCACAGTCTTACAGACTTACTTCGTAAGTTGCTTTGGATAAAAGCTAAATGCATAAACATAACATAAACATAACAGTCCATTCATGTGCAGCGCATATTAACGGTGTATAACCTCTCTCATACACACACACACACACACACACACAATATGAAGTTAGAGCTAATAACAGGAATTAATTCAATCCATTAGCGGCTACAGAAAGGGTGTCACAACAGATCTTCATGGCCCCCGTGTTTAATGAATAAATGAATATTTGTTTCAGCTTTCACGGCAAAATTTCACATGCCATCACACACCCTCTCGATTACAGCTCATAATAGCACTTCAACAAACTCAGTTTTGATTTTAATGCAGTGCAGAATTGGACGACTGAGTGACGAGTGGAATTAAGCCTCCCCATATGACGGACTATCAGCTTGTCATCCAGAATGGAGAGATGTGAGCAGAGACGCCCTGCACGGGGGGGTTCCAAAAATAGCCGTTGCCTTGACTGGGGTGCTAGATGAAGTTTGAACACTGGCCCAATATCCTCCCAGAGACCGTGGCCTGTCTGTCACACCGCTGTCGCCCCTGCACGAGTGTGTGTGTGTGTGTGTGTTTGAATGGAAACTCCTGCCTGGGACTGCCCCACAATTAATGCGGCAAAGTTCATTAATTTTTCCAATTACCCCTTCTCGGCTGTCCTTTGAGCATGTGTGCCTCACGTAAACAATAACCACGCAGACAGCCGCATGGCCGTGCATCCCCACACACACACACACACACACACAGACATATCCGCTGGCCCCTCCTTGGCAGGCCCGTCTGTTGCTGTGCTGTCCATGTGCTTCGCAGGAATCCATTAAGGCCTCAGACTTTTTGACAAACACATTATTGGTAGATAAAATGACTTCCATATGCTGTTTGTCAGATGTCAGCGGGCAAAGATATGTATTTCATGAGAAAATCAAAAATAATGGACTTTGAGTGTGGGCCTAGCGAGCTCAAAGGCACACAAAAATCAATACCTAGCTGGGCGAGTGCACTCTGCAGCTCGCTGAGGTCAAAGTTGATATTTAATATTGACACATTATCTGGCAAATTAATTTAACAGGTCGACTCAATTGTCACCGCATTAGGAAGGCTTCTCTGTCAACGATGGGCGGGGGATCAGGTCAGAGCTGAGAGGGAGGGAAAGGAAAAAGTTGCACACTTTTAAATGAGATATGATTTGTGCTCGTGTCTATTACAACCTTCAGTGTGACCTAGACAATCGAATGAATATCATTCAATAACGCTAAACTTTTGTTTATCCAGATTTGAATAACAGATATCATTACATCCATGTGTGTGTGTGCTCCCTTTAAAGAGGGAGTCAGAAAACTCACTTGCCATCTCATTGCTGAAATAAGTTAGATAGACCGCAGCGCTGATGAGTGGCTCAGAATCAATAGGCTATTGTTCTCTCTAAATAGCTGTTTGTCCACCTCATTGATTAAGATCCAAAGACGGGGAGAGAAAATCAAACCGGCCAAAGGAAACGGATATCAGCCGTTCCACTTGAGCCTTGAAGACATCGGCTTAGTCGGCGGTTGTATTCTACTGCCAGAAGAGGGGGCTGTTCAACAACACAAGCCCACGTCTGCGCGGGGGCCACGGTGGCGTGGCAGAGTTGCCTTTGTATGCTTGACTTTTGGTCAACAGTTTGTCAATCAAGAGCAGCCGAGCTGAATCTATTGCTGCCACCGCTGATTAATTCCAGTAATTGACTGCACCGGCGTGACGGCTGAGTTACGGCAGCACTGGTTGTTTTATGGAAATAAAATAAATACAAGGGAAGCTTATCTACTTGTTTATTGAGATCTTTTGAATTGCAGCCAGCTCGTTGACAATGTTTCTCGAGTAATTCTGCATACACAGAAGTTGTATTTCAAATTTAATGAACGTACCGAAATAAATAGGCCGTTGCTGAAAAGGGCAAACTGTGCACCTAGATTTATCATGACATGTCATGTGAGTCGAATGGTGTGACTCATCAAATAAAAAAAAAAGTTACTTTTGTCTTTATTAGGATAGTTAATTCAAAAGAAGTGTAATTCATTTTAGAGATGGAAATTTAGAGGTGCTTCTTTTAAATTCAGCTTTTGTATTTCTATATTTTAAATGGGCCCAGAACCCTCCCTTCTCACAACACACCAGGACAAAGTTTGCCCGGGTGTTTGCACGTGGAAGCATCTTTCCCAGGTTTCGTTAATGTGCCTTTCACTGCTCTGCCCCCCCCCCCTCCCCCCCAACTCTCTCCCTGCACAGTGGTAAAGATCTGTAATTCAATGCTCAATTTAGGCCTGTCTCAGTGGACATTTTTTTTGCCTGCTAATTGATAGAAATTAAGCCATTAATCAAGCCACTAGCCATCATTCAACCCAGGGAAGATGAATACAAACTTTCATAATAACCACCTTCCCCATTTTAGCCCTCATTAGCATTAATTTTTAATGTAATTATGCTATTCTTTTACACTGAGCTCATAAATTACTGCTCTTTTGTTGCTGGCTGGCCTTGTAAAATCCAAAGTAATGCTTTGTAGTCTGATCTTTAAGGCAATTACTGGCTTCTTCACTCTTTTATCTCCCTGCATTTCCAATAACCTGCTCTCTAATGATTTATCTCCGCTGCACTCCCCCCCCCCCCC